TGGTATAGATTAAATTGTTAAGACTATTTTGATATTGTTTATTATGAATTTTTTTTTTGAAAATATAAAATAAATATGAAAGAAGGGGGGGGGGGAGAGAGAGAGAGAGGGAGGGGGCTTCAGATGGGCATTTGTCAAGGTCTAACACAACCATTTGAGAAATTTACTATAATTAGTGCTTGCACTACAGGAAATATATAAACATCAAATATTATAAGGAATGGAAAAATCATTGAAATCTTTGTATCAAGATTAACATGATTTTCTTGCACCCTAAACTGTTTATTATAATTTAACAATATTTGACGGGCGTATCATGCTGTGTCGGGGCACTTTATTTTACTTCTATTATGTGTACCTTACTGTATACATGTTTCAAAAAATTTTGAATCAAAAATTTGTTTGAACAAATTTATTTTTATTTTTGAAAAGGTAAAGAAGGAGAGCCTACACGAAATGAAAGAATAAAAGATATAATGAAAAAATTAGAGAACAAAAATCACATCCACAACCACAAAAGGTAACTTTTAACATTGTAACATTATACATGCATAAATATAGACCTTCATTGGCTATTAATACCATTACCATTGATGTTATTGAAAGGTGAACAAGCAGGGTTCTTGTTGAAGTAATTTCTAGCTAATTCAGTTAATTATAGCTTCATGCTTTCATATACATTTGACGTGAGTAATGATATACTGAATAGAATTATTTGGTTTCAGTCAAATAAAAAACTACCATATCAATTATTCATGAGGTTCAGTTTAGTAACGATATGGCTTTTCACTGGAAGCTCCCCCTCCCCCATATAACAGGTTTTTATTATGAATGATCCTATAAACAGTAATTCTGTGGTATTTTGTGCATTTAGAGTTATCTGCCCTTATATGTATAAAAATCAAATAAATGGAAATTTTCAAAGGTGAGGTTTATTGAGACCAATTTAACCTTTGGGAACATGCATACAAAGAACATAGAGACTAATGCACAAAAGAAAAAAGCCAAAATCAGTAGCGTCAACATTACAGAATTCTTTTTTTCCCAAGATTTTTTTCATATAACTATGGCTCATCACATGTTTCAGTAAACATTCAAAAATAATCATTTGTCTTTTCGTTATTTTTTGGCATTCTTTTCTTTCCAAGTTATGTGTCTGTTTAGAAGGAGCTTTTAAATTATCAGTATGATGAGCACAGACTTGGTAGGCACAGTAAACTTTTGATCTGCACATTGTCACTGCTTCCACAGCTGTAACAAACACCAGGAAAACAAGCACTAGTGATTTAAATACTAGTATCTTCTGAAAAGCATTCAAGTAATACCGTGTTTCTGTGGGTCATCATAAGGACACCAAAAGCACTTTGTTTACATTGTTGACAATGTATGTCAACAATTACAAAAATGACAATTGTTACATACTTCATTCTGAACTGCATTTGGATTTTCAACAAGATAAAATTAACATACTTTCCAAACAAACGAACAGTTTCCGATGATTGACACCAATCGACAGCATCAATCGACAGCATCGCCCTGTCAAACGAATCCATTTTTTGATTTGCCAATCAATGCTTTGACTGCATAACTTGGGACCACATACCATGTATACTTGGAATAGAAGTCCACCACCATGCATATTTTACTCACAATTTATATATATATATATATATATATATATATATATACACTGTATATATTGCATTGATGAGTTCAGTTTCTTGGAAAAAAATTATAAAATAGTCATAATCAAATTTGAATGTAATAATTGTGAAAAAAAAATTATAATGGTATTGTGATTTTTCATGTTTCCATTTTTGTTTGTAGAGAAAGATTGACAATCTCAAATGAAAAGTACACAAGAACTAGGAGACCAAAAATTCGAGTAGGATGGCGCCACTTCAAAAATGACAGCCTCAAACAAGTATTCTTTAAAGATGGAAAGGGTGTCCGTGAGGTTTTCTTGCAATCGCTTGAGCTTGAAGTAAATGATGTCATTCAACTTGCAAAAGAGGTTATGTTTCCTAAAGGGGTGTGTAAATATGGTAACATTAGTCAGATGGAAGTATGGTTGGGGGACTATGCAGGAGAAAAGTTAAGGAATTTCGAAACTCAGGGAGATGATAAACAATGTCTCGGAAAGTACTTAAAAGCCCAGGGACTCCATCTTTCAAGATGCACATTTTACTTGATGACGAGAGAAAAGAATTCCTCATCAGCCAACAATACTTTAACCAGCGATCAGGAACATTTTGGCATCATTGACAACCAGAAAAGAAGTAAAGTAGATGAGCCTAGTGAGCATCAGCTTGTACAAATTAATTTTGCTGGAATTGTCCGTGAAAAACAAATCATGAATATTCAGTATGTGCAAGAAAATTTTTCCAAGTATGACAGTGAAAAAATTTAATAAAATGTCATTCAATTTCACAGTGCCAAAATATTACATCTTTTACTGAATATGTGGATGATGATGACAACAACAATCCTTGTTTGTATGGATTTTTTATAAGTAAAATCAGAATAGGTCAGAAGTGTTTTTTAGATTGCATGTTTGAAAGACACAATGGGATATTGGAAAAGGATATAAAATTCCCATCATCCAACAAAACTTGACATTTTGAAGGCATCATTATTCATGAGCCAATGGAGATCTGGGGCTATGATGGAGATAAATTTGTGCTAGGAATTGTAGCTGTCCCTGCAGAAAGTGAAAAATATAAGTGGTTTAAAGACAACATCCCAGTTAATAGAGGCTCTTATTTCATTTCCGTCAAGGATAAAAGCAGCGAATGTGCACATTTTACTGATAAATTGATTGTTTTTCGGGGGGGGGGGGGGTGTAAAAATTCACAGGTACTTGGGTCTTGGTTTATAAATATGTATGTTCCTTATTGATATGTAAAAAATGAACTTTGCCTTTTTACTGAAATGTATTGATTAAAGCACAAAATTTTACAGCTTGAATTGTATTTGAACAATATCTTTTTCATTAATTTTCTCTTTTCATGTAAGCAAGTTTATTACGAAGTAGGAATTGTACTTCGGGTTCGTTGCCACGATGCTCTCAGTGAGGAATATACACATTTCACCGATAAATTTATTAGGAAAACCTACTACATATGTGTAATATATAGTCCTTCGATATATAAATATATTCACAACTTATAGTGTTATCATTGATTTATACCATTATTTCAATGACCATTCACACATAAGCTTTTTTTATGTTCCTGCAGCTATAATCGTCTCGTTTTTTCTTTTTAACATCGGGCTCGATGCTATATGATGTTCTAGAAGCTTCCTTCAATATTAAGATCAGTGAATGACGAAAATAATTTGCTCATTTTCTTTTTTAATCGGTCATCACATCTTATTTCATTCAAGTTTTGATTGAATAATTTAGTGATGACGTTTTATGAAATAAATAAACGATTGTTTATCAGTTTCATTGAAAATTGCCACCGTACTCACGTTTTTACTATTTGATGGCTGTTTATAGAAAATAAAAGTATATGTGAAGTATGAAAGCCCTAGCACCAACCATTCAAAAGTTATGGCCAAGGTTAAAGTTTTTCAAAAGTAGGTCAAACACCTAGGTCAAGGTCAAAAGGTCAAAGTGGTTGGTATCCAAAAAAGGTCTTGTCACAAGGATTACACATGTGAAGTATGAAAGCCCTAGCTCCAACCATTCAAAAGTTATGGCCAAGGTTAAAGTTTTTCAAAAATAGGTCAAGGTCAAAGTTGTTGGTATCCAAAGGAAGGCCTAGTCACAAAGAATACACATGTGAAGTTTGAAACCCCAAGCACCAACTGTTCAGAAGTTATGGCCAAGGTTAAAGTCTCATAAAATTTTGCAAAGGTGGATCAAACTCCAAGGTCAAGGTCAAAAGGTCAAATATGATGGTACCCAAAGAAAGGTCTTGTCACAAGGAATAGACGTGTGAAATATGAAAGCTCCAACCAATCAAAAGTTATGGGCAAGGTTAAAGTTGACAACAGACAGACAGACAAACGGACAAATAGACAGACAGGACAAAAACAATATACCACCGGGATCTTTCGATCCTGGGGCTTAAAAACAAAGTTGAAAATATGTGAATAATTCAAATAAAGTTGTGGAGTGGGTGACCCCTGATGGCTTGATGGGATGGGGTGACCCAGGACGGTCTGATGAAATGTGGAGTGGGTGACCCCAGAGGATTTGATGGAATGGGTTACCCAAGACGGCCTGTCGGGATGGGTGACCCCAGACGGCTTTGATGAGATTGGTGACCCCAGACGGACCCATGACGTCATTGACCGCAAATGGACCCCATACTATACCCTTACTACTCCCATAGTCTTTGCCTACTTATATCATCGATAATTATAGTGATTGTTCCTGAACATTTTGGTTGCCATTGCAACATATTTTTTTGTAATATTTATGAATTTGTTTTTTTAATAATGAAATTGATATGTCAAGGTTTATTAGTATGATATTAGTTTACCAATGATTTGTTTAACAAGAATAATTTACAAAAAAAAATGAATCAAATGTTGGATCTACAAATTAATCTAAAATTTTAAGAATCTGAAGATGAAGTTGGTATAATTTCACTAGACCCCTCCATATTTTTTGGTCTGAAAATGTAGGTGTTGGTTACCATGGTAACCAGTACTCAGATTTGTCGATTGACCCCAAATACGCTCTATACATGGTATTTTTACATTACGTGCAAAATATCAGACAAATCTGTGATATACCATTTCCAACTTTTTTTCTATATTCTTTAATGCGTACAGAGAATGACTCTTAAACACTTTAATGTGAGAATATACTTGATTTGTATTTTTTGTTGTATCATGTGATAAAAAAAACAACATTCATGCAAATATTAATTATTTTATTCAATCATTTAAACCATATAATACAACATTAATGATATAGCCCTCATAGATGATTTAAAAATATCATTCAAAGTGTAAATTTTTACATTTGTAAAATAAGTTCGTCAAGTAATAATAAAAATGATACCAAAAATATCAATAATGGATTCAACTGATGATACTCTTGATTTTGGGGTTAATATCATTAGAAGCAGCTAAAATATTTTCTCGCATAAATAGAAGTTAAATATTATAACATTAAATTTACAATTTCTAGAAAACAAATCATTGAGACCTCTTAAAGTCCAGATCTAGTAAATGACTTTAGACTTACTTTTTGGTGCTAGATCCATTATGACGTCATAATCAGTTTCAACTTTCTTTTTCCCATACTTTACGGCTTTAATAAAATTATATAGAAAATAAAGTATTTTCAAGGAATTCAATTTGAAATCATGTGAAAAGTAATCCCGATACCTATATTCAGTTTAATATTATTTTAAAGAAGAGGCCAAGAACATACAAATTACCGTTTTCTGAGAGACTGTAGGCAATCTGGGTACATTTCCTTTGTCTGATATGGAAAAAAACTCCCGTATTCGTTACTTGTTTTCTTAATTTTTCTTTGAAAATGACAGTGTAAAATATAAATTTTCGTCTTGTTTACCTACAAGTTATGCTTCGAAACACCTTATTAGACCAAGCTAATATTATAAAGCATCTTGAAAGAAATGTATTTCTCAAATTTGAGAAATCTGTAGGCACCTTTCATTTACTAGATCTTTACATTAAAATAGCAGCCTAATACGTGTGCATTATGACATAACTAAAATCATTTAAAAGAAATATGTATGAAGAGTCACTATTCTTGTTGGTAACATATCTAGCACTGATATAACTGAAGATAACCTTTTCATTCTCCATACTTTTCCGTATACTAGTATTCAAATATCATCCGAGTCTGAAAAAGATAATACTATGTATATTGATTTTAAATGATGCTTTTTTATAAAACTCTTTTAATAATTATAAAATTATACATAATAAATGATGTTAAACAAAATTGCAGCCTTTTACATTACATACTGTTACATAACAGTACCAATTTAACTCAGATAAAGATATAGAAATAGGGGGAAAATACAAGAATTTACCGTAATTTTCGTCAGATTCGTCTGATGATGTGGAGTCTGAAACTTGAAGAAAAGGACAATTTATTCCTCTTAAATGTCCATTACAATGTGTAAATTGGTTTAATGTTGTTTATCTCCCACTCGATAATTTTAAACCCATATAGAGACGTATAATAGGTATAGGAGTTCGACCTATTTTTTTTTTGTCGTATACATTGTATATATGACACGAACGGAAACGTCCTTTCGCACAAACACACAACATAGTGTATTATTATTATTATTATTATTTTGATATGCAGAAAAAAGGAAAAATACTGTTTAAAATATCCGTTATAAAAACGCATTAATTTTCAACATCCATTAAACACATTTGATATAAAATTCATTTCACGGTTGAAAAGATATGGAAAGTTTTCAAATAACACAACTAATATTCATTAATCCTTAACGATATACTCACCAGACAAGGGCTTTTTATCTCTTTTAATCTCTCTTATCTCAGACAAAATCTGAAGAAACATAGAAAAATAATTTAAATTATCCGGACCAACCCCGTTTAATAAATAATGCGGAATTTCCGTTTGTTATCGGCATTTTGCAATACATTTCTGTAATTTCCACTTACACGTTTAATATCGCCATCGCTTTACATGCCGTCTAAAACGCGAAGGCCTTAAGAAGATCGAAAAAAGTGACACTATGCTACTATAAGAAATAACTCAATATAGATTTATTGTGGATTCAAATAAACCTTGCAGTTGTGTAAAAGGGTGTACTGATTAAGAAAAAAAATATGTTTGAACTGGTTCATCTTAGTTCCGAAAAGTGTGTCCATGTTTCTAACAAAATTAAAAGAACTGTGCAAAGGTAAATCTACTTTGCGAACAATTGTCCGTTATATTATAGATGCACACTGATGCTGTGATAGTGTTGATAAAAAAAATTAATATGGAATAGGAAATCTCTGTACTGATTAAAAATCTGTATTTGTGTCTGTGTCATCTTTTCTTAATAGTTACTGTGGTTCTGAATAAATTCTTATTATTGGAAATGAAATACTCTTACATGTACGTGTATTCACATATACATGTATTTTAAAAGAATCATAAACATATGCAGATATCTGACAAGCATTTGTAAATAATATTTTATTTGAACCATTGACCTAGGTAAATAAAAATAACCACCTTTGAGGTCATGTCATGGATTTCTTTTATGGTCTGTTTTTGCCGTTTTATCTTGCTTTGGAGCAACTGAGAAAACAATTTAAACATAGAATATTCATTAAACAAATACCTAATTTCAGTTATATACTTCTTAATTTCTTTTTATTATTTGAATATAAAAAAACATTATATATACATATAATATAAGTACACTGCATTATATGCTAAATGCATGTACATATATTTCATCCAAAAACGCCATAATATAAACCGTTACCGTAAACTTGTCTTCATCCGTCACTTCGAGATTTCTTCATATTTTATAAGTAAGAAATGTAAATTTGTTTTATATGATAATGCATACATTATTTAGTGACTTAATGTAATATGGAATAAAATAGAAATATTTTACCAACTCATTTTTAAATTGTACATTATCATTTAAAATAATATAAAGTTAGAAAGTACCCCGATGCCTTTAAAGCAGCTTGGCCCTCTGCGTCGCGTGTTCGCTTTAATTGCAAATCAAAGTTTGTGTCATATAGGAAAACTGAAAAGAAACAAAAGTATGATTACCTGTATTTACATTGAACTCAACAATACTGTTGCAATAATAAAAAATATAGTTATCAGAAATATAAGTCCTCAAAAAGATAAATTTTACCAATGGTACTTATTTTCACCGTTAACATTTTTTTTTATATAAATCGACATGAAAAAGCTAAGGATCTTTCAGTTACGATTACCATGCTGCTTTTTTTTTTTTTTTTTTTTTTAAATATTTAACATCTTACAGGCGAGCAGATTTCTTTAAACCTAATACATCAAGGACAATATTTTTTTTGCGTTGTCCCAGTGATCCTGATCTTGTCCACACACACACACACACTCACGAATGATATGTATGACTATAAGGTAAGCTTATTTCCATTCTCTATATGCAAAGTCCTAAGCAGAAACGAATATAAGCCATGACCACATCGAATCTTCAGTGAATCCAATCAACATCTTACACATTTTAGCACCCGGATAGACAAAATCTCAAATTTATGTTTTACTCCTTCATCAGAGCTCATAGTGCACTTCCAGTTTTTGTTTTTAAAGATGAAAACTTACCCCTCACAAACATGGGACTTTTGTTAAATTCATCGTCATCATCTTCATCTCTAAAATATTCATCATAATCTGATTCTGTATCAGAGAAGTCATCTCCTCCACAGCTTGGGCATAAGAAATGAAAAGGACACCAAAAAATGAAATGAACCAAGCAAACAGGTAAAGCTAAGAGTTGGAAGTGAACTGGGAAAATGCTCTTCACACTATATTCTTCCAAAAAATCTGTTTGAAGTTGCGACCAATAGAACTTGCTTTTTTCATGAACCTCCTCAAATGTGTGGCTGCAATGAAAAAAGAATTAAAAGTGATATTGATTTAAGTCAACAAATGGACATTTGCAGAGATGTGAAGTTACAGCAAATATAGGAGAATCTTTACTGTGAGTTATTTCATAAGCAATGGATATGCCTGGATGAAAAGAATCAGGTCATATATATCATTATTTGTTTTTAAAAGATTTATACGGTGCTATTGACTTGAATTTCCCCCATAATATGAATTTCCCCTGGAGATTCTACTCTAGATTAGGTTCCCCCCAGAGGGGTTGGTGGTGGTTGGGGTCCTGCTCTTGAGCAGACTTTCCATGGGAGTAAATCCTTCTCTAGAGTCACTCTCACCCTTTATATCAACCACAGTGGGATTTCTCCCCTTCTTGATGTTATTATGTGATAGTAATCAAGACAATATTTTATTAAAGGGTTAAGATACAATAATTTTTTCAGGTGGAAATTGCATTCTAAAACTTACAGAGGGCAGAGGTACTGCAGCAAACTCCCTTTTATTGCTTATGAAATAAGCCAAATAATAAAGAATTGCGTAAAAATCCCTGAACTTCATCGCAAAACTTGGGTATTCTGTTTTAAAATAATAAAGAAGTGTACTTTTACAAACTTTATGTGGATAGGCCATAATTTAAAGAACATTAAACTTTATTTAGGTTAGTGATTAAATTGTGCTAGTATATTTTCACAGAGCTTTAATTGGAATGTTCGGCTTGATCGTATTTTTTTTTTTTGGTGTTAGTATAAGAAACTTATTGTTCAGTATGAACCGCTCCCTCAATATCAATAGGTACACTAATGTAAGCTTAGAATGGTCATATTGAAAATAAAAAAAAATGCATGTTTAATCAACAACTTTAATATGATGTAAATGGTGATTCCTCTCTCTCTCTATATATATATTCATAGTTAAATGTATTTTTCTTTTTAAAGAACGAGGACGCTTTTGATTGACATTCGGCAGGAATCTGGGCGCACTTGAAAAGTGAATATTTCATTGTTCTGTCACATGAAATCTTAGCACTGTTTTGATGTATCGGGTTCCTGTGAAAAGGAAAGGGAAATATCTCTCGATATTGTATTTTGATTTGCTAAAAAAGAACTTGAAAATTGGCTAGATGAGTCATTTGGTACAAAATGTTTCAAACACGTTTTTCTAAACATCTGCTACCTCTGGGTCATCTGATTTTGAAACGTTATTTGTGTGCGTTTTAATTCAAAGAAACTGACAAAGATTTGTAAAAAATGTAGAGAAGACCCAGAGAGACAAAAAATGAACTTTTTACATAAAAAATTCCAATGTATAAATGCGGTGCTTTGTTGTCGCTTTATAAACCGTAAATTGTGTGAAGCAGTTATAGCACTGTAGTGTGCGTTACTCGTCCAGTGCAACAAAAAAGAAATATTTTTGGTTCTATCCTTATTGGAGGGTTAATACTTTTTTTAGTACAAACAATCAAAATTTTGTCAGTTTAATTTTTTGCACTGAGTTTTTCCAAATAGATAAATTCTGGTTCTGTTGCACCGAAAGCGAAGCAATTCTTCCAATCTACTGATACTTTAATATATACATGCAGTTGTAATTTCATTTAACTATACTCTTTAGGTGTTTATTATCTATGTGAAGCGTTACTAAGTTTTACATGTGGTATTCATTAAGATAAGCGGACTGATATATTAAATTTGACAAAGTATTTCAAACTAAATGTAACATTTTCCCATGTGCGTAACTTTGTAAAGTACGCCAGCTGTGGTCAGCCGACCAAATCGTAGACATTTAAACTATAAATGTTTCGTACGCCTTATTCCTGCAGATCACACACCAAACACGCCCATCTTCTTATTGTTTTTATATTTTGAAATGAAATTTGAAGGGCATTGCTTATTGTGGAATGGGGAAACTAGGTATGAGGGAAATTTTATTCAATAGTACACTTTCTCTTTCGAAAAGCTTACTCTAGAGAAGAAAATTGTACTCCAAAGCCAGTTTTCCTTAAGGAAAATCCAACTCTATAGTTTATTTCCGGGGGGATCAACTCTCACGTCATCTTTCGGGGGGGGGGGGTGTTTTTAGTTGGAAAAAAACTATTCCACAAAACTGACGTATATTTCAACTATTTATTTACATCAAAGGCACACCAATTGCCCATTTTTTTTCCAAATAATATACAAAAACTTTTAATTTTGAAGTAAACTAAGCGCAATGTTGAGTGATATTCACAAACGGCAACAAAAGCTTTACACTAAAGATATCCATAATTGGTGAACCTTGGGAACATGATGCACATGGACTTTGATCAGTTTCACGTTCGAATTTCCTTTATATATGTCGCAGGTTTCTGGAACGACTTGTTCAACTTATCTAAATACTTTTTCAAATACTTTTAGATTTAGAATCATCAAACCTTGTAAGTTGATGCATCTTGGAATCTTAAAACATATTTATTAAAAAGTAGGTTACAGTGACCCACTTTTTGAATTTTGCAGGCATTTGTTTTCAAATAAATTCAGACGCATATTCTGGACACTTTAGAGCCTATGTTCATCAGACTTTGTCAGTTGATGCATCATGGGTCCTCACAGAATGTCAACTAAAAAGTAGGACACCATGACCTACTTTTGATATTTTATGGCTATATTTATATATTTCAGGTACTAATTGGCTTAGAATCATCAAACTTTGTCAGTTGATGCATCTTGGTTCCTCGGAGAACGCCAATTGAAAAGTAGGTCACTGTGACCTACTTTTGTTATTTTATGGATATATCTTAAATATCTCAGGTACTAATTAGCTTAAAATCATTATACTTTGTCAGTTGATGCATTTTAGGTCCTCAGAGAACGTCAATTGAAAAGTAGGTCACCGTGATCTACTTTTGATTGATTGATTGTTTTACATCCCATTCGAGAATTTTTCAATCATATAGAGACGCCACCCTACACCGGTGAAGGATTTCTAATTTTGACCTTTATTCGGCACTCAGGGCCATTGAGCAGTGAGGGCCAACGTCTGCCGTGACCTCTGTTTTTAAGGTCTCATCCGAAGGACCCGCAACTTTCACTTCAAAGTGCCGAGCGCATGGCGAAGGAACAGTTACTACCCATTTTTTTTTATCGACTTAGGTCAGTCGCGGCCGAGATTCGAACTCACTATCTCCCGATCAAAGGAGCGAGCGCTCTATCGACTGAGCTACCATGAACGATGGATCTACTTATGATATTTTAAGGCTATATCTAAATAATTAGCTTAGAATCATCAAACTTTGTCAGTTGATGCATCTTTGGTCCTCCAAGAACGTAGACTAAAAAGTGGGTCACCGTGATATTTTCTGGCTACTTTTAAATATATCAAGTACTAACTGGCCACTGTGACCTATTTTTAGATATTTTATGGATATAATTTAGTAATTTCAGGTACCAATTATACCAATTATATTAGAATTATCAATCTTTATCAGTTGATGCATCTTTGGTCCTCGGAGTAGGTCAACTGAAAAGTAGGTAATTGTGACTGACCTTTTGAATTTTATGATGATATTGCAATATTTCAGATGCAAATTGTCTTAGAATCATCATTTTTTGTCAGTTGATTTAACTTGGTTTCTTAGAGTGTTTTAGCCTAAATGTAGGCCATGATGACATTTTTTTTTTTTCGATTTTCAGGCTTGATCTAAATATACAAGATACTTAGAGGCTTGAAATAGAAGTGACAGGTTTTACAATTTATCAGAAGAGCGATTCAAGGCCCTTTGGCCTCTTGTATTTAGTATGAAAGTATTAAATATATTTTTTCAACTGTTTTGCACACAAACCTGTACATAGCGATCAGAAGATTTAAGAGCAAAATTATGGCGATTACAGCATACAGAGCTTTAAGGTATGGTGCCAGAAACAATCCCCATTCAGATGGACAGCGATCCATCACACCACTTTTGTAGAGCGTTTTGTTGAATGTACAGTCTGGTTCTCTTACTAAAAGAGGAAAATTAATCAAATTAATCTACATACCTGTAATAAATCGCCGAATCTACTTCAAATATACTATCAACTAAGATTATGAAGACATTTTTAGGAGTAAGGAATTGAATACCCCTGAAGTGCCCTAGTTGAAATAATGTCAATTTTAACCATTTTGACTAGCCTTTTATCCGTTTCATTATAATCCCTGATTAATCACAACATTTTACCAGGTATAAATGCTTTTTTGCCATTGTCAATTTTGAACTGAATTGCAACCACTTCGTACTTGGATAAATGACAGTTCGGGTCATTTTGTTTATTTGCTTCTGAGCCTTATATCGATTCTTTTTGTTATTTTTTTTTTAATTGTTCTTACCGATGTTAACGGCAACTAATCGAATAGGGGTATAGGAACGTGTGCAAGATACCGCTAAACAAATTATGTAGTGCCTCACATGTATATTAATTGGTTGTATATTGTTTAAAGTTCAATTCGAGAATTTTTCATACCGGTATAAAGACGTCATCATATGCTGGTGAAGGGCTTCAAATAAAAACATATACTCAGCAGGGCCATTGAGTAGTGAGGGTTTTGTGCCAACGCCTATTTTGACACGGGACCTCGGTTTTTAAGGTCTAATCCGAAAGACCCGTGACTTTCACTTCTAGTGCCACCGTTCACGGTAGCTCAGTCTGTAGAGCGCTCGTTCCTTGATCGGGAGGTAGTGAGTTTGAATCTCGGCCGCAACTGACCAAAGTCGATAAAAAATGGGTAGCAACTGTTCCTTCGTCATGCGTTCGGCACTTTAAAGTAATTTCGACCACCGTTTAATTTCGACCACAGGAACACAACACCACACAAAGATCTACGAACTGTTGAGAGAAGTTTAATTTATTCGGAATTATAGAAAAATTCCTCATATTGTGTGTCGTAGTATAATTATTCATCGCAAATATGGCTTGATCAGAGATACAAATAATATTTTTAACTATCATTTATGTCTCCAGTTTGAGGTTCGAAGTCTCCGTCTTCAGTGCGCTTGATTTGATCAAGGAAATGCAAGAGAGACAACTCGTACAACCTCTTTTTAAGTCTAACCTTGTTCAACAGTCTACAGCACGAATTAAATTAAAAATTTTATTTGGGGGGGGGGGGATATTTTTAAGTTGCAGAATTTTAGAAATTTATCTTGGATTTCTCTCAAAATGCACAAGAAACGTCCATTTGATTTTGGTCGAAATTACCCCTACTGATTTTAGGGACGCGGGGTAAATTCGACCACTTATTCTGAAATATGTGTAAGTTGTCTTCAACAGCTGTTTAATGCAAAGCAGAGTCAGATCTTCAAAAAAATTATACTGTATATGTACAACATTATCTACACATAACCTTTTATATTAAAAAAATATGTCAGATTATTAAATTAACATATGCATGCCTAGCTATATATATTGTTTGGGCCGTTCATGAGACGTTGAATTAACACATGACGAGAGCAATCTAAGATTCCAAACCCGTCAAATTAACAAAAGAGAGGGTGCAGGCAATATTAAATATATGTAAAAAATCAGGTTTTTGTAATTTTTTTTCATTATTACGAATGCGTAAAATTTGATGAATAAGACTGAGGCTATCGAAAACCAAAGAACCTATCGTATTAAAATCGTATCACAAAGTCCAGGTAAAAAATCCAAATTGTACCCAAAATATCATAACAACACACCAAAAGAGCCGCAACAATCTTGAAAAAAAACACACACACTATGATGTTACACGAAATACTGAAATGATTTGTTTGAGTTTGGGTTTTTTTTCGGGAGGGTGGGGTGGGGTGGGGTGGGGTGGGGGGTCAGAGGACTTTGCTTCTGTAAATCTTTATTTAATCGACTTGATCGAATTTCTCAGGATCTATCTCTTTTAAGAATTAACAAAACATGTAAAATACCTATATTAACAACGCATTCCAAATGAATGTGTATATGGTAAAAATTAGTGAAGAAAAATATACGCAATTCTAATGCTATGCTCAAACCTTAAACATATATATACAATCTGAATGATTCTGTTGTGAAAAGACGATATTAAATAAAATCCCTTTTTGGGTTGGACAATTTAAAAATCATAACAAAGAAATTATTTGTGGGATCTGAGAAAATTTGATCTATTTTCATAACTTTATAACACAATTTTGAAATATAGAGTTGACGAATTAAAAGCAGAATTTAGAATAAAGAATAAGAATTTAGATGTCTATAAGACAGCATTGAAAAGCTTAAGTAATCCAACCCAATTTTTTACTGTATGGTTACTAGTTCTTATCCATTTTAACCTTTTTATTGAGAAAGATAGATACATGTATTTTCTAAATAAGGCAATATAGTTTCTCGGACCATAAAGTTTGAATAAAATGCGACAGGTAAAGTTTACATGCATTGCAAGAGTTATCTTTCTTTTAAATGTTTGTTTTGGTCGAAATTACCCCGAAGCCGGTCGAAATTAAACCATGCAACATGCTTACTTATTTTAAACCAATTCATTATTTTTTTATGCATTTGTAACTCCTTAAGCAAAAAATATGAAGAAAAAATCATTTTCTATTACTTTGAAACTTTTTTTTAACTAGTACATTTTAAAACAGTCGTGGTTTGTAGATTGAAAGCCACAAATCAGCAAAAGTGGTCGAAATTACTCCAGTCTACCCTAATTCTTCCCCTTTAAAATATTTTACTGAAAATTTGAGAAAGATCCATGCACACAAATAATTTTATCAAATAATTTACTTTATTAAAAAACTTACATCTATCATACTCAAGGGACAATTCCCCAAATAAAATCCAAAACCCATTCCGGATAATTCTTTCAATTTCGGTAAAACTAAGATCAGAGTTGTCAGTAAAAAGAATGGCGTAGTATGACACGCTGTAGCACCCACTGACCACCGTCATGATTGTCAAGAAAGCGAATGTGTCCATAAACTGAAAAAAAAAATACTGTGCAAATTATAAACTTTAGCAGAATATTGGATATCCATTTTTGTACAGTAAAACTCTGTTATAGTTAAGTCAAGAAAGCGGGGTCCAGTATATTTCGTTAAAATAGTTATAACCAATTCGCAAATAAATGATTCATTTTTATGGTTCATTGAAGGTTTAAAATTCATTAGTATGAATTGTTTATTTATATTTTTTATTCATTAACAATTAAAAGACTCATTGATTTTTAACAGTGAAATAGAATACTTAACTTTATTATAAAACCGTTGAAATGCTTTGAAATATAACCTATCTAGAGGGATATCTGGAAGACGAGTAAAGCCTATATTTATTATAAATTTTGCATAGTGAATACATATTTTCATTGTATTGTATTTTATCCCTTGGGAAATATGTTCTTGTGTGAAATTGTTTTCCTCCAATTATTTGTATATTTTTGGGGAAAAAAAGAGATAATAAGTTTTCAATATCGTCCACATATATTCTGTAACAATGACAGAGTTGCAGTAAGTTTTTTTTATAAATGCGTTAACATTACCTTCTTAAATCCGGTTTTAGTTCATTAGTACTTCCGTAAAAGCTAGTATATTTAGTTCTAAGTATGCATTTAACATGTTCATTAACAACTACAAATAGAGAAGCACTCATCATTTAGTATACATATTACTCAACTTTCAATAAAAAGAAATTTAAGTCAAAATTAAAATTACAGTTGAATTGCAAATGGTTTTATATTGTAAATAGTTCTTGTAAGTGAATAACTAATAAAATATTACTTTAAACCTCAATTTTTATATCAATAACGTTTGTGGAATTTCTGAAGTCTATTAACAATGAATTTCTGATACAAATAATAACTGTAAGTTTCATGTAGAATACTGTGATACGTACATGTACTGCTAAATTCTGAGTTTGGTACTATTTTGATGAACTTGAGTATGAAAGTTAAGCATTCTTGTAATAGGAAGCATTAATATCTTTTAAGTTCCATATAATTAATTTTTATAATGGGAAACTTTAATTTTAGAATGGAATAAAATGAAATATGATAATTCAATTTCACAGTTAATAAACACTGCATAGGCGTCGGAAGCAAATTGAAAGTGGAGGGGGGTATTGAAAGTGGGGGGGGGGTTTCTAAACAAACAAAAAAGGTAAGCCCAAATTTTCAATGCCTATATTATGTCTATCGGTTCCGACGCCTATGCACTGTACCTTGATTAAATATATTTAAACTTATTAACCAGAATAATATTTACTACACACACACAGTATGTAACATAGCAGTTGTAATTTAGAGAACTATGGTTACTATTGCAAACTAAGGATACTAAAAGAAATCAACGCTTGTATTCAAAAATATTTTTATGTGTCTGTGTGTGTGTAGTTAATTTTACTTTAAAAATATTTCTGTAGTTTACCATTTTCTTTATCATCACTAACTTTGCTCCAATAATCTCTGATATCATCAACATGTTAAGAGATCTAATACACATCAAGATGAAGGTCAAAACCAAAAGTGTCTTAGATGCGTTATGATATTTTTCTCCCTCGCCAAGTTTAAGCAGCATTCCACCGAGATACACTCCCATTAACATCCAGTCTAATCGATTCCACCAGTCATTTACATATTCCCTAAACTTTCTTCGTCGTAATGAGATAACAATCTGCAAAGGTAGAAACTTGTGTCTGTATTGTTGTTTACAATTTAGCTGATGAGTTGATAAGAACGATTCGCAGATGCAAAGTATAGAAAGTACATTTTTAAGCCATTCTGTTCTTTAATAATTCTTTTCTTCGTTATCATTTTAATTAAAAAGGTCCAAAAGACCGTTTCAGGAAATTTCCATATATATAATTTCGCAAGAACACCACAAGTTCATGTTAATAACAGGTTTCACTTAACAACTACATGTAATCGTCCTAAAAGTTTTATCTAGAACTTTGAAAATTTAGAAAGTTACATGTTCAAAATTTAGCACACATACAAATATACTACATATTTTCTGAAATTAATCACCTTGCTTTCATAGCAACGTAACTATAGACATTTTGAGCAAGAGACTTAAGAGCCTTACTGGTCACCTGAGTATAATAAAATACTCTAAAGGACCCACTAAGGAACTAAATAAAATATCATTTGTTAGGCCTAAAAAAATTGTGTGTTTCGGGTAATCCGACCAAACCTATAAAAATGCGCCGATCCTAATGTTTTTTTCGATGTCAGTATTTATCCGATTAAAATTTCTATTATTTATATGAAAAATCCGTTTTTATCAGAATATTTTTTCTCATTCCTAAGAAACGTCTTTAAAACGCTTTGGCTTACAGTCAACATTAACGGTATTTCAATCAACATGCAAGCGTCTTTATGACGGGTCCGACAGCATGGAATGGGAAATCTTAATCTTTTGAATAATATAATTTTCTGTAATTTAAAAGTTTAGTGATATTGTTGAAATGGTATTGGTGGGTTACGTACCGATTACGTGTTCGACCCGCGTAGTTTCGTACTGCGTATGTATAAGCCAACATATGTATACAAGCACACAGTTTAATATGAAATAACGTGTTTACAGACACACAGGTGTGTGGTAAACACACTGGTGTATTGTAGCTGTCTTCTTCTTCCTTTAAAGTGAAGGGCCGCTGCTGCGGCATTATCTCACTATGTTTAAAAAAACGTGTGCGGGAGGGGGAGTCCACGCATCTATATACAATTTAAAAACTGATAAAAACATGTACTGCATTCCTTTACGGTGCTTTATATCCCTGGATCCTGGTCTTAAAGGGCTCCAGTTACATGGCCGTGATGGTGTCTTCGGTGTCAATAGAGAGCAAAAGGCTTAATAGATATTTGTGTCAATTAGATTGTTTCTGTCATACAAATAACACGAATTATGAATGAGTACATATATTCAATATTTTTTTTTCTATCTTTCTAAAAGATTTTTCTTAAAATCATAGATTTGGATATAATTATGTGTATTAGAATACTTTAGATTGCTTTTTTCATAGAAGAAAGCCTGTTTGAATGTTTTGGAAAGAACCCACAAAGGCAGGGACAAGCTGCAGTGTAAACAGTAACTAGATAATTAACATTCACACAATTACAGCCTTCTTTGAAGATCAAAAACCTTCTTAACTGGTAAAAATATAATTGCTTCAAGATTGCAATAATGAATGGTATAAATAAAGATGATATTGTTCTGAATTCAAATGCATATCTGCCAAAGACCTAATTAGTATGAGTATCCCAAGAAAATAATTGTCTTTTATAAATTTGTTTTTAACGATTATGCGACTTGAACCACTGAGATTACCATAACTTCAAACCAGAATCTATAGACTGATGAATTCTTCCTCTTGGTTTGTTACACTTTGCTGCTGAAAATATTAGTTGATATGAAAGAGATTTATCAAATATATGAATTTTAATTATCGAAATTTTAATTTAACACGTCCAGCCGGATGTCAATACATGCAAATTTGTTCGCCTGCTGCAAAATTTGTGCATCTCAGGCGGTCGGGCGCAGGGTTATTTCAAACACTGATTTAAGAATATGTGATTTGTGTTAAAATGTAAGTTTTCCCTTGCAGAAGAGAAATTTAATAAAAGAATTTTAAATTATCCATTAACTGTTATCTTTTGGATTCAGAACGAAACCACTAAGGTCGTAAACACGATGGTCGAACACATATTTGTCACTTAACCACTCGTATTTGCTGAAATGAAGAGAAAATGAAAAATTAAAATGATATGAAACTGTAAAATTTTGTTGTCTGATGTTTTTCAAAAATGTCGGATTGAAATAAAATACAGAATAATATTCTCATGATTTTCTATCTCTGTTTCAGTGGTCATTTCATTCAAAAAAAATCCAAAAAAAAAATTCCCTACCTACCTACCTTAATTTTTTCATCAGTGTTACCCGAAACACACAATTTTTTCAGGAATTAATATACTTATGCACATTAAATGAAACAGTATTGGTTGAGAATATGGAGTACATTAAGTCTTAATGTTACCTCACACGTAAGCCTCTCTTCGTCTTTGAAGAATGTGTAATGTATAAAGATACTGTATATTTGTCTCATATTTATATATCTATTGCTTACACTGTATTAATAACCATGAAATTAATAACCATGAAAATATTATACATTAAAAGTTGTTGCTTCATTCTTTATTCAATTGACCTTTCAATTACATTATATACAGTCATTATTTATCATAGGTGAATAGGAAAGGGGAAAACCTTCTCTCAGTAGAGTACAAATTTCCCCGCCCAGCAACACAACAGGACCCAGTGCTCCAGAATTTCACATTTTGTAAAACACCCTTCATTATTGCTACATTGTACTCTTTGTTTTAGATGCCAAGGATGTTTGCCTCCTAGATCACAGGAAGAAAGAAGATTTCATTGGAATTCAAAGAAGTAATGCATTTTCACTATATTATCAACAGAGCCCCTCCTTAAAGCTGAACACTACTCATAAATAGGCACCGTAATACAGGTATATAAACCCTTCGATTTCGTTACACCCGATTGCACACTTGAAACTGTGCATTTTCTGTTTTTAAATAATGCATTGACTTGTATATTTGTTGTTACTTTTCCCCTGGCTCGGAAAAAGTGCGTAAACTTTGATAATTTCATCGCGACTGAGTAACACGGCAGTGTAAGATGTACGTCTTCTCAGGTGACAACTCTACAGCGAAATACTTTGGGCTGTTACGAGGTCTGCGGCTTATATAGGGGTTGTTGGGATAGCGGTGATGAAAGGGAAAATATGGCGGACAATGGCCTTTTACGAGTAGTGTTCAGCTTTAACACGGAAATTTTACAATGGTTGGAAGAAGAAAACCTTGCTCATCATAAAAAAGCACTAAGTTTATCTGCTAAGTACACAGGAGCAGAGAAGGATAAATAAATAGAATCCCACCTTAACTCCAGAAATCCTGACAAAGCTGGGGCCACAATTTTGGATGACCCTAACAGCAGAAGTCCGTACACTTGGGCCACGAATTTCACAATTTTGGAAGAGATACCCGTGCTCATCATAATAATGCACTAAATTTATCTGCTCAATACCCAGTAGCAGAGAAGAAATATTTCAAGGAAATAATGCATTTTCACTATAATATCAATAGAGTCCCTCATTATCACAGAGCCCCTTACTCAGGGGTAAGAGGCACACTCACTCATCATTACCATTACCAATTTTGATGGTTTTATCCCAACCCCTCAGGTCCCCGCAGGGACCATAAAATTTACAATTCGTGTTACCATTCACCCATAGATGCTGTATGTCAAAACTGGTTGAACGGTTCCAGAGAAGTTGAAATGTTAACGCAGAATGAACGACGACGAACAAAAGCAGATTCTCATAGGTCACCAGAGGGCCTAAGAGTGACTTAAAATTGTAAATCCATAAAAAAAAAGCACGCTAACAGGCGAATAATATGTTATTTATTTTAAAACAAATCCATATTTGATTCCTTGGCAAAAATGAAAAAAAAGTTTCTCAAACTAATTTCATTTCTTAAATCAATTTATGTGGTAAACAAGAATATCATTACATGTTTGAAAATATAGAGGTTAGTAGGCAGTTACAGTAAACATAAAATTTAAGCTTTGATATATTTCCATGGATGGATTGCGATGTTATAGATGTTCATCAAAAATGCACAACCAAATTTTGTGATCATAATTTGTAGGGATATGCGATTTTATCGGTATACCGGTATATCGTGATTTTTAGCTCTACTGGTCAGAGACCAGAAGAGCTTATGCGATAGTAAGGTGTCCGTCGTCCGTCCGTCTGTCTGTCTGTCCGTCTGTAAACAATTTTTCAAAATGCTACTCCTCCTACAGTTTTGGTCTGATTTCAATATAACTTGGCACACAAGTAGACTACACTAAGATACATAATTCTGTGTATCGATTTTTGATTTCGATGAACGGTGTTGCCATGGTTACTAAAAATAGAAATTTCTGTTAAAAACATTCAAAATGCTACTCCTCCTACAGTTTTGATCTGATTTTAATAAAACTTGGCACACAAGTAGACTATACTAAGTTGCATAATTCTGTGTATCGGTTTTTTGATTTCGATGAACGGTGTTGCCATGGTTACTAAAAATAGAAATTTCTGTGAAATACTTTCAAATTGCTACTCCTCCTACAGTTTTTATCTTATTTCAATATAACTTGGCACACAAGTAGACTATAATAAGATACATAATTCTGTGTATCGGTTTCTGATTTCAATGAACGGTGTTGCCATGGTTACTAAAAATAGAAATTTCTGTGAAATACTTTCAAAATGCTACTCCTCTTACAGTTTTGGTCCGATTTCAGTATAACTTGGCAAACAAGTAGACTACACTAAGGTACATAATTCTTTACCAGGTTATATTGATTTTCTGATTTCGATGAACATTGTTGCCATGGTTACTAAAAATAGAAATTTCCTTGAAATACCTTCAAAATGCTACCCCTACAGTTTTGGTCTGATTTTAGTATTACTTAGCACACAAGTAAACTACACTAAGATACACAGTTCTCTGTACCAGTTTCGGATTTCAATGAACAGTGTTGCCATGGTTACTAAAAATAGAAATTTTCTTGAAATACTTTCAAAACGCTACTCCTCCTACACTTTTTGTCTGATTTCAGTATAATGTGGCACACAAGTAGACTACAGAGAAACATAATTGGTGTTTTTGTTTTTTGATTTTGTTGAATGATGTTGCCATGGTAACTTAAAGCAAAATTTCTGTAAAATTGTTTTAAAAGGCTACTCCTCCTACAGTTTTAGTCTGTTATGATAATAAATCTTGCCACAAAAGAGACTAAATCAAGGATAATTATTCTATTTATTGCTGTTGCAAAGTTTCAAGTCCAAGAGCTACTTTTATCTTCCTTTATAAATACAACCAGTAGAGCTACAGTCTCGTCAGAGACTTCTGGTTAATTGTGTGATACGGAGATTAAAATACCTATATTTAGGTACACAATTATTAAGTCTTGAAATTATTTATTTATTTGTTTAAACTTTCAAATTACAATTACAAAATGTTGAAAACGGTAAAAGAAAAGCGTCCTAGCATCCAAACATGCCTTATACCAGTATTATGTAAATAAAAATGTGAAAAGGGAAGTTACGTTTTTCCAGCATATTTATAGGAAAAAATAAAGATATTCATTAAAAACCATGTAAAAAATGCGTGCAACAAATATCATGATATTATCTTGATATTCTGGGGGGGGGGGGGGAATCATGATATATCGCGATACGAAATTATTGGCGACACCCATCCCTAATAATTTGTGTGACGTTTCATTTAGATTGTCCAAGTCATCTGCAAGAACATCTGGGGGCAAAATTTTAGGTTTAACAATAAAAATGTTTCACCCTGATTTCGTGAATAGTATAAGTGTGTTATAAACGTTAAAAAACCAAGAAAATATATTGTCTGATTGATTATTCTCATTTTGACTTTTGCTGAAAGAATAACTGTTACCTGTTTTGATTCGTCAAGGAAAAAACTTGCCATCCATCCAATCAAAAACCAATCCACTTTTGAGATCCCGTCAGTAAAATCAAAAAGTAACATGTAGGCAAATGCAGTTAAAACAGCCACCCAGCCAAACTGTTATAGAAGATAATATAGTTGAAAGACAAAGTAAATCTTTATGATTTCAATAATTAATCATATTTATATATTTATATGTCAACTGGAATTCTATCCAAGAAAACGAATACCTATGACATTTTTGATGAAATTAAAGACAAAAAGGGGGAGGGGATAACGAACAGTGAACGATCTCATAAATGTTTTAACAATCCAGCTCAAAAAAAAATTTAAACTAACATGTTTTTGTGAACTAATTCAGTACAAATTTTATTAATTAATATATTGCTAGTAAACAAGAGAGGGAAAAAAGACATGAAAAATTATGCAATTCCATTGTTATGATTGAGTTATGATAGCTCAATTGATAATTGACTTTGAAGTTCTTAATTGCTCCTCTTTTCGAACAAAAACCAGAATTAATTCATTTAGACATATCAGAAAGTTTTCACAGACCTTTGATTGAGCAACGTTTATGTAAGAGTGACTTCCACATATTTTTTTTTATTAAGAACTTATTGGTATGTTGTCACTGAGATCCAGTTTCCATTACTTGACCCTTTTTGTGTTTAAATCAAGGCTCTTTCAAGAAACTGTAAGTGTAGAAAACACAACTCTTTTGAGCTTTTGAGTCACGGCATTCTACTGAATAATACTACCAAACTGGTTTTCTTAGAAATACTGAACTAGTACACAAGGTACTTATATCTTTCAGTTTCTCCTGATGAGCACAAACGAGCTTCGCAAACGCAGTACATTTTCTACACTAACACAACCGAAAAGTAGTCCCGATTAAGAATCAATCTAAATATTTCATGTGAATAAAAAGGAGGAATAAAAAGTTTTTAGGAGAAATATGCCAAGGCTTAAAAAATAATATTTTAATATATTAAAATGGGAATGGTACTCAATTCCAATAAAGCTCTCTGAAAACTTTATTCATATGAAACGTAGTGACATAAAGGCTATTATCCTTGCAAAAGGAGGAGAAAACTCACTGCTACAAAAGTAAATTTTAAAACAAAAAGTCTGTGAGCAATGCTCACTAATAATACCCCCGCTCTGATGTAAATGCATTTACGGTCAGACACGGGGATAAACAGGAAGTTGACATCAGATTTGTACAAAAACAAATCCGCCATATGACATGCCTAAACGAAAAGTGTGCTGAACTCTCAAGAATCAGCGATAAGAAGATGCTGAGAAAACTGCGACCAAAATTTGTTATGTATGGTACGGACAGACGCACGGATAAACAGGAAGTTGACATCAGATTCGTACAAAAATGAATCCCACCATATGACATGCCTAAACAAAGAGTGTGCTAAAATTTCAAGCACCTGCGACGAATAGTCTGAGAAAACTTCGACCGAAATTTGCTACGTAAGCTACAGACAGACGCATGGATAAACAGGAAGTTGACATCGCATTCTCACAAAAATGTATCCAACCATATGACATGCCTAAACAGAGTGTGCTAAAATTTCAAGCATCTGCGGTAAATAATTGCTGAGAAAACTGCGACCAAAATTTGTTATGTATGGTACAGACAGACGCATGGATAAACAGAAAGTTGACATCGGATTCGCACAAAAATGAATCCTGCCATATGGTATGCCTAAACAAAGAGTGTGCTAAAATTTCAATCAACTGTGATGAGTACATATAGTTGCTGAAAAAAACTGTGACGAAAACTTGTTACAGACAGACACACGGACACACAAGGGTAAAACAGTATACTCCCCTCTCTTCGGAGCGGGGGTATATTAGGGTAGAAAAATTGTTGAGCTGTACATATTATTGACAGGACAAAAACAAGAACCTCGGGAAAAAAGAATGCCTTAAAGGGATAAACCTCCCCTGTAGTTCACTCCTGAGCCCTGTGTTTTCATCATGTAAACAGAGCAATCCGAAGTCAAAATGGTAAATAATGTACATTAAAAAGCCTAACATGGGAAACTTATCAGTCAAAATACGACCCAACGATGGGATGTGTTTTCAAACTATGTCATTTTGCAAAATACTGACTTTAAACGATCTTTTTGAAAGCTCTGTGATTTCTATTCATTTGTCGGTAAGATTTCTGGGGTTGAAAATTTATTCGCACCCAGCATGCTTTTGCGCACAGAACTAGCAGGGAAAATATTTATAATTATTAATATCCGGAAACTATTACCGAGTTGCATTTACATTGCATTCTCTTTATTACAAAAATCAATGATGATTTTTCTATCGTAACAAGAAAAATAACACATCAGTTCCCAATGTGAACTTTCTAAATCAACCACAAATAGATCGGATACTCCTGCGACTCATAATGAAACAGATAGGGTAAACTCTGTGGTGTCTTTTTTTTCGATTTTACTGGGAATTATCGAGTCAATGTACGGAAAAAATAACCTGGTTTACTTATGAAAGATATATCTTACTGTCGAATTGAAAACCACATTTTTCTTCTTGTCATATAAGTATTTTGAATAAGTTATGCTTAATTAGTAAATACAAAACAGGTCGGTTAATAAAGGGACATATTTTGTTCCTATACGAATTTCCATCAGAGTTTTGAAGACTACATGTTAAAGATAAAGTAGTGAGAACCTCATCATACCAAATTTAGAACACTTGTATATTTTAAATAATAAACAATTTTGTAGGTGACCAATGACAAGATTTGAAATTTTCCAAGTTCCGTTTTATTAAGAAGCAGTCGTCTATGACGTCAAAAGCCTGTATTATAATATAAATATTAGTATATGTATAATATGATATAAACATATGTATTGTACCCTTTAATACATGGAAAAATCAAAACATTTATAATACATACAGCATTAAGTAGAACCTTCATAGCAGGGACTTTGTACTGTCTGTATAACCTGGAAATAATCAATTTCGACAATAAGATGTCTTAAATATTTCCGTAATTTCTATTTTTTAATATTTATCAAGATGCTTTGGATATACTAGGGCATTTAGTACTTTAAATTTAAATCCTTGAAAGCTGTACCCGATAAATAAAATTAAGGAAAAAAGAGGATGGAAGAAATGTAAAAAAAAAAAAAAACAAACAAAAAAACAAGAGGCCCAAGGGCCTTAACGGTCACCTGAGTACAATACAACAATTTAGAGGATCCATAAACTGATAAATGAAGCTTTGTTGCCCAACAGCAAGAAAAATAGTATGATTTGCATCAACAAAATAATTGGTCTAGTATCTATCTGCCCCCCCCCCCCCCCATTTATCACTATTCCCATGCAAACTATTAACAAAATGTCTATTATTTAACCCCATATTATTCCTTCTCACAATGGCCTCTCTTGGCCGTTGAAGAACATTTAAAAAGATAAGTTATTTTTGTCTCATTTTTATTCATCTATTATTTCCAAGTCATTAAAACTATATAAGTACTTTTTTTTATTATACAATAAATTTTCTTGCATAATTCTCTTATTCTATTAAGCTTTCAAATACATTATGTACATTGATTAATTATCAAAGGTGAATGGCTAAGGGGAATAACTTTGCTCAGTAGAATACAAGTTAATAGAGCCCTGGCCAGGACCAGAAAACTTGACTAAATGGTCCAGGTGTTCAAAATTCTGGTAAAAATACCCTTGCATATTAAAACTTTTACTCTGTTTGCCATAAACATCCAGAGAAGCACAGAAGATTTTCAAAGAAATGCATTTTCACCATATTATTAAATAAACAAAGCCCCATCCTTACACCAGAACATCTGACCTATTGGCCACGAACTCACAATTCTGAAAGAAGCACCCTTTCTCATCATGCCGCGACAGACCTAAGTCGATAAAAAATAGGTAGCAACTGTTCCTTCGCCATGCGCTCGGCACTTTGAAGTGAAAGTTGCGGGTCCTGCGGATGAGACCTTAAAAACCGAGGCCCCGTGTCACGACAGGCGTTGGCACGATAAAGATCCCTCACTGCTCAATGGCCCTGAGTGCCGAGTAAAGGTCAAAATTTGAAGCCCTTCACCGGTATATGGTGACGTCTCTATATGAGTGAAAGATTCTCGAATGGGACGTAAAACAATATACAATCAATCAATCAACTTTCTCATCATAACTATACACTTGTTTCTTTAGTTTATAACCAGTAGTAGATAAAAAAAATTTTGAAAGAAATTATGCATTTTCACTATATACATGTAATCAATAAAGCTCTCCCCACCCCACCCACCCACCAAAACCCCTGACCCAGGGGCCATGAATTTCACAATTTTGGAAGAGGCATTCTTCCTTATCATAACCATGCACTTCCTTTGTTTGAAAAATACTCAGGAGCAGAGAAGATTTTGAAAGAATTCATGCCTTTTCCCTATATAATCAATAGAGCCCCCCCCCCACACCAGAACCCCTGACCCTGGGGCCATGAAATTCACAATTTTGGAAGAGGCACTCTTGCTCATCATAACTATGTACTTAGTTACTGTATTTAATATCCAGGAGCAGAGAAGAAGATTTTCAAAGAACTAATGCATTTTCACTATATAATCAATAGAGCCCCGCCCTAACACCAGAACCCCTGACCCTGGGGCCATGAATTTCACAATTTTGGGAGAGGCACTCTTACTCATCATAACTATATACTTAGTTAGTTTATTTAATACCCAGGAGCAGAGAAGAAGATTTTCAAAGAAATAATGCACTTTCACTATATAACCCCTCCCTAGCACCAGAACCCCTGACCCTGGGGCCATGAATTTCACATTTTTGGTAGAGGGCTCAATGCTTACTACAATCATGCCAACAGTTTGACTGCTTGATGTCCAGGAGTAAAGAAGAAGATTTTTAAAGATTGCATTAATTTTGGTGGTTTTAGCCCCACCCCTCAGGCCCCAGGGGGGGGGGCAGGGATCATGAAATTCACAATTTTTGTTCCCCTTCACCCATAGATGCTATATGCCAAATTTGGTTGAAATTGGTTAAGTGGTTTCAGAGAAGAAGCTAAAAATGTTCAAATGTTAACACACGACGCACGAGAACAGATAGCAATAGGTCACCTGAGTGACTCAGGTGACCTAAAAAGTGCAGATGGAGAAAGAGAAAATGTTAACCTTGACCTTTCGGCTTAAAGCCACATAAATTTAAAGTTAAGATTTTCATCTTAATTTGCTTTTAAATTGGTTCGGGTGGGCGGATGTTACGTTTTATCTTCTATTACTGTAAACATCTAGATATAACGATCTTCGTATACAGAATTTTCACATTGTAATGCCAATATGGATATATAGATTCGATGTCTTATTCTTAAAAATGTGTACAGAAGATACTTTTACTATGAAATATTTGATTTTATGAGAACGTTTATACAAGACACACATAACTGCTTTTATGAAACTTGGAGTGGATCCAAATATTTTGTGCATATTGGTGCTTTACATGATATTCACCATTTCTCATTGGCTTTTTTTCTAAATATATTTTTTTTCGTTTGGATAACAAATACTTGTGCTTTGTCCAAAAATATCACAAATTTCCACTGTCCTTATAACATACAATTTTTCGTTCTTAAAACGTTCGATGTTGTCAAAATTTTACACAACACATTATGTTTAATTTTAGCCTTTACTAAACATTTCCTATATATTTACCATGTACACTGTAAAGTCTGCCGACAAGCTTTATTCTATATAATAAACTCAGCTTTCTTTGCTCTCCACATGCTACTGTGGTTAAAAAAGTGCCACGCGACTTTTTTTTTATACAAACGGGGAGTAATTCTAAAACTTTGCCCGTGATCGATGCCAACAAACTTCCAATTGATTTTTGATTAAAAAAATTGACAAATTAAAAAAAACAATGGGCGGGTGACTTTGAGAGGACCATAAGAAGTTATGATATAAAATTTCATTGCAAAAGCTCAAAAGCTTTATATTTATGTTTGAATTTATCAAAAGAGGTCTTTATGTCATAGGGAGTTGTGGTATAAAATTTTATTGCAAAACCTCAAGGGTTTCTCGAGATATCGCCCGGAAATGAAAATTTTTCACACAGACAGAATTTATAAATTTATGACCTTGATCTATCATCTCAAAATAAAAAAGGATCTGTTTTAGGCCATAGAAAGTTGTGATATAAAATTTCATTGCAAATTCTTCAAGGCTTCTTGAGATGTCATCCGGAAACAAATGTTACACACAAAAAAAAATACGGACAGACAGACCCAAATTAATACAACCCCCCACATCCAGTGAAATCGGGGGACAAATAAAATGTGCACGCTTGTACTACGTAATTAGGATTCTGTAGAAGTCTTATTAAATTTTACTCAATGGTATGGGAGGAGTTGCAATTAAAAGAAGCCCCCCCTCTAATTATTTAAAGAATATCTTGGATATATTTTGTAAACCCTTTAATATGTTTCCGATCCAAATGCAAAATAGAAGGTGCACAATGGCACTATTAAACAGAGATTCTGTAAGGGTCATTAAAATTTATTTAGTTGTATAAGAGGAGTTGCATTTAGGAGATGAGTACCACTATTATAGAAAGACTCGTAGTGTTCATGTTTTTCTAGGGAAACCTAAAAGAAGTGGCTGATCGAAATGCAAATTAGAAGGTGCACAATCACACGTTGTCATGATCCTGTATGTCTCCAAAAATTTTATTCAGTAGTATAAGAGGGGTTCCAGATAATGGATGGCTACCCCCAAGCGTAAAAAACGTATAAACGGACATTCCCATCACTTTTTACATTTACCTCCAAGCTTTTTATAGCGGGTATATAAGAAATAGCAAGTAAGTGTAATTTTACCACTGCAAAGGCCTGTTTTCCATTGTGATCATCAAAACTGGCAACAACAGGAAATGAAACACGGTGAAAAACAAAAAAAGTAAACCCTGGAACAAAGAAGAAGAAATAATGCAATGTGATTGAAAGGTTTTTATCACGTATCTAAATTCTTTTAAAATGAAACACTATTATATTCTTGAAACATATAATTTTCGTTTAATTATGAAATAACTTTGAAAACAGTCATAATAAGGGGATAAAACGCCCGTAATTTAGAGTTCTCAAAGTAAAAATCGCCACTAATTAGATAGGGATCACGTGGTACTGAAACGTCATAGGTGTCAATGGTCAATTAGAACTCGTAAAGCTTATCGTAAGAAAAATGTATCAAATAGATTTTGATGTTAAATAATATACACTGCACAATAAGGTCGGTGGAAATTTTGACATCGACGATATTCTATTAGTTATAGACGGTCAATCTTTTATGTATGAACGTCTAGCAGAGAGAAATAACCAAGTAAATATGCCGACAATATAGGAGAGGACACGGAAGACGAAGCCGTTGACAACTCGGGAGTTCCGACTAAATAGAACGAATAACTAAAGTTCGACTTCCTAAATATTTATAAATATGAGAATTTTAAATTCAGCTTCTTCATTATTTTTAGTCGCCCGCGTGGCGCAGTGGTTAGAGCGTCTGCTCTAGAGTCGCGAAGTAAGGGGTTGATCCTTAGGTCGCGGGTTCGAATCCCACTGTGGGACTTGGAGACCAGTCCTTCGGATGAGACCGTATAAACCGAGGTCCCGTGTCGCAGAATGTGCTGGCACGAAAAAGATCCCTCACTGCTCAATGGCCGTAAGTGCCGAGTATAGGACAAAATTTGCAGCTCTCCACCGGCAAGTGGTGGCGTCTCCATATGAGTGAAAAATTCTCGAGAGGGACGTTAAACAAAATACAATCAATCATTATTTTTACAAACTGTATATCTACCCGTTCCAGTGAATTTCATGTACTAAGAATGACATTTCTTCAACACTATTCGATGGCGCCGTACGCCATTACAAAGAATGAATCCTCATAACACTGCTTTCTCGCCCCTTTTTAAATGCATAATTTTACCTTTTAAAATTAGAACATTGTTATATTATAGCTAAAGTCTTCAAGCATAGTCTGTATAGATACTCATAAAAGATTTTTTGGGGAAAGAGACTTTCAATATATACATTATATCGATTAAATAAAATCGCATACTTCACTGTAAAATCCCGGTTTCGCCATTACAGTTATGCAGGTCGTTGTATTATTTAAATGAGAAGGCGGAGCGTCTATCAAGCGTGCGATTAGTATGAATGAATACATTAGCGTGTGTTCGAGGTGTACTAAGTTTTATGATTAACTGACACCTAAAAAGCCTTTTTTTCATGCTAGAGACAGACAAAATGTAAGCATACATTTTTTTTTAATTTGGCTGGCTTAACTTTGATTTCTTTTCTGCTTAACTTACGAGTCGTATTTGAAATGATTTACTAGAAATTCATTAAAAATTATTTATACATTGAATACACAATGGACTTTGGAAACAGAACGAAGGATGCACTATTTTTCATACTTCAAAGAAACCTTTTTTTTGAAAAAGAGATAATTAATCCATATAAGCTTATTACATAATTTGAAATTTTTTCATACATATGTAGATTTTTGCAAAATCCGAGTGCTACAACAAATACACGTAGGCGGTTGAATTATGATATAAAACTACACTCGGTGTATAAAAAATAGATAGTTAAGAAAGTGAAAATTTAAACGTCAATTAAACGTCAGTATCATCGCTGGTGGGTAAAAAAACAGTGTCAGTGTACTTTGTACAGTCCAAATTGCATTGTTTCAAAAAAAAAAAAAAAAAAAAAAAAAAATCTTGTTTATTCATGCCAGACCAGTTAATATGATCTTCCTCATTTAGGAATTCATTAATTGCCGAAATCCACTCCTGTACTTTTTGATTTTAACAAACTTTCTCCCTGTAGTAAGATAAATAATAAATCACTCCCAGGTAATTTTAACGCCCTTTTTATTTGACTGATGTTTTTTTTTACTAATATCGTTGAAGGGACATGTGAAAGGGTCAAACAAATGCATGTTCTTGCTTTTAAACATTATGCTTTTAAAATACCTGCGAACATGGACTTTTTTAAATGATCTGCAACCAAAAAAAAATTGTAAAATTTTGTGCCGATGTAAAAAGTTATAACATTTGCTTCAGAAGAAACCTGAAGCTTCCTTCTATTCAAATTAGGGGTGCTTTTTTGTGCAAATGTATTCAGTGACTTTTCATCCGATACACAGGTTTTTTGAGCGCTCGGTACTTTAATTTCTTTCCATGAAGGTTTCTTCTATTGGAAGTATGCATTTGTGCACTTGTAACTAACAAACTATTTTTCTAAAGGTATGATGAATTGGTGTTTTTCAAATAATGGACTATAAAATTAATGACAGTTTTAACTGAAAAAAAATCTTTCATATCTTCCAAGTCAATGAACGGAGCACTGATGTATATTTAGGAACAAGGGCAAATGTATAACATACATGTATACCCACAGTAATTTAAATTTTAGAATTCTGTATTTATGAGACACAAGCAGTAAGTGCAAGCTACAGGACTTCAATATAAATTGATAGATACCGAAAAAAAATCAAACAAAATCGACTGAAAATCTTAACACATCTTAATCATAAAAAAAAATTCTCCCAAAATTTTAATTACCCATTTGAAAAATGATTTGACCATCGATGGCTCGCAGACACTAGACACAATGTCGCATAGGTGTGCTCAAAACGCGAAAGTGAATAGATTTGAGTCACGTGTTCAGTGCTTTGTTATTCATGAGGTAAAAGACGGGTTGAAATTTGTAAACAAGGTGCCTTTACAATGGAGACAAGCATCCGTGATTTTGCACCTTTTTTGAAAATAACAAATGAGCGCAAGACTGTTTCAATTTCTTTCATGAATGTAAATGACTAGTATAACTCTTTACATTGACCGTATTTACGACAACTTGAAACATCCATGCGCTCATATACAAAATGGGCTTGCAAAATGGGGGTGTGGCCTAAAGTCTATGAGAAATCGATGTAAACAACATACCCCTGCTATATTAATCACATAAATGCCTAATTACAGCGCAAGGAGGTAAAAATTGAAATTGAAATTAATAAACTACAATGTTTGTTGGAAAGATTGAGGCGAAAATATGTAGAAAAATTTTGATTTAATTTTTTGTAATTTATCGGGGGGCCAAATTTGGACGTTTAAAAGATTCATCCTTTCACAACATTCCTACTAGCATGTGCGACTTTAAAAATACGTGTTGTATATATTTCCGTTTCAAAAATTGTCCTTAAACTATTTTATAGTATAGAAAAAAAGGTGATCGGGCATAAACGATTGTTCTGAATGGAGGCAAAGCCCTCGCGTTTGCAGAAAAAGGGCCACCTTTCCCTTTTCGACCTAGTCCAGGAAATGTGGAAAAAGTCTTCTTAAAATCTTTCTTGTGCGCATTTGTGCATCGTAAAGCCAAAAATTATACCTTACTAATTGTCATTTATTCAATTATCACTTATTTATTTACCAACAGGTTTAATAGACACAACGAATGAGCCGTTTTGTATACACAATAAGTACTTTGCTTGACCAGGATTGACACCTTTGACGTCAGAGCAATGGCGCATTGCATCGGCGATCAAAATCTTCAACACCAATCAACATCAACAGTATTAATTTTCTAGCAAAGATTTTAAAATATATGATTTTAATAACATGTTAATTTTGTCATATCAAAAAATTTTGAGACGTGATAAAAACCCCTTTAATTTGTCAGTAATATTATTTATACAACCTATCGCTTTGAAAGAGTTTCATTATGTAAAAATATATAAAAATTATTAACAGGAATATTAATTTACAATCAAATGTTAATTGTTTGACTTTTATATCCATTCTGTCATATGAATACAGCTAAGAATGTAATGCATATCCATTCATCCCAGTGGTTTCAATAGAATCAGTCACATCTTGTTTGGCTGACTAAAAAAATATGACCACTAATATCAAACCTGTATGACAGGGGATGACTTCAGCTTTTTTATCGTCAACTCCCTTTGTCTATGCATTATTATATTCCACTATCACTAGCCTATATATGTGAGATGTTTATGTATCCCAGCATTTAAGATACACAGGAGCATTCTTTGAATACAATCGGTATTAAACTGTGACTGGTAACTGACTTAAATGTTGATGCTGCAGTTACAGCTCGTTTCAAGTCAGCTTTTCGAAACTTCTACGGTCGTTAAAATGACTTGTTTGGTTTATCTTTTGTTCGTTTCACACCACTGGTTAGACCTCTTTTATTCAATATTAGACTACGAATAACTCTGTCTACCTGATCAATATATTTGGTTCAAGGCGGTCTGAATGGTGGACAAGGGATGCTTACTCCTCTTTAACACATATGTTATTTCTAATGGTTCCCCATGGGCCGTGTTACAGACCTTATTCACATATTTTTATCCTTTTTAAGATTTATTTCCAAGCCGTCGCCCGAGTTCTGAAAAGGGGTTGCGGGGAGGGTCTTGGAGGGTGTTCCCTCGCAGAAGCAAGTTTTTTTTAATTAAATATCTGTTTATTTTTTCTGCTCCACTTGGCTTTAGGCATTAATTTTCTTAACGCTTGCAGATATTGAGCTGATTTTATGGTATATGAGCTGATGTTTGTTCTGATTCGATGGCTTTTGACGGAATTACACCATTTTAATTTTAAGGGAAATAGATGGTCCTTGCCGGAAGGGGACTAATATTGCTTATGCAATACTCTCAGAATGCTTGTTTTAATAGCAATATGTTCCAGGGTTTTTTTTTAAATTAAACAACATAACAGGTTTCAGAAAAAGAGGCCCAGATACATAATTAAGTACATGTACAAAAATATGGTACTACGTGTAGATAGTCACACATATTCTTCTATATACAGCAATAAAGTTTTTTGAAAAATTGCTTACTCTTTGAAGGGAAATACTTTCGCTATTGTACCACATCTGGCTAATGACTTTCTTGACTATCTCATCATTTAAGTACACGCTATTTTGTGTCTTTATTGCATCTGACAAGTATCCATGATTTAGTAAAAGTCTTCCAGCGTGGTTGATTTGATGTCCAACCTGTTCTGCATCCTTCTCCTCATTTTTAGCCCTTTTCTTTTCGGGTTTTGTATCCGCCTCATGAATACAACTTGTAATTCGCAAAGCCTGCTGAGTGCACAAACTATTTAAAAGAAAACAAAATAAAACCAAGCTAAGTCATGAATTTAAATACCCTGCTTAAGGAAAAAAGGGGCGGAAGCTATTAGAAAATGCAGAAAAAAATGAGCTTGATCTGTTAGCTTCAAAATTCTTACATGCACATTCCGGATATTAAAAGGAAATATTACTTGTATATTCACATGAATAATTTAGAAAATTCCAAATTTTAGTAGGGAATATGAGATATCAAGGCTCTTGATATCAGGGAAGTTCTAGAGTAAAGTTTCATATTAAATTAACGAACCAAAGTATTTACTATAATTAACTATCATTTTTGTTAAGGGATTGGTCTAAAAGTCAAAAAGGCTCTCTCGTTTACCTTCGACCTTTTGACCTCAAAATTAATACTGGATTCTTTGTCATATTGACTCATGGTATACATTGCATTTCAAAACCTCAGCAACAACTAATGTAAGCATCTGCAAATCATTTTTTGCAAGATTTGAAAGCCTGACCTTGCCTTTTTGACTTCGAAATCAATAGGTGTCTACTTAAGCCATATAAATAATTATAAAAAAAATCATTAAAAAGATTCAAAAGACAACAAACATATTTTCTGGAAACCATTCTTCGCAATGTATCATTATCTGACTTCGCATTTGACTTCATCATTTATAGGGATCATTAGTTGAAGGGAGTAAGGATACACGCTTGTATTGAAAAAGGCTGGAGAGAATTGAAAACCTAATTTTACACCCCCCCCCCCTCCCACAAACGAAGTTTAGGGGGTATATTGGAATCACCATGTCAATCTGCCTGTAGACGTGATTTTGTCCGGACCTTTTCTCGAAGACTATGTATTTGTCTGAAAACTTGTACACTCATTATTCACCATATGAAGGTGTGCACCTGGTATTTTATTCATGATTGGATAATTTTTCTGCATTTTACAGGTGTTTACTTTTTTACTGACTTAATCATTTTGGGTTTATGTAGGTTTGAGACATAAAATCTAGAGCTGCCAGTTGGTACATCTGTACAAAAATGTGAATTGAAGCTTAAAACTACTCATTAAAACTTTAAAAAAAATCATCAAATATTAAAAAAACGTATTTTGGTAGATAATCGTTAAAAATCGAAGTCACGCTGTAACCTTATTAAAAACGCTTCATCAATATTACACAGTTCTTTTTTTCATTATGTAAAGCTTTCTAACAAATCAAACAAATTCTTTGTTTCAAACAGAATGACATAAATATGAATTTTCTATTGTACTACGGTGCATAACACAGCAGATAATGTAAATCCATTTGTCCCTTGGGAGTAATGAGTGGACATGCATCCATTTGAAGATTAACTAATGAGATCAGAGTGAGAAACTGTTACATCATCTCTGATCTAGCAGGTGTTATCTATATCTCCTGGGAATTGGACAGAAGAATTAAAGATCTCTGTTCTCTAACTCTCTTAGTTGTTATTTGAAGCCTGTCAAATTAAAATTCATAGTTACTGGATGACCAGCCTTTTATTTTTAAAATGAATGTTGTATATATTTATCATGATTAATTTGTATTGAATAATATGATTTTTTTTTTCAAACAAAAATTGCAGAATGTTATGTCTTACAAAGATTACAGATAATTTCAATTTATTTTATCAATCTAGTAAGAAATAATATAATTATTAGTTTTGATATTTTATTAGGCTGCCCTTAGTTCATCATTCATTAAAAAATACAATGAACAATAAAATTTTCACTCTAAATGTTTCAACAAATTTTGAAACCTCTTAAATCCATTAAATATGTTTAGTGACTTGACACCGTCTCTGAAAAACCCAGAGGGGTACCGTCCATTTTGGATAGTTCTAGTTTGCAATGAATGAATATTTTTTCTTGACCTTTGACACTTTGACTTCGAAATTAATAGTTTTTTAACCGAGAGTTAAGATACAAAATTTCCTCTATAGAGCTAAAAAAAGGGAGATATTATGAGGACACGATTTCTTGCAATATATGAACCGTCTGTCCTCAAAATAAATATGGATCTTTTTTAAGTCATATGAATAACGATATAAAATTTTTTATCGAAATCCTAGAGAAATTTTGAGACACACAGTTTTACACAGACATAACATAACAGACGAACGGACAGAACAAAACAATATCCCCCACTTTCAATGAAAGCGGAAGGGGGGGGGGCAGTAATTAAAGTTGATGTTTGTAATTTTTTTTTTACATTTACTAGGAAGCAATAAGAAAAAAAAGGTCATTTACTATTTCTCAACTATTAAGAGCATTTCTTTCAGCATAATGCGGATTTCGTTCATATATTTATTTCGCTAGTTCACTTATTGCATACGATATTAATAATAAATTTTGGATACGTGTGTATGTTTCTTTTATAGGTAGTACTTACAGATGAAGAGGTACATGTAGATAATTAAACGTACTCATGTTTCTAATTTTGGGGCCAATTTACACGTCCTTTTTGGTATAATGAAGGATACAGTCTCAATAGAAAAAGTTTCCCCCGTTCTCAGTTAATAATCTTATGTAACTCGGTATGAACATACATCCATTTTCAAACTATAGGCTCAAATGTCTTGACTTCATGGCGATACATGTATGATTAAAGGATATGGAAATAAATAAGCTGGATAATATAATTTAGATAACTGAAGGAAAATAAATTAAAGGGAAATCTTTTTTTCTTACGTTTTCATTCTTAACAATTTGTCCTTTTCAAGTTGACTGGTTTGCCAATCGTCTGCAGCTTCTTGTAGAATTACACATCCAATTAAAAGATGAGTAATACGAACCTATTTGGTAACAAGTATTTGTTTTTTATCCTTAAGCACAAAATATTAAAAGTATTTGTTTATAATGACAATTTTCAAATAAAGATCCATAGAAACAGAAAGATTTTAAGAAAGTTTAAGATAAAAAATGATATTTTTACCGCCACTTGTATGACAATTTGGGAGTTTATTCTAGTATCTGAATGGTTTTATACCAAAAAAAAAAACCCGAGAGCAAAAATCTGTCCAAATAATTTTTATAAACTCTTAAAAAATATTACACAGCCCGTCTCTATAAGCTGCTTGGCGCCATCGTAATATTTCTTTCTCAAAAGAGCCAAGAAGATCAAACCAAAAAGTCCAGATATCTTAACATTCAGATATCCATCTGAAATTAAAACATGTATCATGACAAGTAACTTAATTATGTTAGACTTTCAGTAAGATAATAAATTCCCCTTATTTGTTTTATTGATCCTTCACAAATTAACAAAAAGCAAACATAATTTTAGTTGAAAAAATTTATGTATAATCAGTTTAAAAAAACAAGAGGCCCAAGGGCCTTAACGGTCACCTGAGTACAATACAACAATTTAGAGGATCCATAGAGTGTTAAAATGAAATGAAAGGTGAAGCTTTGATGCCCAAAAGCAAGAAAAATAGGGTGATCAGGATCAACAAAATAATTAGTCTACTATTCATTAACAGTTCATAAATTAGGTTCTAATCTGTTCCCCATTTATCACTATCACCATATAGTATATTAACAAACTATCAGTGCTTTTGTACTATTTTAATTCCTTGTTGTAATCTCTTACATTGGCCTCTCTTGGTCTTTGATGAACATTTAATAAGACAAGTTATTTTTGTCTCATTTTTATTTATCTATTACTTACAAGTCCACATGATCATTAAAACTATGAAAATACTTTTTGTATTATACACTAAAAATTCTTGCATAATTCTCTTATTCTATTAATTTTTCAAGTACATTATTTACAATGATTAATTATCAAAAGTAAACGGCAAAGGGGAATAACTCCTCTCAGTAGAATGCAAATTAATTGAGCCCTGGCTAGGACCAGAACACTTGACCAAATGGTCCAGATGTTCAAAAATCTGGTAAAAATACCCTTCCTTATTACAACTATTACACTTTTTGCCTCTGATATGCCCAAGTGCAGAGAAGATTTCTAAAGAAATAATGCATTTTCACTACAGATTCACTATATTATCAATAGAGCCCCCCCCCCCCCTTTCACCACCGAGAAACACCAGAGCCTCTCACCCTGGGACCAGAAGTTTCAAGTTTGCTCATCATAAATAATCACTTTGTTTAACTGCTTAACATTAAGGAGCAGACAGGATTATTTAATAGAATTAATGCATTTTCACTACATTATCAACAGCCCCACCCTTATACCAGCACATCTGACCCAGGGGTCATGCAATTCACTACTCTGGAAGAAGCACTCTTGCTCATCATAACTATATACTTAGCTTCTTTGCTTTTTAACCAGAAGCAGAAAAGAATATTTTCAAAGAAATTTTGATTTTTCACTATATAATCAATAGAGCCCCCCCCCCCCCCCCCACCACCACCACCTTTTGACCAGAACCCTTGACCCTGGGGCCATGAAATTCACAATTTTAGAAGAGGCATCCTTGCATATCATAACAATGTACTTAGTTTGTTTAAATAGTACCTAGGGGCAGAGAAGAAGATTTTCAAAGAAATAATTCACCTTCACTGTAGGAGCTATATAGCCCCACCCTAGTACAAGAACCCCTGTCCCTGGGACCATGAATTTCAAAATTTTGGAAGAGGTGTCCTTGCTTATCATAACAATGTACTTAGTTTGTTTAAATAATACCCAGAAGCAGAGAAAAAGATTTTTAAAGCATTAATGCATTTTCACTATGTAATAAACAGAGCCCCGCCCTAAAATCAGAACCCCTGACCCAGGGGCCATGAAATTCACAATTTTGGTAGAGTTACTCTTGCTTATCGTAACTATGTATTTAATTTGTTTAAGTAATACCCAGGAGTAGAGAAGAAGTTTTTCAAAGAAATAATGCACTTTCACTATATGATCTATATAGTCCCCCCTCCCCCCAGCACCAGAACCCCTTACCCTGGGGCTATGAATTTCACAATTTTGGTAGAGTCACTCTTGCTTATTATAACTATGTATTTAATTTGTTTCAATAATACCAAGGAGTAGAGAAGAAGATTTTTAAAGAAATAATGCACTTTCACTATATGATCTACATACCCCCCCCCCCCCCCAGCACCAGAACCCCTGACCCGGGGGCCATGAATTTCACAATTTTGGTAGAGTCACCCTTGCTGATCATAACTCTGTATCTAAATTGTTTAAATAATACCCAGGAGTAGAGAAGAAGATTTTCAAAGAAATAATGCACTTTCACTATACGATCTATATAGCCCCACCCAAGCACCAGAACCCCTGACCCTGGGGCCATGAATTTCACAATTTTGGTAGAGTCACCCTTGCTTATCATAACTATGTATTCAATTTGTTTCAATAATACCCAGGAGTAGAGAAGAAGATTTTCAAAGAAATAATGCACTTTCACTATATGATCTATATAGCCCCGCCCTAGCACCAGAATCCCTGACCCTGGGGCCATGAATTTCACAATTTTGGTAGAGGGCTCAATGCTTATTACAATCATGTCAACAGTTTGACTGCTTGATGTCCAGGAGTAAAGAAGAAGATTTTTAAAGATTGCATTAATTTTGATGGTTTTAGCCCCACCGCTCAGGCCCCAGGGGGGCAGGGACCATGAAATTCACAAATTTTGTTCCCCTTCACACATAGATGCCATATGCAAAAATTGGCTGAAATTGGTTCAGCGGTTTCAGAGAAGAAGCTGAAAATGTTCAAATGTTAACGCACGACGGACGACGACGGACGAAAACAGGTAGCAATAGGTCACCTGAGTGACTCAGGTGACCTAAAAAACAACATGTGTTTCTGAAACACCGATGTCCCCGTATGACAGCTAATGGCAAAGGTTAAAGTTTCTCAAATACAAGTCAAACTCCAAGGTGAAAGTAAAGAGGTAAAAAGTGTTATAATCCAAAAAGAGGTCTCGGAGAATATAACTGTGAAATATGAAAGCCCTAGCACCAGCTGTTGAAAGGTCATGGAATAGGTTAAAGTTTTTTTGAAAAGTAAGGCCAAGGTCAAATGGTAAAAATTCATGGTGCCTAAGGTAAGGTCTTGTCAAAAGATATTCATATGTGAAATATGAAAGCCCTAGCACCAACAATTCAAAAGTTTTAGACAGGGTTAAAGTGTTTAAAAGTAGGTCAAACTTCAAGGACAAAAGGTCATAATTGTTCATACTTAAGGAATGTTTTGTTCAAGGAATATATATGTGAAATATGAAAACCCTAGCACCAACTGTTCAAAAGTCATGTCCAAGGTTAAAGGTTTTCAAAAGTAGGCCAAATTCAAGGTCAAAAGGTCATAATTCTTGGTATCCAATGGAAGGTCTTGTCACAAGGAATACACCTGTGAAATATAAAAGCATTAGTCTAACCGTTCAAAAGTTATTGCCAAGGTAAAAAAAAATTTGAAATTGGGTCAAACTTCAAGGTCATGGTGTAAATGATAAAAATATGTATACCCAAGGATAGGAAGCCTTGGCGTCAAGTGTTCAAAAGATGGCCATGGATAAAGTTTGTTAAAATTTTGCAAAATTGGGTCAAACTCCAAAGTCAAGGTAAAGAGGTCAAATATGGCGATACCCAAAGAAAGGTCTTGTCACAAGGAATACACATGTGAAATATGAAAGCCATAATTCTGACCAATCAAAAGTTATAGGCAAGGTTAAGTTTTTGCGGACAAACAGACAGCTAGACAGACGGACGGGCAGGACAAAAACTACCGGGTATATGCCCCCGAATCTTCGATTACGGGGGCATTAAAATGAAACATAATCAGTTAATCGATTTTTTTTATGTTTATCTTATCTAGCTTCTATGTAGTTTAGCTTTTTATGTAAGAAAAAAATGTAAAAGTTAAGCTTTCTCTGTTCTTGAATTTCAATACAGTATGTTTCAGAAAAATAAGAGATAACTAAGGAAAAATAAAACCTCTTCTTCCATCGACCTCGTCAGTATCTTTGTTGCTTGAATCTACAAAATATATATCTAAAGACAAAAACATCTTCATATGTACAGAAAGATAAGTTCATTCTTAAGAGAGCATAGAAAAACAGATATGCTCTCCGTTTCAATGTTCATGAAAATAAGATAAGCTAATATCAAAAGCATTGGTCTAAAATTAGACGCGTTACAATGTCTTGTACATAGAAAAATAAGTAATCTATCTCTCTCTCTCCTACACTGCACCAATGTAGCGGTCAGACGGATCCAATGGCAAATACTAGTAGCTCAGTTGGTAGAGGATCTGACTGGAGATTCAGGGCGCCTGAGTTCGAATCCTGGTCTGGTCCGTTGCATTGGTCTCCCCCGCTGTTACATTAATTTGGGCGTGTACACGTTGGTACAGATAAACAGAAATTACGAGACAGAATTAAGTATACATAGCGTTATTTGAGATAGTAATAATATCCTGAGTAGCTATGTTCATTAGCAGATTCTTTTTCCTATCTATTCCTATTTTTGATAACCTATTTTAGTTCAACCAAAGATGTTTGCTATAGTCTCCAATGTAAAACTTTGATCAGCTTTTTTGGCACCTGCCTACCACTCAAAGGTCATGTTTGAGGAAAAAAATGAACATGCATTACTTGTGGATGCTTTTAAATAAATATGATTGATCATGGCTTTGCTATTCTTGAGATTTTGAAAAAAGTTTGCCTGTTGTAGCCCCACACTATTCCCCTCACTGGAACTCATTATTTGGAAGAAAAAAAAACCTTGAATGTACACTACCTGAAAATGCTTTCAAATAATATGACTAACCATGGCATTGCTGCTCTTATGAAGATTTTTAAAGATATTTTGTACAGTATATATTTCTATGTAAAACTCTGATCGCCAATAGTGGCCCCACCCTACATCCCGAAGGGGGTAAGGGGGTGGGGGCAAAGTCGAATCTACACTTTCTCGGCAAACTTTCAAATAATTTTCTTTTTTCTTTCCCAGTGGTTCTGCAGAGACGAAAACATTTAATTTTGAATTCCCTTTCCTAGTTATCTCCTTGATAAGATAATGTGACCCCTTGTTTGAACAAACTTGAATTCCCCTCATCTATTTGCCAAGTTTGGTTGAAATTGGTCTTTTAGTTCCTAAGAAGAAGTTGAATTTGTAAAGAGTTTACGACGCAGACAGCAACCAAAAACTACTGCGATAGAGGAACAACTTTTGCGTCGAAAAAAATCACTTAAGCCTTTGGCTCAGGTGAGCTAATAAGTTGGCGTTCTCATAATCGTACGGAGACTTGATAAATACTGATGACCCTCCTCCTATGAAAACCTTTTCGTGATTTATATGTAAAAGTAACAAGAAGTCTGCGAGCCAATACCCACTAGTAAACCCCCGCTCTGATGTGAATACAAAAGTTCAGTTATGGACAGACACAGGGATAAACAAGAAGTTGACATCGGATCCGTACAGAAATAAATCCCATGACATGATGACATGCCTAAACAAAGAGTGTACTAAAATTGCAAGCATCAGCGATAAGTAGTTGCTAAGGAAACTGTGAAAAAGAATTGTTTTGTATGGTATTCACGGCCGTGTGGATAAACAGGAAGTTTACATATAAGAAAAAAAAATAATAGCAGCTAAAAGTTTTAAGCAAAAATGACTTCTCGGTAGACTTAAAAGGGTCATACGAATCTATTCTAGAGATATTCTCAATAGTTGGTTTATGGCCATTAAATTATGTGCAAGCACAAGCCCGAATTTTGAATAGCGACATTTGTCATGGGTTTATGTAAAGGAACGCTATCACAAAACCTAGACACTGTGGAGAAGCACGCTGTAGGAAGGTAATAAGTCTTCCTAGTCACACACACAACTGCCTTTCCTTGTACCTTCATTTTCTCTTTCTTTCCATTTTGGGGCAGTATATGCCGACTTTGTCTTTAATTCCAATTCCTTCCAGAGACCCTCCTTGAAATATTTCGTCATTTTCTAGACGAAATGTCATGGAAAAGGTGTCATGAAAAGATTCACCAAATGAAGAACTTTTACGAATTTAAGATATGACTTCTTGTTTTGTATAGTAAATTATGAATAAGATGAACATTATTATATATACGCACTTCTTCAAAAATGTACTCGATTGATTGGTAGTTGAAAGATGCTGTGATGGCATTCTTTGGAATTTTCCACTTCCCAGTTTTCAACAAATACATAGATAGTGCATTAGGGTATACACGAGTGTTGTAGCCCTGAAAAAAGGATTACAAAAGGCAAAAACATTACACTTACACAACAACTTGCACAAAAAGTCTTAATTGCAGGAAAAACATCTTCGTACTTACAAAAATATCGTTTTCTGACTCGGAGTTCCTGTTCATGAATACTAAAAGGAAGAAGTAAACGAAGCTCAGTCAACTACGTAAGCCCAATTTGGACCTTTTAAAAACATAATTCGATATCATGAAATGTCGACTTTGTTAAAACAAATTTAATTTATATTAACCAATTCTTTCATCAATAAAAACTAAATTAACGAATTTAATCTGCTATAACAAACATGTTGAATTCGTTGTCCAAAATTTGTAATTACAGATTAAATTCGTTTAAACGAATTCATATTTTTTTTTATTATAAAGAATAACATTTGTTTAAACGAAATTGACCATTCCATATATGGAATTAATATTTTTCTGTAGTCCAAAATGTCGAATTTCATTTATCAAATACATTTCATCAATACAAATTCAAGAATTCCTTTATACGAATTTAATTCGTAAAACTTTTAAATTTGTTAAACGAAATTAATCTGTTATAACAATTTTCATTATAATAATAATAATAATAATACTTTATTTAGAGAAGGTAGCCTGATTAGTGTGACACACTATTCTTCCCCAGGGCCTTCTAATTACAACAATATTACACGTGTACATCAAAGTAGCAAAGATTAACAACTACAGTGTAGCAATTGAAATATAATACACAAACAATGTCACATGCAGGGTTCGACACTAACATTTTTAGGCTTTAGTCCGGCCGGACTAGTACTTCTTTACTTTTACTAGTCCGCACGCGATTTTATGAGTCCGTCAAAAAAAAGAGAAGAAAAAGAAACATCAATGTTTTAATACATTAATCTAAATTAACAATTAATAGACGTTTTATACTTTTTTAAATAAACAAAGCATGTACGTGAAATACATCATTCCACAGATTCGTTGAAATCTCGCAATCAGCAAGTGCGATCGTATTCCCGATCTCGTGTGTTTTTGTTTTTTGTTTTTTTTTTGTCTTTACATAACATTACATCCAAAACGTCCAACATCTTTCTTTCTTTAAAGTGTCATACTAAATCATGATCGCTAAAAACATTTACTTCATATCGATCATGACTCAGAATTGCGTAACTACCCGCCAAAAGCTAGAAATCTAAAAATACACAGAGGTTTTCCAGTAAAAGTTGTCGAGAACCGGACAGCGGTAATTTATTCATATTGTTTTCCAGAAATTTTTATTGGTCCGCTCGGACTAATTAGCACAGATTTTATTAGTCCGAATGAAAATGTATTAGTCTGAGACTAACGGACTAACGTTAGTGTCGAACCCTGACATGATAATAATGACAATCATCATAGTAATAATAATAAACAAATATATTATGATGACAAATAAATTAATTTACATTTGTAAGATTTGACACAATATACATATACAAAAGATATAAATCAGAGTAATGAAATTCTATTGTTGAAGATATACTTTTCTACATTTCGTTTAAAGACTGACAGAGTTGGTGCACATCTTAAATCTAAAGGCAAACTGTTCCAAATATGAACACCAGAATACTGGAGGGAATTTTTAAACAAATTAGTGCGGTGTTTTGGAAGGCAAACGTCAAAAATAGATTCTGAATGTAAAGTGTAAGCATCAGAAGTTTGAAAAATAAATAAATCTTGCAGGTAAGCAGGGCTCTGATTTTTAGATATTTTGTACAACAAGATACATTTGTGTAAAGTTACTAAATCAAAAATAGATAGCCAGCCTAATTTTTCAAATAATGCCTTAGATGGAGCATCAGGGGCAGCATCAAGAATAATTCTAGCGGCCCGTTTTTGGAGCTTATGAATTCTCTCCAAGTAACTAGCTGGAGCATTACCCCAGACCGTCAGACTATAATTAATAGAAGGCAGGATAAAGGCATTGTAAAACAGTTTTCTAGTTTTCAGAGGAAGAAATTTCTTGATTTTTCGCAAGGTATATATTTTATATGTTAAAGATTTGCAGACTGAGTCAACATGGTTGTGAAAATTTAGCGTTTGATCTATATGTACCCCAAGTAGTTTTTCTGTTTCAACACTGTCAAGGTGTTTGTCAGAGACATGTAAATTGAGATTTGGATTATTTAATTTTGATTTAACTTTGTTGAGTTCCCATCAGCATACATTTTGTTTTATCAACATTTAAAACCATTAGATTTTCTAAACACCAATTTTCAATATTTACTAAGTCAGAATTGAGAGCTGTTTCAATACTCAATATATTTTTCTCATAAACATGCAGAGTTGCATCATCAGCAAACATATCAATTTTTGTATGACATATGTGTAAGGGGAGGTCATTAATATACAACAAAAACAATAAGGGACCTAATATTGATCTCTGTGGCACTCCTGCTGTGACAGGTAAGACATCAGAAGAAGATGTACCAATTTTAACGCATTGTGTCCAGTTATTCAGATACGAGTGAAACCACTTAATTGACAATTCATCAAAGTTGTAATTCTTTAATTTATCTATAAGAATATCATGACTCACTAAATCAAAAGCTTTGCTGAAATCCAAAAATGTTATGCCTATGAGATTACCTTGATCCATAGCATGCAACCAAGCATCAGTTAATTTAGTAAGTTCTGTTTGACAAGAGTGAAATTCTCTGAATCCAGATTGAGATTTTGTTATAAGATCAAAAGTTGAGGTGAAATCTCGCATTTGGTTTCCTATGTGCTTTTCAATTAGTTTAGATAATTTGGTAGTATAGAAATGGGACGGTAGTTACCGGGGTCTGCTTTGTTGCCCTTTTTGTATACAGGGGTGACTTTTGCTTGTTTCAACTTCGATGGGAAAATACCATTACTGATACTAGCATAAATTAAATGAGTGACTGATTTACCAATGATACTAGTTGATAGTTTTAGGAGACGAGGTCCTATGAAGTCAATGCCTGCCGATTTATTGACATCAGGCCCGTTCAACAAATTAACTACTTCATTTTCACTGATTGGTGTAAGGCTAAAAAAGTTTTCATTACCAAGTTTAGATTTTGTGAATTGTCTTAACAATTCTGGGTTATACGAATTAAACAAATTTGTTATAGCAAATTAACTCGTTATAACAAATTCAAGATTACTATAACGAATTTAAAAGTAATTTCGAAAGGACCTAAATGGGCCGTCATAATATTCAATATTTACAACAATTTTCCCCTGTTTTTTACTACAGATGTCCTAATGATGCCCGTTAGGACATATCAAAAATAAAATAAATCGTTATACCTAATTTTTGAATTCGTTGTAACGAATTTAATATGTTATAAACCGTTCACGGTAGCTCAGTCGGTAGAGCGCTCGCTTCGTGATCGGGAGGTCGTGAGTTCGAATCTCGGCCGCGACAGACCTAAGTTGATAAAAAATAGGTAGCAACTGTTCCTTCGCCATGCGCTCGGCACTTTGAAGTGAAAGTTGCGGGTCTTTCGGATGAGACCTTAAAAACCGAGGCTCCGTGTCACGGCAGGCGTTGGCACGATAAAGATCCCTCACTGCTCAATGGCCCTGAGTGCCGAGTAAAGGTCAAAATTTGAAGCCCTTCACCGGTATATGGTGACGTCTCTATATGAGTGAAAAATTCTCGAATGGGACGTAAAACAATATACAATCAATCAATCAATATGTTATAACAAATTTGTTGAATTCATTAAAGCGAATTCCAGTCGCCCGCGTGGCACAGTGTTTAGAGCGTCTGCTCTAGAGTCGCGAAGTAAGGAGTTGATCCTTACGTCGCGGGTTCGAATCCCACTGGACGTGGAGACCGGTCCTTCGAATGAGACCGTATAAACCGAGGTCCCGTGTCGCAGTAGGTGCTGGCACGAAAAAGATCCCTCACTGCTCAATGGCCGTAAGTGCCGAGTATAGGACAAAATTTGCAGCTCTCCACCGGCAAGTGGTGGCGTCTCCATATGAGTGAAAAATTCTCGAGAGGGACGTTAAACAACATACAAAAAAAACAAGCAAACAAAACGAATTCCAAAACTGTAAGAAAAGAGAGAGAGAGAGAGAAATAAATTTGTGAATATGGTATAATAAATTATTTGTTTCAACGAATTCTTAAAATTGCTGTTACTAATTAATTTAATTCGTGTAAACAAATTCTACTATTCGCTATAGCAAATCCGTAATATTCTTCCTTTAGTCACTTAATATGGAATTCGAATAAATGAATTTAATTCGTAATAACAAATTCAGGAACTTGTTAAACCGAATAAATTCGTTAATTTTTTTTTGAGTTTAAAGAGGAATATATTATAACAAATGTTTGAATTTTTTATAATAAATTCAGCAAATCTTTTATAACAATATTTAATCATTAAAACAAATTCCAAAAAAAGTAACATATTCTACAATTCGTTACATCGAATTCAAAAATATTTTTGATAGGTTCTAAATGGGCCTTCGCATATAGACTTCCGTAACATTATGAAAACTAACAAATTCAAACAAGGCCTTTGATAAAATTATCTTGGTTTAAGATTACTCGAAAAACCTTAATTTACGCACCGACCAAAATGTTTTGAGAAGTTTTGTATTTCTACTGTATGCTTTGAAAATAAAAAAATATAAAAATCCTACCTACAGACACTATATTTTGTTGACATGTAATAGTAAACTATAATATTTTTGTTAGGTCTAAACAATCCTTTTTAAGGAAATTGGCGAGAAATATTGCTAAAACTTTCTTATCGATAAAAGGAGTATTGGAGAGATACAATATAATTCGGAAGTGTAAACATAACGAAAGATAGGCACATTATTTATTTGGAAATCTGTTTTTTAAAGAAATTAAAGAAAAAAGTAATAATGACAAATGTTTTTACATATTTATCACTTTTACTTAGTATCGGGGAGATTCTTCTACGCTATTTTCATTAAATTGTTGTTCTTTAATTCATTCAAGTAATTTTAAATTAACTTCTCTGAAATTCACTCTTAACTGACTGCTCTTAGCCTTCCTGAATGGTATGCGTTATTTAATTTATTTTCACCCCCATATGCATATACCTCCAATTAACAGGCTACAAACTAAAGCATCCAAATTTTCCAGATCGGATCCTAAGTCCGAGAGTTTTGTTATTTCATCGTCGACGTTATCGTGCCTGTAACACCCGACAAAGTAATCCTTTTTACACGAAGTACTGACTTTCCATGGACTTTTTAAGTCCAGTTTGTGCTCCATTCCTTCAACAGACCTGTATTCGTAGTATACCTCATCTCTCCTCATTGTCAGCACATAAACATCTTTTGCATTATTCTAAAATAGATAATTAGGAAAATGACAACCAAAACTCCACTGTGTTATGTATACGGTATTATTTCCACAGCAATTTATCATTGCGATTTTAAAAGTGGCAAAACCTTGAAACAGATGACAGGGATTTTGTGGTATGAGGCAGCAATGAGGGCGTTGTCAGAGTGCAGGACTCCATTCCGTAAGGAAATAAAGACTGGCAAAGGCACTCTTCCGCTCAAATCTGTATAGTAGAACAATGTAGCTATCAATCACTCCTTATTGCATGAGAAAAATATTGCAGTTACAGAACTGCTTTAAATCTTTCTAAAAATCTGTTCTATTAATTTCAAGCAAAGTTTTTGTTTTTGTTTTGTTTTGTTTTTTTTTTAGAAATTTTATTCAAATGTATAATTTCACTTCACACTGGAAACAAATGCTGAAAAGAATTATTGGTGCAAGGCTAAAGTGTTGATGACAAGATGGGCAATTACCTATCTAAACGATGATGCATGACTAAACTTGACACGCCGTCTTGAGGCAGACAATCAATTACTTATAAGCACAATATTCCAAGCGTGTCTAATATGTACACCTTGCATATGAAATTGGAAATATAATAATTTTATTCAATTAGTTTTAAACAGACAATTTTCTAAACTACTTAACATGTAGTATACTCATTGTTGATTCGATTGACTGGAGGATGTCGGATAGGAAATGTTTCACCTTTTCAATGTTCTTTCGTAAATCCTGCATCCTATCAAATCTCATGACATGTAATTTTTACAAATATCTGAAACCCCCTCCCCCGAAAAAAAAAAAATAAAACAAGAGGCCCATGGGCCACATGGCTCACCTGAGCACATTGGCTAGGAAAAAAAGCAAAAATCAGTTCAGCATTGAAAAGTTTATGGGGGGGGGGGTGAATTTTAAACTATCTAATGATGCTTTCATATCAATATAACAAATGGCTTTGCTGTTCTTGAGCAGAAGTTAATAATAATAATAATATTCCTATATATTTCTATGTAAAACTTTGATCCCCCATTGTGGCCCCACCCTACCCCCGGGGGTCATGATTTGAACAAACTTGAATCTACACTACCTGAGGATGCTTCCTTGTAAATATGACCAATTATGGCTTGACTATTCTTAAGAGGAAGATTTTTAAAGACATTTTCCTATATATTTCTTTGAAAAACTTTGATCCCCCATTGTGGCCCCACCCTTCCCCCGGGGGTCATGATTTGAACAAATTTGAATCTGCACTACCTGAGGATGCTTCCATATAAATATGACCAATCATGGCTTTGCTGTTCTTAAGAAGAAGATTTTTAAAGATATTTTCCTATATATATTTCTATGTAAAACTTTGATCCCTCATTGTGGTCCCACCCTAACCCCGGGGATCATGATTTGAACAAACTTGAATCTACACTACCTGAGGATGCTTCCATATAAATATGACCAATCATGGCTTTGCTGTTCTTAAGAAGAAGATTTTTAAAGATATTTTCCTATATATTTCTATGTAAAACTTTGATCCCTTATTGTGGCCCCACCCTACCCCCGGGGGTCATAATTTGAACAAACTTGAATCTACACTACCTGAGGATGCTTCCATATAAATATGACCAATCATGGCTTTGCTATTCTTAAGAAGAAGATTTTTAAAGATATTTTCATATATATGTCTATGTAAAACTTTGATCCCTTATTGTGGCCCCACTCTACACCCGGGGGTCATGATTTGAACAAACTTCAATCTACACTACCTGAGGATGCTTCTAAATAAATATGACCAATCATGGCTTTGCTGTTCTTAAGAGGAAGATTTTTAAAGATATTTTCCTAAATATTCCTATGTAAAACTTTGATCCCCCATTGTGTCCCCACCCTACCTCCGGGGGTCATGATTTGAACAAACTTGAATCTACATTACCTGAGGATGCTTCCATATAAATATGACCAATCATGGCTTTGCTGTTCTTAAGAAGAAGATTTTTAAAGATATTTTCCTATATATTCCTATGTAAAACTTTGATCCCCCATTGTGGCCCCACCCTAACCCCGGGGATCATGATTTGAACAAACTTGAATCTACACTACCTGAGGATGCTTCCATATAAATATGACCAATCATGGCTTTGCTGTTCTGAAGAAGAAGATTTTTAAAGATATTTTCCTATATATTTCTATGTAAAACTTTGATCCCCCATTGTGGCCCCACCCTACCCCCGGGGGTCATGATTTGAACAAACTTGAATCTACACTACCTGAGGATGTTTCCACATAAGTTTCATCTTTCCTTGCCCAGTGGTTCTTGAGAAGAAGATTTTTAAATGATGCCATTATTTTTTTACTAATTCCTAATTATCTCCCCTTGAAAGAGGGCGTGGCCCCTCATTTGAACAAACTTGAATCCCATTTACCCAAGGATGCTTCATGGCAAGTTTGGTTGAAATTGGCCCAGTGGTTCTGGAGAAGAAGTCAAAAATTTGAAAAGTTTACAGACGGACGGACAGACAGACGGAGGACGGACAAAATGTGATCAGAAAAGCTCACTTGAGCTTTCAGCTCAGGTGAGCTAAACAAGAGGCCCAGGGGCCACATCGCTCACCTGAGCACTATGGCTAGGAAAAAGCAGAAATCACTTTAATCTTGAAAGGTTGAAAAGTTTAAATATAAAAGTGGTTGAGGGGGGGGGGGGTGTCAGGAATTGAACAAATTTGAATCTACATTATCTGAGGATGCTTCCATTTAAATATGACCAATCATGGCTTTGCTGTTCTTGAGTAGAAGATTTTTAAAGATTTAACCTATGTATTCCTATGTAAAACTTTGATCACCCATTGTGGCCCCACCCGACCCACAGGGGTCATGTTTGAACAAACTTGAATGTACACTATCTAAGAATGCTTCCATATAAATATGACCAATCATGGCTTTGCTATTCTTAACAAATAGTTTTTTTTAAAGATTTTTACTATGTGTTCCAATGTAAAACTTTGATGGCCCATTGTGGCCCCACCCGACTCCCGGGGGTCATGATTCGAGCACATTTGTATGTACACTATCTGAGGATGCTACCATATAAATATGACCAATCATGGCTTTGCTATTCTTAATAAATTGTTTTTTTTTTAGAATTTTTACTATGTGTTCCTATGTAAAACTTTGATCGCCCATTGTGGCCCCACCCGACCCCCGGGGGTCATGATTTGAACAAATTTGAATGTACACTATCTGAGGATGCTACCATATAAATATGACCAATGATGGCTTTGTTGTTCTTGAGAAGAAGATTTTTCAAGATTTTTCCTATATATTCCTATGCAAAACTTTGATCGCCCATTGTGGCCCCACCCGACCCCCGGGGGTCATGATTTGAACAAATTTGAATCTACACAACCTGAGGATGCTTCCATGTAAATATGACCAATCATGGCTTTGCTGTTCTTGAGAAGAAGATTTTTAAAGATTTTTCCTATATATTCCTATGTAAAACTTTGATCGCCCATTGTGGCCCCACCCTACCACCGGGGGTCATGATTTGAACAAACTTGAATCTACACTACCTGAGGATGTTTCCACATAAGTTTCATCTTTCCTTGCCCAGTGGTTCTTGAGAAGAAGATTTTTAAATGATGCCATTATTTTTTTACTAATTCCTAATTATCTCCCCTTGAAAGAGGGCGTGGCCCCTCATTTGAACAAACTTGAATCCCATTTACCCAAGGATGCTTCATGGCAAGTTTGGTTGAAATTGGCCCAGTGGTTCTGGAGAAGAAGTCAAAAATTTGAAAAGTTTACAGACGGACGGACAGACAGACGGAGGACGGACAAAATGTGATCAGAAAAGCTCACTTGAGCTTTCAGCTCAGGTGAGCTAAACAAGAGGCCCAGGGGCCACATCGCTCACCTGAGCACTATGGCTAGGAAAAAGCAGAAATCACTTTAATCTTGAAAGGTTGAAAAGTTTAAATATAAAAGTGGTTGAGGGGGGGGGGGGGTGTCAGGAATTGAACAAATTTGAATCTACATTATCTGAGGATGCTTCCATTTAAATATGACCAATCATGGCTTTGCTGTTCTTGAGTAGAAGATTTTTAAAGATTTAACCTATGTATTCCTATGTAAAACTTTGATCACCCATTGTGGCCCCACCCGACCCACAGGGGTCATGTTTGAACAAACTTGAATGTACACTATCTAAGAATGCTTCCATATAAATATGACCAATCATGGCTTTGCTATTCTTAACAAATAGTTTTTTTTAAAGATTTTTACTATGTGTTCCAATGTAAAACTTTGATGGCCCATTGCGGCCCCACCCGACTCCCGGGGGTCATGATTCGAGCACATTTGTATGTACACTATCTGAGGATGCTACCATATAAATATGACCAATCATGGCTTTGCTATTCTTAATAAATTGTTTTTTTTTTAGAATTTTTACTATGTGTTCCTATGTAAAACTTTGATCGCCCATTGTGGCCCCACCCGACCCCCGGGGGTCATGATTTGAACAAATTTGAATGTACACTATCTGAGGATGCTACCATATAAATATGACCAATGATGGCTTTGTTGTTCTTGAGAAGAAGATTTTTCAAGATTTTTCCTATATATTCCTATGCAAAACTTTGATCGCCCATTGTGGCCCCACCCGACCCCCGGGGGTCATGATTTGAACAAATTTGAATCTACACAACCTGAGGATGCTTCCATGTAAATATGACCAATCATGGCTTTGCTGTTCTTGAGAAGAAGATTTTTAAAGATTTTTCCTATATATTCCTATGTAAAACTTTGATCGCCCATTGTGGCCCCACCCTACCACCGGGGGTCATGATTTGAACAAACTTGAATCTACACTACCTGAGGATGCTTCCAAGTAAATATGACCAATCATGGCTTTGCTGTTCTTGAGAAGAAGATTTTTGAAGATTTTTCCTATATATTCCTATGTAAAACTTTGATCACCCATTGTGGCCCCACCCGACCCCCGGGGGTCATGATTTGAACAAACTTGAATGTACACTATCTGAGGATGCTACCATATAAATATGACCAAGTATGGCTTTGCTGTTCTTGAGAAGAAGATTTTTAAAGATTTTTCCTGTATATTTCCTATGTAAAACTTTGATCGCCCATTGTGGCCCCACCCTACCCCCGGGGGTCATGATTTGAACAAACTTGAATCTACACTACCTGAGGATGCTTCCACATTAGTTTCATGTTTTCAAGCACAGTGGTTCTTGAGAAGAAGATTTTTTAATTATGCCATTAATTTTTCACGAATTCTTAATTATCTCCCCTTGGAAGAGGGCGTGGCCCTTCATTTGAACAAACTTGAATCCCCTTTACCCAAGGATACTTTGTGGCAAGTTTGATTGAAATTGGCCCAGTGGTTCTTGAGAAGAAGTCGAAAATGTGAAAAGTTTACAGACGGACAGACGGACAGACAGACGGACAGACGGACAGACGGACTACAGACAAAATGTGATCAGAAAAGCTCACTTGAGCCTTCGGCTCAGGTGAGCTAAAAACGGGACACCAGGTAACAATTGATATGACTAGGAGCTAAATCCTTACATATCCAATTTATAGCAATGTGAATCATAGCTTTCTCGCATTTCTTTAAACTAGCATAATCTTCCCTGCAATTTGCTCATTTGCACTCTCGTGTAGTTTTTCTAGCATTTATGCACCTGGTATCACTCATGCAACATTAAAAGATTAGAAAGAAAGTGAAAGAAACGAGTGACCATACCCGTTTTTTCATCTTCGCTTCCCAAATGTCTCTGCCCCCTACCCCCTTACAAACCCTTGGCCTATCATTCAATTTAAAAGTTGGGTTTATTTATACCATGTGATCTAAAATCCAACCTTTATACCTATTGGTTGTGTCACTCACAAAAAAACATTTTACAATTGGAGTATTTGATTTTGTTTATTTGCAATATAGACACAAGATCTCATTTTACTAAAATCAACTAATAAATTTCGATGGCACCTTAGTTATTTAAACCTTTTAATCTTTTTTATGTTATCTAACATATCGTTCTTTACATGAGCTTTTCATTGGAATATCTCCACATGAACATTGTAAATGAATATGGGTTTGCAAAAAACCTGTTTATTTGTGGAGCAATTTATATAGAGCCCAAACGTTCCTATCACAAAACCCCCAGAACTTCGGTAAAACGATAACTCATTGCTAAAAGTGGCGCGGCACAGAAATACGTATATAGCGAAGATTCCGTTTACCGTGCATTAAGATCTGAGTATCATGAGTGTCTTGAAAACAAACACCACAAATTGGTATGTCATAGTTCAAGTGATATATATATATACTAGATGAAATCCCGCGCAAGCGCGGGGAATTGAATTTATACCACTACCGACAGAAAAAAAATCTAATAATATATATATTGTAGTTTCTACTGACAGCCTACAGGCTTATAGCAGGAAGAAATACTTTGTTCAAAATCCCGCATGAAGTAGAAGTACGTCTCCAACCCCCCCCCCCCCCGTAAAACTTAAATAACAAAATCATTAATTGACGTTTATTGTGAAACCTGTTATATACAATGTACTATGTTATGGATATTGTACTTCAAATGCTCTTATTTCATTTCCGTCACGAATAAATTACCTCTTTTTTTTTTTACATATCAATAAGGTACATGTATACATATTTATAATCCAAGACTTAAAAGTACCTGTGTAAAAATTAGCTTTTATTTAACGCCCTATGAATACACTGGCGGATTTAGAGGGAGGCCCAACCCCCCTCCCGTTTTGTGTCCAAAATATACATAAAATTTAATAAATCTTTTTTTTTGGTGTGTCCGTGGGCCCCTACCCCAACCCCAAACTGGTTGCCCCCCTTTTTCAAGATTCCTGGATCCGCCACTGGAATAGGCCGAGTATTTGATACAAAAGACTGTATTCAGAAAAAAACTGAAATGTATAAATTAAAGCACAAAATTAAACAACATAATTGTACTTGAATAATGCCTTATTCATTGATATTCTCTTTTCATGTAAGCAAGTTTATTACGAAGTACAAATTGTACTTCGGGTTCGTTGCCACGATGCTTTCAGTGAGGAATATATACAAATTTTACCGATAAATTTATTAGGAAAACCTACTACATATATGTAATAGTCTTTCGATATATAAATATATTCACAACTTACAGTGTTATCAATGATTTACCATTATTTCAATGACCATTCACACAAAAGCTATTTTTTTTCTTTTTAACATCGGGCTCGATGCTATATGATGTTCTAGAAGCTTCCGACAATATTACGATCGGTGAATGACGAAAATAACTTGCACATTTCCCTTTTTAATCGGTTATCACAACTTATTTCTTTTATATCATTTAAATTAAGTTTTGATTGAATAATTCAGTAATGACGTTCAAGGAAATAAATAAACGATTGCTTGTTGTCCGTTTCATTAAAAATTGACAGTAACTTTGATCCGCCAACCGGAAACGCCACCGTACTCACGTTTTTGCTATTTCATGGCTGTTTATAGAAAATAAAAGTAGACTTTTAATTTAATGTACGATACTTACAATGCAAGTGAAATCTAAATATAGTTTACGGACATCATCTTGTATCGTGTGTATTCTTAGAGGAGTAAGTAAGAACTCTGGTGCACCCGTTTCGGAGTTTATTTGCAAAATTTATTAATTTATAAGTATATATATATATATATATATATATATATATATATATATATATATATATATATATATATATATATATATATATCACATATAAGAAATAATGTTCTCTGATATCTCACATAAATGCCTGGAGATGTACCTCACTTTTGTGATTAAAGTTGTTAAAATAGCAATATGTCAATCGCAAGTTATTACGAAAATACGTTATTAATAAGGAACGTTTCGTTAAAAATATCAGCGAAATTAACTTACAATGGGACATGCGAAGAAAATAGGTTTGTTCATCTTCATCTTCATCACTATCTCCTCTAACGAATTTCCGCACACCCAGTTTTACCAGTTTCTAGCATAATTACATAAATAATCAACACATTAAAATAATTTTTAAGGTAGTTAGATCCAACTGTCAAGTAAATGAAACGTCTCACAAGAATGTCTCCGAACCCACAAATTAAAGTAACGTGTATTAACACACTGTATTTCTGCAAAGTTTAACATTAAATTAAATCATATTATAATGGAAAATTATCAGGAAACTCAAACAAAAGCACAAGTTATACATTTTCTAATCCAAAACTGATCAATAAATATATTTTAGGATAAAAAGAAGAATGCAGGCATTTAGTGAAAAGTACATGTTTTTCGTATTTCTTATGTATTTTAGTCTTCTGCTTCCTTCAATTGTTGTATAATGTGAAGTGTAAATTGTTAGTGCTATCATTGCAAGAAATCATATATAAATTCTCTCCCAGATTTTACGACTGTCCATTTTGAGAAAGCTCTTGTGATTTTAATTGTAATTGGAAGGTGGTGAAATTTTACAGATTTATTGCAAAATAGCTCTGTGTTAGAGATATGACCGTTGTTTTTATCTGATCAAGTAAAACTAAAGAAAGCAATTCCATGAACTTTTGGATCAACCCTAAAAGCGGGGGGGGGGGGACTTTAAAATTTAAATTTGCACTTGATTAAAGCCCCAATATCAAGAAATATTGAAAAATTTACAGGTATACACTGTGAGCACCAGCTGAATGTATAATCAAACACCTGTTGGGCAGCAAATCGAAAAATAAGTGAAATTTTACACCTTTGAATTCCAGACCTGTTTACCCATATCATTGTCCCTCAGTATTTTTTTTATTAGATTTGTCATTGAGATTTGGCATTTGCCAGTAAGATTTCACTTTCATCGATTTTACATACATTAGTAGAGAGCAACTACATTTCTGATCATCATTTCTGTCATTTTTTAAACCACCGCGTTTTGGCAACCCGAGATCACTGAAGTGTTTGAAATATTTCTCTTTTTTAACGATTAAAAAGCGTCAAACTTAGACAGATCACTAACTGCTAACATCCAAACGAACGGATTTCCGTATTTTCATAATAGTAAAACGTGAGACGTATTTTGGACTCAAATTCCGTACAAAATACGGCGAAATCGTAAGAGTAAACAGGTCTGGAAATCCTTCCAACCCCTTCTCTCAAGGAACCTTTCATTAATATTGTGTCATCTAAATGCCCTGCCATAATTCATGCTTACCAATAACAAGAAACCAATGGAACACACAACATTCAACTTTGTAATTTAAGCTTTGCTGTTCTCCAGAATATATTTTTTATATTCCCACGAATACATGTATATACTGACCAAATGGTATGGTCCAAGTCTTATTTTAAGGAGTTTCTGATTCCACACAACATTGGGATTCCTCAATATCAATAATATGACTGAAGTGGCATTGCAGTTAAAAATAAGCAAATTCCTGCATATATACATTAATTAAAATTTTATCCAGATGAGAAAAATTTTAAAAACATTTTCTTGTATAGACTTTTATAAAACTTCCTCAATTCTGGCTCCACCATATCAGGAACCATGATTTGATTTAGAATCTTTTACTTAAGTTTCTACTTTTTATATTCTAGAATTTTTTTCTTATTTATTCCAGTGTAAAAGTTTGACTCCCTATAGTGGCCAAACTCTACCCCAGGTGGCCAATATTTAGGAATTTATATTTAACATATTGTCATGCAGGAAGCTTCATATAAATTTCATTTTTTCTTGGCCAATGGTTTGGAATATTTTCTCTTTTTTTATTTCAGTGTAAAATTTTATCCCATATTGTTGCTCCGGGGGTACTACGGGGTCCATGATATGAACAATTTAGAATCTAATCTTCCCCAGGATATTTTCATATCATTTTCATCTTTCTTTTTTGAGAGTACGGTTTTTGATGAGTCAACCCTTTTTTGCCTTTTCTTGACTATCTTCCCTAGGAAGGGGGCTTGGTCATTAATTTGAACACTTTAGAATCTCTCTTATCTAAGGATGCTCTGTATCAACCTTGATTGTCATTGGCCTGGTTCCTGAGAAGAAGTCGAAGATATGAAACGTTTACAGACAGACGGACGGACACCGGATACGGGTGATCAGAAAAGGTCATTTGACCTTTCAGCTTTGGTGAAATTAAAACTTACTACATGTACCATATTTTTTTTTCATCGATGTAATTTTAATCACAAGCATAATATAAATACCTGAATGGTGTCATAGTCGGTTTCTTTATGGATAACAACAACTTCACTTACAAACAATATCTTCTCAGCAGCCAGTTGACAAGGTACATGATGTTTACCTTTCAATTGAGGCATCTTTTTGAAAGCATTTAGCTTGTTCGTTATTTTAACATGTATAATTTTGCATGATTGACAACACCAAAGCAAAAAATAAAATCGAACACTTACGTGCGAATTTTTTCACATCTTTCAGAGGCCGAAATCCGTCTTCATTATTATCGGATTCTTTTGCAACTTTGTGAGCAAAAATAAGGTACAGACTATACTGCACTTCCGAGGTGGATTTTGGAATGTCTTTCTGATACCAGAGCTCAACATCAATTTCAGCCTTTAAAAGTTAAGGTGTTAAACTATTTTGTCCTTTGAAAATCAAATCAAATGAAAATCAAATGCAAGTAATAATTTACATCGAGTTTTCAAAATTTCTGCACAAACAGATCAAGCAACTTACGTTTGTGTCTTTATCTGTTACTGTCACATATCCTTGAATACCTTTTATTAAAATAAAATACTTTAATCTTATAGCAGTTTTTTTTTTCTGCAAACACATCTTAGAAATATATATATAGCGATACACATTTCTCCTTCTGTCTTTAATAATTAAAAAGAAGAATTAGATAGATTAGACGATCAGTATGTACTGGTCCCAGCTGACAAAGCAGGTAAAAAATTATCTTTTTAATTGTATTTTAGGGTTACTTGGATTTAATTCTGCAAGTGATAATCCAACTTAAACTGGTAGCTCCCTTTCCAAGGAGGAAATTCTTCAAAACCACATGTCAGTTTTAAATATTTTAATATTCCAAATAGTCAAACTTAATTTCAATTACAATACCTATTAAAGTCCAGGCTTTTTGACTTAACGGACAGCTTCTTTAACAAAATAAATGCAAAAATTTTTTGTTCAAAAACATTCTGATTTTACTCTCAAGTACTCTGAGTAAATACTAAAAAGATGCTTGAGTTTCTGGTCGACAGTATATATGTAGTTTTTGGATATTAGGTCTTCCAACAATCTGTCCGAATTCCCATTGACACCAATTGCGTCCCTTTATAAGCAGACCTGTTTTTGTAATGATATGAAACAGAATGTATTCAAAAACATATACACGAGAAGAAAACACTTGTAGTTGCCTTCAAATCGACATTTTGATATATCGACGACGTACTGTATTATCAAGTAAAAATAGTTGCTTCCATTCATATGTCGACTCGATATATCCAAGTGAATTTGAAATAAAAGATACCACATAGTCTGTTTCATATTTGAATATTTTACTTGCAAAAGACGTTAATGGTAACCTAACAAAAAACTTTATGATAAACGTGATGAATTCAACTTTTCTATCGTCACCTCCCCTTACTTATGTAGCAATATTATCACCCGCATAAGGGGTTATTTCCCAGATGATTCAATACGCAAGAGCATCTTCATGTCCGAACAATTTCTAATACGATGCAAGCTACTGAAAAACAAATTGATGAAAAAAGGATATCAATCTCGATTAAGGTCATCATTTCGCAAGTTCTATGGTCGATACAATGACCTGGTCAGCAAATACAATCTATAACTTAGTCGAATGCTGGCTGGCGTTTTTCACACTAATTGTTAGGCCATTATTTACACTCTGAATTGTCTACGGATTTTTCCGTTTTTCCCGATCGTGACAATGAGCATACGGTGTGACCGGTCAGCAGGATATGCTTACTTCTTCATGGCACCTGATCCAAACTCTGATGTTTTTTTTCAGAGGTCCTTGTATACTCTGCTCCCGATCTGTATTGTTCAATGGACTTTTGAGTTTGATTACTGTTCATTATCTCCATATTTCATCGAAAAGTTAAAGTTATGAGCTATTATCTGTAAGTACTTTAAATTTTTTTGACACGCCTGGTCTTAGATTTTGATAAAACTTTGCCTTGAAACTTTACACCAGAAACATATCTCAGATAAAATTTGGCTGCTCTGTGGACGGTTTTATAAAAGAACTTACGAACTAAGACCAAAAAGTTGTTTGTAAAACATTGCAAAATTAATCATTCTGTTTAAAACTGCTAAAGGAAGGGTCATCTTACTTCATACCCTTTAAAAAGATTAAAAATATTTTCTATTAAATTAAAATTAGAAAGTTACTAGCAGAATAAAATTTTGGTCTTAGTCGTAAGTTCCTTTTAAATGGGAGCCCTGGGTCTTTGTTACTAAAGTGAAGGTTCGAAAAATTTGAGATTTTAAAATACTTTGAATCTTTTTAGAGCCTTAATAAAGACTTGGAAAATCAATCAAACTTACTCACAAACATAATACACCTTGTTGTTACTTTTGCTTAGAAGACGCTATTTAAAATATATTTCTTAGTGAGAGGTAACCATGGGTAAATTAGCAATACATTTTAAAAGCTGAAAACGCTCATTTTAAAAAAATGATAGGCATTACATGACCAAACTCAATAACACAAGAAAAATAATTAAAATATTTGACCTTATGGAATTGGCAATATTTTTCTAAAAATAACTTTCATGGTTGTTATGGCATCATAGTGAAGACACAAAACGTTGTTGCTAAGTTCTGGTTAATGGTGCAACATGTATCTTAAGGAAAAGCATTGAAATTCAAGATATGCAAATGTCTTGTAACACCGATAGCATAAGAATAAATTGGGATTAATTGATACATTGTAGAGAACACACCAGTGGTTTAAAGTGGTAATATTTTGCTGCTTTAGGAATTTTTATTATTAGACTCACCTTCAAGTGTACTTATCTGATAAAGCTAAAGTTGAATATCATTATATTACTAAAATTTCATTAAGAAAATAACACTGTTGCTACGGCTACCAAGAATGGAAAATGCTCAGTTCTGTTACCTTTATAGCAATATTAAACCCAGATAGTTTCTTTCATCGAGTTGTGGTAGTCAAATTTGAAAGTCAGGTAGGTTGTTCATAAAATCAATCATAAATGCTTTTGGAATTTACTTATTTTTTGCTTATTATGCATATTTTTTTCTTATAATTTCCATCGCGGTGCTCTGATTTAAAAAATTGAATTTGAATTTTGTTTAAATGTGGAAAGAAGGACCACACGATCATATACAATGATCACAATATATAAAAAAAAAATGTGCTCTTTTAAAACAGGATCAGATTAAAACATACATGGGTAACTCTAATTGGCATCTTGAGGACTGTCAGAGGTAGGAAGTACCATTTTTGTTCATGAATTGCTTTAAATTTTACATAATGGCTTTTGAAAAATACTGTGGTTTGAATTCGACCGATGACATGCTTTTCAGATTAGTTGTATACTTTTTTTAACTTTTGAGAGGTAAATCTTAGATATTTATTATAAGCGCTGCTTGTCATAAGACATTCTGATGAATATTAGCGTAACAGTTCACTTAATCTTGACCTTTCAACTTTTTTAAAAAGAATACTCCAAACCTTTATTTAATTTAAATCTTTTGTATTTTGAAATCTAGGCTATTGATTATTAGCATATAATTTGCGTTTCTAATCTCATGACACTGCACTTTCAAACTGCATGATACAAATATATCACCAACACTAAATCCAAGTACATAGGGTTAGAAGTATGAAAATTAATCAGGATCAGTATAACGAGTCCTGTTCGTAATTAAAGGAAAGTTGTCGACATATTAAAAGAAAGTCGAAATCATTCAGAAACTTTTTCAAAATTTTTAATCGTAGTTAAAGAGATAGTTAAAGTGTTAAAGAGATAACTTAGGCCATCTTAAAAAAATGTTTGTTTGCCCTCTTCCGACCGGCCCGACTCAATTTTTAACCTCCAGGAAACAATTATTCTTTTTTTTCATTCCAGAAAGAAAAGTTCTGAAAATACAGCATCATTATCAAATTTTTCTGGGGAGAAAAATGTTCTCATCTACCTACCGACCTATTTTTTTTTTCATCGTGAGTGGGAGAGGGCAAACAAACATTACTTTAAAGTTGGTCTTAAATAAAATTTTTAAATTTTGCTTTGAGGGTCGAGGCATCATATTTCTATCTGATTGTTCCATTTTATGATAAATACTACCAATACACAATCTTATCATTTATTTGCGGGCAAATTAGTATGGTTCATAAACCAGAGGTCTCTGAGGAGACTGAAGCTCTACTGGTGTGTACTAACAATAAAGAAAGATGAATTTAAATGAAGTCTACTTGCAGTAAAACATCTAAGCAGACTAAAACTTTAGGAGATGTAGCATTTAAGAAGAATTCAAAGAATTTTTTGGTAACCATGGCAACGTCCTACATCATAATGAATAAAACAAAAAATAAAACAATGCATCTTTATAGTGTCTAACTTGAACCAAGTCTTGTTAAATCTGGACCAAAACTGTAGGAGGCGTAGCATTTGGAAGAATTTCACAGAAATTACTAATTTTAGTAAAGATGGCAACACTGTCGAAATAAAAAAAATACACAGAATTATGTATCTTAATGTAGTCTACTTAAGTACTAAGTCTTACTGAAAATGGGCCAAAACTGTAGGAGGAGTAGCGTTTTGAAAGAATTTCAAAGAAATTTCTATTATCAGTAACCATGGCAACACCGTTTGTCGAAATCAAAAACCGATGTAGAGAACTGTGTTTCTTTATGTAATGTACTTTTGTACCAAATCTTATCGAAATTGGACCAAACCTGTAGGAGGAGTAAAGTTTTTAATGAATTTCAAATAAATTTCTATTTTTGTTACCATGGCATTATTGTTCATCGAAATCATAAACCGATAGATAGAAATTTGTATCTTTATGTAGTCTACTTGTGTACCAAGTCTTATTAAAATTGAATCATCACTATAGAAGTGGCGTTTTGAAAGAATTTCAAAGAAATTTTTATTTTCATTAACTATGCCAACACCGTTCGTTGAAATCAAAAACCGATGTATAGAATTGTGTTACTTTTATGTAATCTACTTGTGTACCGAGTCTTACTGAAATCGGAGGTGTGGCATTTTGAAAAAAATTCAAAGAAATTTCTGTTTTTAGTAATGAAGGCAACATCGTTCGTGGAAATCAAAAACCGATAAACAAAACTGTGTACCTTTATATAGTCTTATGTTTAATGCATTTTTGAAATTTGACCAAAACTGTTGGAGGAGTAGCGTTTTGAAAGAACCTCAAAGAATTTTCTATTTTTAGTAACCATGACAACACCGTTCGTCAAAATCAAAAACCGATACACAGAATTTATATCTTTATGTAGTCTACTTGTGTACCAAGTCTTATTGAAATTGGACCAAAGATTGTATGAGGAGTAGCATTTGAAAAAAATGTTTACAGACAGACAGACGGACGGAGAAAGGACACCTTAGCAATGCATAAGCTCTTCTGGTCTCTTACCAGTAGAGCTAAAATGTTTATCACAAATTAGCTTTTCTTTATATCTTACTCTGGTGCATGCCTGGTGCAGAGTTTATAGGCAGATTTATTTATTTATAAGTATAAATATCTCTATATTTTTGTTTAATTGCAGAATACATATAAATAAAGTTTATATTTATAAAATACCTTTTCCATAATCGGGAAGATGTGTAGGATAGTATTCAAACGAGTCCTCATCCTCCTCGCATCGAAAATCGGTAATCTGCCCTTTGTATTCCTGAACCAATGCGTATAGAAATAATCATGTGCAATAACAAAATGTAAAAAAAAAAATGTATTCATGAATATTTTTTTCTGGTATGGACCTACCTCGCCATTTTCTGTATCAACAACAACGATACATGTATAGTTGTTTATTCTGTAATGGCATATTCCCTCTACTCTCCCCACAGGTCCTGAATATGTTTGAAAGAGTCATATATCTTCTAATTTCATTTTTAAATTTTTTTTGTGTGATATCTTCTCACTGTTCCTCAGTAATTCACAATCTCTAATTCTAATTGAAAGTGATACAGCCTTTTTTTGATCTGCATACCATAGCGGGCTTTTTTTAGCGGTTTAACTCTGGCCAACTTTGTGGACTATTAAACACACAACTGCAGAGATATGCCTAATCGGGTTGAAAATAGCTAGTTTTGGGGGGTTTATGTAAAAATTTATTACAGGATAAACAAAATACATAGGTATTGTCTTGAAAAATGAGCGATATTTGGGAGCGGGTCAAAAACGTGATGGAGGGCTAGGCAAGTCTCCCCTTCTATCACGTTTTTCAACCCTCGCCCAAATATCGCTTATATTTCAAGACAGTCTTATATATATATATATATGCATTATATATATATATATATATATATATATATATATATATATATATATATATATATATATATATATGTATATAAGCCGATCGAAACCTTAGCCAGGAGTTTACACATTTTATACACTGTGTATTGATTTTAATGTTTTGCCAAAGGTCAACATGTCCAAAAATTTATATTTACAATAGCTCCAAAACTACCAGACCCTGAAACGTGCTACTACCCCAAAAAAGCGTGTGACTTTTGTGCGCTTTTCGTTTCGTGCAAACCGTGTAGCGTTTCGTGTAAACCGTGTAACGTTTCGTGCAAACCGTGTAGCGTTTCGTGTAAACCGTGCAGCGTTTCGTGCAAACCGTGTAGCGAGCGTGTACCGTTCGTGCAGCGTGCGTGTGGGGTAGTAGCACGTTTCAGGGTCTGAATGTGGTTTATAAAGTTAAAACTTTTACAGTTTATAAATATATCATTGATTAACAGATAGAAAGTATCACTTGATAACAAATGCTTAAAAAATATCTATCGAGAAAAATTCTTTAAAAAAAATGCATATATTTTTTTTTTTAAAATACACCTAATTCATTCCGTACTTTTAGTGAAAGCCATCATTGCAGAAACAATACATGTTTATCAATGAAGGACAAGTTGGACTTCGATAGCTCTGGAAAGTTGTTTTCTCTGTTTATTTTGTCCAAATGTTAAGATTTGAAACCGAAAGTACATTGCAAATGGCGGATTTTATAGGGGTCTTGTCTTTATACATGTCATGCTTTCAATCACAGCCTTTCAGAGACCATTCACGTCCAACTTGCCCTTCATTGATAAACATTTATTATTTCTGCAATGATGGTTTTCACTAAAAGTACAGAATTAAGCAGGTGCTCTTTTTAAAAAAAAAAATATCCAATTTTTTGACATTTTTTCCCTCAAAAAATATATATTTTTTAAACATTTGTTTTCAAGTGATACTTTCTTTCTGTTAATCAATGATATATTTATAAACTGTAAAAGTTTTAACCTTATCTCTCACATGGAGCTTTGGAGCTATTGTAAAAATAAATTTTTGGACATCTTGACCTTTGGCAAAACCTTAATCGGCCAGACAATGTAGTTGTTACGTACACAAAAAGAAATAAGAAATAAACCACAAATTTCGATAGTTTCAACCATGTTTATTTAATAACATAATTTTATATATACTTTGTAAAACTAATTTATAAGTTAAAAATTAATACGGGGAAAAAAACAACGAATTATTACTCACGTTGTTTTATGACGAGAGAATGTCGGATAAATTTATACAGAACAAGATGTGTTTGTGAAACACTGATGCCCCCGTATGGCAACTTATAGCAAAGGTTTAACTTACTCAAATGCAAATCAAATATGTTGGTACCCAAAGTAAGGTCTTGTCTCGAGGAATAAACCTATGAAATAAGAAAGCCCTAGCAGCAACCATTGAATATATATGAAAAAGGTTAAAGTTGTTTTCAAAAGTATGTCAAACATCAAGGTCAAGGTCAAATAATCAAAATTAATAGTGCCCAAGGCAAGGCCTTTTTTCAAGAAAATACACAGGTGAAATATGAAAGCCGAAGCACTAATCGTTTAAAAGTTATAACAAAAGTTTTCCAAAAGTAGGTCAAACTTCAATGTCAAGGTCAAAGGGTAAAAGTTTTTGGTATCCAAAAAAAGATCTTGTCACAAGGATTACACAAGTGAGGTATGAAAGCCCTAGCACCAACTATTCAAAAGTTATGGCCAAGGTTAGAGTTTTTCAAAAGTAGGTCAAACTCCAATTCAAGGCCAAACGGTCAAAGTTGTTGGTATCCAAAGGATGGTCTCGTCACAAGGATTACACATGTAAAGTATGAAAGCCCTTGCATTAACTGTTCAAAAGTTATGGCCAAGGTTAAGGTTTTTCAAAAATAGGTCAAACTCCTAGGTCATGGTCAAAAGGTCAAAGTTGTTGGTATCCAAAGGAAGGTCTTGTCACAAGGATTACACATGTACGAAAGCCCTAGCACCAATTGTGCAAAAGTTATGGCCAAGGTTAAAGTTTTGTAAAATTTTGCTTAACTGGGTCAAACTCCAAGGTCAAGGTCAAATATGGTGGTACCCAAAAAAAGGCCTTGTTACAAAGAATACATATGTGAAATATGAAAGCCATAGCTCCAACCAATCAGAAGTTATGGGCAAGGTTAAAGTTTTTGCGGACAAACAGACAGGAAGACAGACGGACGGGCAGGGCAGGGCAAAAACTATATACCCCCGAATCTTCGATACGTGGGCATAAAAATATTTTTTATTTGAATTATTTATTATGTTTTATTTTGTAGCGGTAAAAAAGGCATTAATCTTTTTTTTAGGGGGGGGGGAGGGGGCAGTTGCCATGTAGCTTTGAGTATTTTTTAAAATTTAATGACGTGATTGTTTCCTTCTTAGGACATAGAATAATGTAAACTTTTGTTAGATAATTTAACAGCTTTAATAAATTAAATTTTAAAATATCTGAGGTAGTCACTTGCATGATTTACATGTATAGATAAGGGCTCAGGAAATATTTTAGTAAAAAATTTTACGTTGCGTAAAGATTCTTACAATAATTACTAGTAAATCGACAAGTCAATGAAAATGATAGCCTGAATAAATTAGTAGGCAAAGTTTGAATAAGAATTTACTGTCATCAGATTCATGATGTATTTTCTCAAGCATCAACCCCAAAGAAAAACGAATACGGTGTAATATGGGAATCGGCCTTGCTTTATAATTGTAGGATCTATTTCAAAGTCATTAAATTCTAGTCTACTAAGCCATTCATTTTATTAAGCACATCATTAATTTTTTTAAATAAAAAGGTAACCATTACCAATAAATCAAATTTGATAAACAAATTGGTTTAATTTGGTGTCAATTTATTTGCCCTCAAATGTAATTATTTAGTGTGAAAGTCTCTTTTCTTCTGTTTTTGCTGTTGTTGATATTCTGTTACTTTGTTAATTATTTAGACATAATTGTCACATAAGAAATGTGAATATGCTTTACATGTAACATGTCTACTATAACACTTTTTCTCATAAAAAAAAAAGAAGTGTTTATTTTATTTTAACTGACATTGTTTGTTGATACACTGTGTAATCTCAGTTATGAATAAGCTCCGCCCATTAAATTATTAACCCCGCCCACTTGGACTGCTTTCTGTCAGATTGGGTCTGGTTGGTACTGTATATATAAACGATCACAAACCTTGAGAGACTCTTTTTATGCCCCGCCATGAAATGGCCGGGGCATATAGTGTTATCCTGTTTCGTCATTTCGTCATTATTGACTTTCCGTTCATTATCTCGACAACAGTTGCACACATTTAACTCAAATTTGACATATGGACACGTCATAGAAATACGAAGGTATAGTTCGAATTTGGTCATGGTCCAATGTTTTTTGACTGAGTTATCCCTCTTGAACTTGGGAAAAAAAAAAATTAAATTTCCGCTCTCTAACTTTTGTAGGGATGTATGTATAAGAATGAAATTGCATTTGCAGGTATTTTACCAAAAAATACAGGTCAAGTTCGAATTTGGTTGTGGTTGGATGATTTCTGACAGTGTTATCCCTCCTGAACTTTGAAAAAAATAAGACATTTTCAGTTTCCGCTCTCCAATTTTTGTAGAAATGTGTGTATAAGGTTGAAGTTGCATTTGCAGGTATTGACTAGAAAATACAGGTCAACTTCGTATTTGGTTATGTCCGATGATTTTTGACAGAGTTATCCCTCTTGAACTTAAGAAAAATAAGAATTTTTCAGTTTCCGCTCTCTATTGAATGGATGTGTGTATAAGGTTGAAATTCCACATGCAGCTATTTTACCAGAAGGTACAGGTCAAAATTTGAATTTTTCTCCTGGTCCGATAATTTTTGACAGTTATCCCCATTCAACTTGGAAAGGATTTAAAAATTCATAATTTCCCCGGCTACAAATGCGCAATTTATAATTTGCTGTTTATATTTATTATCTAAGATATAAATGCACATTTTGAGCATGACATTTGAAATTTTGGCTGCCGGCGGGGGCATTCGTGGCGTTACGAGACATTTAGTTTCCACGTATTTTACATACAGTTATTTCAAGAATTACACATTTTTATGTAAATCCACAATATTTGACTCGGTCAAATTCACATAAAAACCATTGTCACGTCACAACTGTGGATATGAAAACTTTAATTATCTATCTATCTATCTATCTATCTATCTAGACTATAATTGTGATGATTTGTAAACCTATAAACAAGTACTTTGAAGATTTTATTTCACATTCCTTTACATTTTCAAGCCCCCTTAATACTCATTAGCGTAACACATAAAAAGTATTATATTTAAGAAATAATGTATCATTTTTAAACATCTATCGGGATATAAACACGGGTTGGTCACGAGATCAAATTCCATAAATCCCGAAGGGCTTTATGGTAAATTTGGTCTCGTACCAACCCGTATTTATATCGCAGCTATTTTAAGGCTTCCCGAAGCTTTAAAATGCGCTCAAGACATAATATGTCATTGCCAGGTCGGTTTTGGTTTTAATTTATAAGTATTGAACTTAAGTACTTCCAATTTATATAGAGGGTTTTCTCGGCTATATATTAACATATTTCTTATGATATCACATGACTTTGTTGATCACGTGACGGTCATTTATAATTTTTTGAAGTGTTTCATCTAAATCGCTTCGGCGCAGCTGATTAATACAATAATTTTTAACATTTTGTTATGTAAATAAACTCATCTTATCCTTGTGAATCCGAAATGTGCTTGGGAAAAGTCATAGTATTACTAAGATACAAAATATTTCCTGAGAAATTCAACTTACCTACAAATTTGAGGGTATTTTCCACACAATATCGTAATCTATATTAAAACAAAGCCAACAAACATTTTTCCCAAGCAAGATTCAGTTAGAGAACAACCTCTTCTTACAGATTTCCACAAAAATTCTCAGATTAATCCTCATTAATCACCTGCGCCAGACTCTTTTATACACACACAATAAATTCTACCTCCAGCCACGGGTATAAAACAGAGTACATTTCAAAAGTATATTTTTCATAAGCATTTTGAACATGCTGAATTTCAATCAAGGGTAGGTAAGGGGTGTATTTTTAAAATATTCGGACATATAAGACTTAAAAAAAACCTTTAACGACCCGTGAATTTTGCAATAGTTATCTAGCATTTTACATGCAGTTTGAAATAAAGTGTAAAGTTCATGTGACTTGACGTCATTTTCCATTATGACGTCATATTTTGGTAGTTCAGAGATGTGAAGGCACAGAGTGCACTGTGATATTCTACGGGAAGCCTTAACCTACCTGCGATCCCGATAGATGTTTAAAAATGATACATTATTACTTATATTTACATTTATGACATTCATATTTAATGTTTCCTGTTTATAATCTTTAACGCGTAAAATGTTTTATTTTTCAAACTCAACGGCGCGTATTTTATCCATTGTTTTTGCGTCGACCCTTTATTACGTCTCTGAGAAATTACGCCGAACGTTTATGACGCGAGGAACCCGAGTTTATACGGATATAAATACGCGTTGCTTTAAATAATGTTATTTAAAAGGAAACATTTGCAAATGTAAATATAACATAGTACATATTTCAAATACTGTAGCATCCCCTACAATATTAAATTGATCAATTCTCTTTAAACGTAAATCACTTTACCTCTTTCATCCTCAAGTAGTTGAACTTTAGCACCTTTAAATATGCCAAGAGCTTTTTGTCTTTTTAAATCTCTCGCATTCCTTGGTGTGTCTAAAATTGTTCTATATAAAATATCGCTCTATTAAAAGAAAGTAATTTATAATTTCAAAATGAGTGTTTTGTTTTTTTTTATTTTCACTAGAACACAAGCAGCATTTTTGCTTGTCTTATTAGATTGGAAAATGTGCAGATTCTTATATAAGAATACAATGAAGCCATATTAGACAAGAGGCCCATAGGTCACAAGGCTCATCCGAGTTAGTAGGGTCCTCCTATTCTTCATAAGTTTTTTTGACTATATATATATATATATATATATGTATATGTATATGATGGTTGTCCATAAAGTTCGTGGACAATAACATTTTTGGCAATATGAATGGTCCTAGATCTACTTATTGTATAACAAACTATTTCTTATGAAAATCGAAGTCAGAATAGCTTGGTTTTGATCGTGTGAACTTAATAATTTTGTAAAAAGCGCGGTCTTCAAAGGTACATCGCAGATAGTGCGCACGACCCAGGGGTAAAAGCCATAAACTTTGAAATAAAGTTTCTTAATTCAAATGATTATTTTTTTTATGAAACAGGTCAAAGCTTAATAAAAATTAAATGTAACACAAATAAAACGGATATCGTCATATTCTGATATCTTAAGTATCACTTACTATACGATAGTGAAAACTGCAAGAAATATGTTTCAAAATTTGACAGAAAAGCGAAGTCGACCATCCGAACGGAACAGCTTCCAATTATAAAATTATGTTTTACAATGGTCGATACGACGTCAGAGACAATTTTTTTATTCAAACAACCTGAAATTATTCGATTGTATTAGTTCATTGATTTGATATTAGTATATACAAATGTTCAACGGTTGTACAATTTTTGAGACACTACAAGAGGTGGAAAACCAGTATCATATGGTGAAAATCGAATAAACTTTTTCATGACGTTGTTATACGAGGGTTGTCCCAAAATTCCGTAGACTGAACACGACATTTCAAAAATATTCTGCGCAATTTTATTTAAATTTTGTATTATCTTCCTAATGCTTTTCTTGATTGAAAGATAAAATTTCAAAGGCGTAATCAATTTATTTTTAGAGAAAGGCGAAATTTAGTACCATAATTTTAGGCCCGGCGGAGCAATGTCATCGACGTCAAAGGCAAAATATACGACGTCCAAAAAAAAAAAAAAAAAAAAAAAAAAAAAAAAAAAAAAAATCAAGCAACTGTGCGTCGTTATAAATTCCTCACGTTTTGTTAGGTAGTCTAAAAGTCTTGTGAAATAAAATTCTTTACTTTTATTTTAATTGCATTTACATTACAATTTTATAGACTTACAAACAAAGCTGTAACATATACCTGTGTAATTGAAAACGATATGTAAACGAGAGAAAAGGAACAAAAACAACATTGTTTTCTGGAGCTCTTAAACTAGAAGTTATACCAGTACATCAACGATTTCTTATTCTTTCTCAAAATATTCGCCATTATGTTCAATACATTTCTAATGCCTATCAATCCACTTTTCAAACACATTGTTGAACCACATCTGGTCCAGTCCAGCGAGGATCCTCAATGTTTCCTTCTTCAGCTCGTCAAAGTCTGCGGATCGCTGGCCTCTCAGTTCAGCCTTTAAGTAAGGGAAAAGCGCAAAATTCATTGGTGCTTAAGCTGGACTGTATGGTGGGTAACTCATTCTGTCAAATCCAAGTAAGTCAAGTTCCAACTTTGTTTGATCAGCTGTGTGGCTTGGCGCATTATCCTGATGGTAAATAATATTTTCCTTATTTTCGGCTAAACCAGGCCTCTTTTTCTTCAATGCATGCATATGATCCCGTCGCACAACCTTGGAGTAGTAAGCTGCATTTACCGTCTGACCAGCAGGGACAACATGTACAAGAATCATGCCGTGTCTGTCCATAAACATGAACATGAACTTACTGGTTGATTTCGAAACCTTTGCCTTTTCTTTGGTGGTGGTGTTCAAGATGTTTTCCACACACTAGAATCTGTCTTTCGCTTGGGATCATAGTAATGAAGCCAGGTAGTTATTATTCTATCAAAAAAACTGTGTAGACCGGATCGGTGTTGCCGTAGGAATTCCCGGGAACACGAAATTCTTTTTTGTTTTTCTTCGTATTTCAATTTCCGTGGTACCCAGCGTGCACATACCCTCTGCATTCCTAATTTTTTCCGAAAGTATTCGGTGAACGGATGATTTACTGATTCCTAGCATGTCTTTCATCTCTCTAACGGTCCGCCGTCTGTCCTGACGAAATATGTCGTTCACATTTTTAAAAATTTTTCACTAATTTCTTTCGGTCGGCCTCTCTATTCTGTCTTGGTATCCTCATATCCGTCTGAGTATTTCTTGTGCAATTAAACACCAAAGCACGAGACACGTTTTTATGTGTTTCTGTTAACTTAAGCTTCTTATGGGTCTCTGTAGGTGTCAATCCTAGCTCTAAGCAGAATTTTAAAACCTGCCCGTGCGCCGCCCCTGACGTTGACGTCGGCATTTCGTATCAAAACGAACACACCGAATGGTCGCACAAAACGTCATAAAATCTTTAAAAAATTCGCCATTATAAAGAAATTTGCAAAGAAAAAAGAAGAACATTTTATACACATTCTTATATATTTTTTATTCGGAAATTTAATTTGAAACGTACTATTCCTTACAATTATAAATTCTCTATAATTATTTTATTTTGTTGTTTTTGACATTGTGCCGCCTCCCGATTTTTTAATATCAAGCCTGTGTTGATTTACATGTAATATAGATTTAAAATCCATATTTTTGACGTTATCATGAAATTAGCTTTACGTAAGACTGGACCGTGTGGCTTGTATATACAAAGTATTTACACCTTTAACGATCCTTAAATATTGTGTATTATATTTTATGTTTTTATTATATCATGGTCTCTATTAAAAGATTATTGTACAAGTTTTCCAGTGAAGTCACTTTAAAGCCAATTATAGCATTTGTCCAGGAACTTTATTGACAACCCTCGTACATTCCGTTACAAAAACTTCGCTCAAATACTTTGGCTCCATCCTACCCGGTTGTCATGATTTGAACAGAAACCTGAGTCTACACTACCCGAGGATGCTTCATTATGGATATGACTAATCATGGCTTTCATAATTTTTTTTTTTTTTTACATATTTTTCTATATAGTCCTATGTAAGACTTTGATCTAACGTATCCGCAGGTGAATCCATATAAATATGACTATTCATGGCTTTACTTTTCTATAGTAGAATATTTTCCCAATACATTCCTTTGATCGCTCGATCACGGTCAACCCTACCCCTGAGGTCATGATTTCAACAACCCTGATTGTACACTACCTGATGATGCTTCCATTCAAATATGATGCAAATCTTGAGGCAAATATATTTTTCCTATCATTGTTAAATCCTATGTATAGATTATGGTCTGACCCCAAATCGGATGTCATGATTTGAATGAATACTTGATATCGCGATTACTTATCTTTATGGAACTCTTTTGCGGTGAAGGTAGGAAACGTCTGTTAGCTGGGGGCAATGTGCTGTTGCATACAACGCGAGATCGAGCATTGTGGATATTTAAAGGACAAATATGAAAGAAATCCTGGTGAAATATCTTACGGAACATTCGCTGAGCCATGCTTATAAATTTTAAGAGAACCCAGTCCTTAAGTGTTACATTTTAGTGATACTTTTTCAGTAAGCCGACTCCTCTAATTAAATTCTACCATTTCTTTCTAATTATCGTTACTTTTAAAAGCTGATAAAAAAAAAAAAAAAAAAAAAAAAAAAAACTCTGAACATTTCAAATAAGACAACACACTATTTAAAATTCAACCCTTTGCAATACATTGTACTTTCGGCATACTAATTGTTTGAATCATTCGATTGTCACTAGCACAAGTAATTCATGTCCCGGAAATCTCGCGAGATTTAGACTTCGCCGCAAAAGAGCGGCATTAAGTTTAGTTAGATAACTGTGAGGTAATCGCGATACAAAGTATTGAATTTACTCCTCCTGAAGATGCTTCAGCATAAACATGACTAATTAAGGCTTTGTTGTTGTTTAGAATATTTTCAAAAGTTTTCCTTTATAAACCTATTTTATAATTTGATCGCAAATCGTGGCACCACCCTATCCCTGGAGGTCTAGATTTACACAAACTTAAATTTACAAATATAAAGAGGCTTTCTCATATGATTCCTCTTTTCTGACTCTGTGGTTCTTGGAAAGATTTTTATATATATCCCTCCTAATTTTTTTACTATTTCTTAATTACATTCCCTTGGAAGAATTGATGGCCCTTAATTTGAACAAACTTGAATTTCCTTCATTAAAAGATACTTTATGCCAAGAGTGATTGAAATTGGCCCACTGGTCCAAGAAAAGGCTTAAATGTGAAAAGATCAGGACGACTACAGAAAACGTACAAATTCCATCAGATTTCACTCGGGTAAGCTAACAAGGAAAGGTAGAGTTAATCAGGACCTCATTAACTTTGCAAAATGTTGAGCGTTCAAAAAATATCCTTATTTGTTGTTTATTTTGACGTACGAAGTAGATTCCAATGCATACAGTTGGCAGAGGGGTGTGGGGACGGAGGGAGGAGTTGCCAAATTTAAAAATAAATCTTTGAAGAAAACCAGATTAATATAGTGACAATTGTCAAATTCATAAACAAAGAAAAATTATAGCACATGAATCACAAGACCTTTCACAATCAGTATACATATATGAATGCAAAAATAACCTTATATCTTGGGGAAAGGAGGATTAATATCATTCCTCGGAGAGCAGTTTATACCTTACATAAATGTCTTTGTAAATACTTTTCATGGTAAGGTTAAGCATTCGCATGTAATCCGTTCTTCTGTTTAAATTTAACTTGTATTTAGAAAGAAAAAAATGCCATCATCTTTGTAAAATTCATGTTCATAGGTATAAACAAGATATTGTGACGTTGTGTTCATACATCTTTATTATTGACAATTACTCAATTATATTTATTTCCAAAGGATAGAAATTTTATTTTAATTTGAACGTGTTAAATACTGTTTGAATTGTTAAGAAATATTGTTACTGATGTTATAACAGAGGTAAAAATTTAAAAAAAAGTTCACTGAGTATAAGGTTTAAATTACATTATAGGTTACGCAAAGAAACAATTATTTCACGACAAACTGGGGAACAGTCATGCTGTTGTCTTTTGATAGTGTATACCGTACCATGCAGATTTATTTTATTCAGATTTATAAAACTTCAAAAACACAACCACCCTAAATGGAAACATAGTGTGTCTTTACAAAAATACCCCCCCCCCCCCAAATCTTCCTACGAGGTCATTGTCACGCAGACCTGCCTACCCTTTTAATGTTACCTTGTAATGTAATTCTTCTGCGTTTTACAACGAATTTACGCTATTACGCCATTTTAACCTTAATGAAATGGACCTTAAAAACATAGGCCCCTTGTCACGGTAGACGTTGGCACGATCAAGAACCCTCACTGCTCAATGGCCTGAGTGCCGAGTAAGCGCCTAAATTTGAAGCCCTTCGCCGGTATATGGGGACGTTTCTATATGAGTGAAAAATTCTCGAATGGGACGTAAAACAACATCCAATCAATAAGCAATCAATCAATTATTCCACATTAAAACGCTTAAAGAAAAATGTACAATGGATCTAGATATAGTTACACTTATTGCAAACACTAAACGGGGGCAGATAGAAGTACTCTTTTAAAACTCTATCACTCTCTTATTCAAAATTAGACTATGATTGTATTGTTTATGGATCAGCAAGGACCTCATACTTAAAAGCGCTTGACACAATCCACCATCAAGGACTTCAGCTATGCCTTGAGGCTTTTCAAACTTCTGTAGACAGTTATGTTGAAGCAAATCAACCACCTCTCGACGTAAGACGAATTATGCTTACTTTACATTATTGAATAAAATTAAAAGCTACCGATAACCTGCATTTGACTGTGTTTCATCCGGAGCAGGAAGATTTATATAATGAAAAAATGCATTTAATCAATTGCTATAAAAATCATATCAGACATTCAGACCTACCGTTGGATATTGTAAAACCCACTACACATTCTGAAATAACGCCATGGAAATTAATTAAACCAGCTATACAAACTTCCCAAAAAGAATTCACTAAATCAGAAACAAATTCCACCTTTTTGTAGCAGAAATAAGCTAACTAAAACAATTGAAACATTCGACAGTTGAAATTCATACAAATGGATCAAAAGACAAAAAAAATTGCAGCCGCTGCAGTGGTTAAAATGATGTGTTTTCTACAAGACATCCTAATGAAGCAACAATTTTTACAACTCTCCTCAAGCGCTCGGCACATGGAAGTGAAATTGAAACATCAAGCGGGTCTTTGGGATGAGACATTTAAACCCAAGGCCCCATGTCACGGCAGACGTTGGCACGATAGAAAACCTTCTCTGCTCAATGCCCCTGAGTGCTACATGTAAGTAAAGGTATAAATTTGATATCCTTCACCGGTATATGATGATGTCTCTATATATCATTGAAATATTCTCAAATAGAACGTAAAACAAAATGCAATCAATCAGTCAATCGTACGAGTTTATTTAACATAGAGATCGAAAAAGGCATAGCTGATGCGCAACATAAAATGCACAGGTTTTGGATATGAAAAAATATTAATATTTTAAAGTAAAATATAGGCATATTGGATCTACTGGTAATAAATTGATGGAAATACCTTTTCGTTGGTTCTGTGATTCGTAAAAATCGGTGGTCAGTATGATCGTCATTGCCAGACATATAACAAGGCGTGCAAAGATCATAGTCGGGGCAGGTAGAACATTTCCATCTAATGCCCTTTATTCTCTTATTGTTTCCACATTCATCGCAAAATGCGCCTTGTATAATCCCTATTTAAGGATGAGATTTTTAAAATATCTTTTCATTCAACTGTTTTATATGGATTATAATACTTTGGATGCCTTATCATTTGCTCTTTGAATTGCTTTTTTTTCATTTTTAAATTTAAATGAAGCAGTTCAAAGTTATTAATAAAAAAATATTTCTTTAATACAATCAGACAGATGTGAGGTACATGTAAGCCAAGGAACCTTTACACTTTAGTATATAAAATGTCTTCAGGTTTTGGTGGAAATACAGTCTACAGAAGGGGTTTTAATTAATGCACATTTTATTAGCAAGAGGCATGAATGTGTGCCTTTTCAATTTTCAGTGTACACTTTTTTTTTTTTAAATCAGCACGTGTCTCTAGCAAAACACAGAAAATATATCTAAACATCAATGTGATTATGTGAATCTAAAGGAACTTTTCATTCTTTATTTTTTGAAAATGAAAGGACTCTTTCTTACCTATTTGGCTGTTATCAAACAGTAATATATCTCCTTTACTAGAATCAAGTTCTTCAGTTTCACCGTTATCCCACCGAACAGAGATGAAAAAATATTCTGTTTCATCAGAAGACTGTCTTTTGGAACCGTCTTCTATTGCTATATTTTGCGGCAAAACCCGAGACTGTCGGTGATTTTGGCGTCGCCGTCCTCTTTTTCGTTCATGTTTCCCAGCTCCTGCATCCTTCTGAAAGCAACATTTTAAATTAGGGCGTTTCAAGGAACGCATGTATCGCCTGCTTTATAACATCATTAAAGATTAAAACAAATCTAAGGATATTTGCTACTAGCAATATAGTTCAGGCATTTTCTACAATAAAAAAACATACATGGATAGTAAGACAAAGTAGAATAGGATTCATCATATACAATCTGAAAATCAAATAGAAATATGATTCCCAAACCCTGGAAACTAATGTAAGAAATGATTTATATTTTAATGATATGTGTTTAATCCAACTACATGTATATATCCTCCAAAACATATTTCACTCTGTATTTGCCGCATTTGTCACAATCAGAACATCACTCGGCCTTTTCCGTCAAGAGTTTGTTCTCTTAACTTGACGGAAAAGGCCGAGTGATCACTCAACCCTTTCTCCCGGTCTCGAGTTTTTTTTTCGAGATATAGGGTGTGACAGACGGACAGCTAGACAGACAGAAATACAGACGTCGCGTAAAGTGATCCCTATGGGTTGCCTCTTTTGTCCGAATAACTCCTCCCACAGTTTTCGAGCTGGGAAATTTTTTTGTTTTGTAGATCAATTGTACACATATCTGAGATGTGGTAAGGTACATTGATTTTATTGTGAGTTCACTTCCTACAGTTTTCAGAATAGAAAGTTTATAAAATAGATGACGTTCATATTTACAAGTAATTTCCCTTCTGAGATCATTTAGGGTCAGCCAACATAAGGTGATGTTTTCCCTCTATAACTTTACAAACTTAATGCGCTAGTTTCTGATAAATAAAATCTATATGTTGATGCTCATGATTTTTTTCTTTGTTGCCTCATACTTTGCCAAAAAGATGTGTAAAATTGTCAAAAGATGTTTAAATATTTTTTTTTTAATTACAGGCAAGTTACAAAGGATATAGTGAGAAAATGGGTATTTCACGAAAAAGGGAAATAACTTGCAAATAGAAAATTTGTCTATTCACGAAAAAGGGAAATAACTTTTGCGAATGGAAAATTTGTCTATTCATCTAAAAAAAAAATACCAGTTCTGTTCTCTCAAGGAGAACCCGGTTTGTGGTCACTTTGACAGCTTTTCACTTGTCAATTATCCATCTTCCTAGTGCGATTTTACACATGTGCATCTCTAATAAAGATTCTTGAACGGAAAAACGTACATATATTAGGGCTGATAGAGAAGTTCGCAGACACAATAATTAAAGGGAAATTTATTGTGTTCTTTGAAAATTTTGCTTTAAGCGTTTTTTTAACGCATTGATCATCTACAATAAGGCAATCAAACTGTCATGACTTCAACAATCAAAATCAAAATTTGGCCGCTTATGCGCAACTACAGTGCAATATATAATTTTGCGATTATATCTGTGTAATGAAAATCACAGACACTTGAAGTTACATATTTTTATTGATTTTTTTCTAGGTCGGTCACATCAACTTGTAGTTTTGTCTGCAACTCCGTGAAATAAATTCCCTGCTACCGTATTCATTCTGTTGTCAGTCTTTCGAGGTCTCAACTTAGGGACAGTGCAACCAAAAGGCGGCATCTCACTTGCAAATAGTAAAATATCTCTCGTCAAACTCGATCTATTGCTTCAACAATCCTATAAATGCTAAAGGGGGCTTCAATTTTATATCAATATGCTAAGGGAATTCCGTATTTTTCAGTTCTTGGGTGGATCTAGAGCGGCGTGTTGTAATTACTTTGAGGTTTTAACAAGTATATCGATATTAAAATCAAAGAAATACAAAACGGGGAAAAAACATTTCTTGTTAGCATACCTTGTAAAATACATTGTATACAGGTCGTTGCGCCTGCCAATCTTTGAAAAAAGGGGACATATGCTAAATTGGGAAACTGTAATATTCAAATATAAGCTTATACAGTCCCTGAAACGTTCTACTTTCCCATTTTTCCGTTCGCTCACCGTTCGTTCACCGATCTTTCAGCGTGCGTTCACCGTTCGTTCACCGTTCGCTCTCCGTTCACAGTTTTGCGTTCACCGTTCACCGTGCGCTCGCGTTCACCGTTCACACAGCGTTCAGCGTTCGCTCTTCGTTCCGTTCACTCTGCGTTCACCTTGCGTTCAGCGTTCACCTATCGTTCAGTTTTCATTGTCATTCGGAACTCCGAAGTGAAAGGACTTATCTTTTTGTAGGTTAGGAGTTACAGGTTTTTTAATTTAATAACTAACATGTCGTGTTTGAAGAATCATTATTTCATGGGGAAAAATATCTACGATATATATATTTTTATTATTCTAACTTAGCTGTTAGGTTATTTATTAAATTACTCTGGAAAATAAATGTTGTTATAAGCACATTCTGTACCTATGTAGAAAGATGCTGAAATATTAAATTTAACAAAGGGCAATGTGTAAATACTTCAAGCACTGCAACATTTTGTTGTTTTGTTTAAGAAGACAAATCGTTAATGGAGATATAATCATCCAAGTCAAATAATTACGCAGCAAAATTACGAAAATATTTATTTCTAACACTTTTTTTTCCCAATTACATCAGAAAATATGATAGAACTAGTTCTGAGAGTTATACATAGTTCTGCAGATATCGTGTTAATTTATTATCTTATTTAGCGAATTAAATTGATAGTGTGGATAAAGGAAATATTTATTTAAAATGTAATGCACTACAGAATTTTCTCTACTATAATATGTAAAGTCTATAGTTATAGAGAAAAAAAATCTTTCTTCACCTTTTTTTTTCTTTTCATCTTTTATGTTTGCCATTCGATATGATTAATACCCCCCCTTTTCCCCCTAAATCGGTTACTTACTCAGTTTTGTATTTACAGAATATTTTAATCAACATTTAAAAAAAAAAGTTAAGGTCTTTTTTAGAACAAAAATTTCAGTCTCAAAACAAACATGCATCTAAAAAAAGTCACAAAACAATAGTAGTTCAAAATGTACACATGTCGGCGGTGGTATTTGGAATTGGCAGAGAGTATGTTTCAAATTCAAGTGTTAATGCCCAATGTATTTTATTCAATTATTATTCAAATGTTGGAATCAAATCTAGAAATGATAAAATTAAATGTTATAACTTGTTGGAAATACTCGCACTTCGTCTTCGATGTGACGAAACTTCACACCTGCACAGTGTCGAATGATTTTGATTGACAGGACAAGCACGTGGACTTCGTGTGAACTTGAAGCAGGAAAATAAAAACGAGTATGACTGTCAAACAAATGGTTATGATTTGTTGATAAAAAAAAAAAAAGTTACTTTCACTGTCTGATATATTTAGAAAAAAAACTCAGAGTTTTGTTTGATATAGGAACAAACATTTCGTGAAGCCTGAAATGGGGGGGGGGGGCTTAAACGGAATATCTCTCTCTCTTTTGTCTGTTTAATAAAAACTATAACAGCATATTAAATGAATATCAAGTTCTGAAAATTGAATTTATCACAAATAATATGAATATGTATCTTTGTATTATCTTGTCCGAGTATAATCACGGCCATCTACACATAAATGTAGAAGTCTGCTCAATAAACATGGCCGTAGGAACCGGAGGGGGAAGCACGCCCCCCCCCCCCCAATAACTTTGCCGATATAAAGATTATTATAGTAAACATAGATACTATATGCTTGTGCCCCCTGCAATAAAAAGTCTGATGACCTTTTTTATTATAATTTTTTTTTTTGCTTGTCAGGAAATTTTTGGTAGTGCCCCCTCAACTATCAACTGAAAATGTATGGCTGTGCCCCCCCCCCCTCCCACACACACACAAACCGAATTTGCTTCCTACCGGCTTGAATAAATCATCCTGAAAAATAGAAATGACACATAATATTATTGTATTAAAAATTTAAAATCAAATAAGAATAAACATTTTTATTTTCCAACTAAAAAAAAATATCTCTTAAACTTCAGCGTTCGGCAACAAATTCAATGTTTTAATGCGATAAAAATCGTGTGATTAAAAACTTAATGTGCATGCATCGTCTTTCTCAGGACAATTTTGGAGAATTTATTTTATTGACTTATTTATTCATTCATTTATTGGTTTACTTATTTATTATTGATTGATTGATTGATTTTTATTTATTTTTTTTTTTTTTTTGGCAACTGACATTATAAAAGAATAAAATAGTTTCAATGCAAGGAAAAGATCAGAGGCATTCCGAATATATCGTTCATTTTGCGTTCACCGTTCGTTCACCGTTCACTTTGCGTTCGCGTTTGCGCTCCGTTCGCGTTCTGCGTTCGCTCACCGTTCACCGTTCACACATCGTTCACCAAGTTGCGTTCAGCGTTCACATATCGTTCACTCACCGTTCGCTCTGCGTTCGTTCACCGTTCGTTCACCGTTCGTTCAGCGTTCGCTCACCGTTCAAGTGGGAAAGTAGAACGTTTCAGGGACTGTATGTCACAAAAAATGGATCAGACAATGAAAATAAAATATTTGCCACTACTTTGTTGCAGTACTTAAATTTGCAGATCTCAACAATCACTGGAATAATTTTAAAGCCCCCCCCCCTCCACTTCCAACAAACGTACACTTAAACTGGTTCCAAACATACAAGTCAATATTCTCCAGAGTCGAGACATATAACGTTACTCTCCAACTGGGCATCAATAATGACAGTGTTATTATGTTCAGTGCGTGCAAGAACAGACTTAAAACCGTATATTCATTTTTACTCAATATTTTGTCTCACAAAAAATGTTTGTCGGGCCGATCTTGGACATTTACAAAATATGATCGCTTTGATCAGTTATATCTAGATTATTTTCGGGGAAGATAAAATGAATGTTTTTATATTACGTTGTAATACTGTCTAAAAGATTTATTTGGGATCTATACTAACTTTAATGTCAAGTTGAAGATAACGAACGCTGATCGATCCCATTAAAATATATAATCAATACAAGTTAGTGAGCAGGGCATAAAACACGTACCCCTGGGAATACCAGATTCGGGATCAGGTGCCTAGGAAGACTAAGCATCCCCTGTTGACCGGTCACACCCGCCGTGAGCCCTATGTATAGATCAGGTAGACGGAACATTCTGTAGACAAATTCAGTATAAAAACAAAGGTCTAACAATTGGTATGAAACACATCAGCAAAACATACGGCCCAATGACAGGTTATATTTGCTTACAAGGTCATTATTACGACCATAGAGTTTATAAAATGCTGACTTTAAACGAGGCTGTTGAAATCCCTCAACTTATCTGTCAGTCACCTGTCTCGTTGTAAAAAGTGATCGTTCTTGGAGCATGCACGTATTGACGATGGGAGATGTAAACACCATATGCAGGTAATAGTGGGATTTTACTATATAAATAAGTAAAGTTTAACTGGTTATATTTAAAACTAAATATTACAAAATATATAGACCAATCAAAAACGGCTTTCCCTAAGAATTTCAAGTTGAATGTAAACTTAAGCGATTTCTCGGATTGTAAAAGCAGTACGTAGATCGAGTTTGACGAGAGCTACTTACTATTTGCAAATGTGACGCGCCCTTTTGGTTGCACTGTCCGTAAGTTGAAACCTTGAAAGACTGAACACAAAATGAATACGGTTGCAGGGATTTTTTTTAGCGGAGTTTCTGACGAAATTACGAGTTGATGTGATCGACCTAGAAAAAATCAAGATGGCGGCGATGTGTACCGTGTGAATTATTAGGTATGGAGTTATATTTTATTTTTTGCGTGGACCCTGAGGTCCACGCAGAAAATATATTAGCGGAGTTAAACCGGATGCCATGGCCTTACGTCAGGCTACGCATGCGCGAGGATGCTAGAGAGTTCGCCTCTAAGACAACTTGCCCGTAGAACAATTCGCCCTCTTCGAATTAGAATATGCCAATCATTGGCAAACCTCGCTCTAAAATCTGCACATCGTATTTATGTTTTCTTTGGCGTAACCAAGATCTGAATTTCTCTTTAATACATATATCTTTATATACAAACTAAATTCTATGGTACAAGCATTTTAAATAAGTAGGAAGAACTTATAGAGATAGCTTAACAGCTTGAACATGTTGAATTAAAACCACTAGGTTTTAAAAGATAGTCTTTGCCATGTTTACCGGCATTATTTTTGTGCATCAAGGTTTGCAAAATAATTTGATAGACAGCAATCCAAATATAGCTTGATAAAGGCCTGTAGCAATGTTTTTCCATGTGGGGGAGAGGGAGAAACATCCAAAAAAAAAAATTCTGCGTACTACAGATCTGTGCTACACGTGTACCATCTATCTTTCCAATGATAGGATACTTCCGTATAAATCTAGTACAGATGTCAAGTCCCAGCCGTTAAGCATTACAGGTATCGAAATAGCCCGATTTTTTTCAGTTAAATGACAAAACTTATAGGCCAATCGGGAATAAAATTTAACAACTTTGCTATGAAAGTACAATCACTCAAAGTAAGCAGATCATTGTAGAAAATGTTAACGAAAGGTAAACCTGTGCCACCTTTCAGAGTAACCAATGAACTCGCCCATTGATGCATTGACGGTCGTTGTAACAAGAATAGATATGGGTTACCCCGTATCCAAAATATTCGACTTTTAATTTACTCCAATTTTCACTAGAAAAAAAACTGTACATGTTATGAAACTGGTGTATAGTTCTTCATGTTTGCAGCAAATACCGTCACCAGTCTAAGCGTCACTAGCAAACAATACACACACCTGTGCTTGCAAGACCAAATAGCCTAGGTCTACACACGTGCGATGAGATTCTCAGACCTTCTGCCGAGAAGTTACGATTGCAGGTGTTGTATATTAACCATTCCGTTATTTAAATGAGACAGACAAAAAAAACACACACAAAATTAATCTCTTTTTTGTGTTTTTAAATTGATCGAGTTAATCGATAACTTAGCATTGTTTAAGATAACTCGAGACCCTTTAGTAAAAAGGGGGGGGGGGTTTAAGTCACACCACAGGCACTTACATTCAAGCCCGTAGCAACGGTTTTCAAAGGGTGCAACCTCCAAAAAGAGTTGACAAGCAGAAATAAATAAATAAACAACCTGTGCACCACCCTCTAAAATCCTATTTAAGGGGGGGGGGGGACTTCGTCTAACTTTTCGGTACATTTTGATTTCTTTTAAATGTTTGATTTTCTGTATTTTGAACCTTTCCGCAACAAAAAGTGCGGGGGAGCTTCCAATGTAAATTAAAACTTATATATTCAAATTCTAACAAAAGATTTTTTAAAGAAAAAGTGAGCCCCCCTCCCCCACATACTACGGGACATTTTGAACCTTTCTCTTCAATGATTAAAATATCCCTATAGTATAAGGAGATAAATATTGTCCTTTACAAAAATTTTGATATTTCTTGGGCAAAATTTGTACGTGACAATTAATTGTCATGTACAAATTTTGCATAAGAAATATCAAAATTTTTGTAAAGGATAATATTCTCTTATGGATACTCCCTTTCATGACTTTTTATGCATACTTCTTAAAGTTAGTTACTTTAGAAGATGGTCCAAAAATGGCATAGCCGTACGTTCGTTCGCTGGAATCTTCCGATGATATCAAAGTGAAATATTTCATGTTACATGTGGGTGGTCGAAGCCCGGGACCGGTATTGTGAAGGTACACGGAGGAAGCAATAAGCAAAACTCTATCTAGAGAGCAGAAAGGGCAGAGATTGAAGTACTTCATATTTTATTGAAAATACTAGATGTAAAAAAAAATATGTATTACAGAATAAACATTCTCTCTCTCTTCCTCTTTCTGCAAAAATAAAGGAGGTCCAACACCCGAAACCCCCCCCCCCCCTCCCTGGATACGCCAATGGAGATTACGATACCTGCACGCTTAAGCCTCTTTTAATTCTGTTGTTAATTTTAAAAGCTAAATTACAATTCTGATAGATACCTAGATCAACATTTCATATTCATATCATTTCAAGGTCATGATTTTTCTTATCATTACAGCCTAATTAAACAGACATAAATAACGATGAAAATTAGAAAAAAAAAAGTTAAAACTTAATTACACCTTTGTAAACTCACTAAATCTAGAAATTTTCTTTGAATTTCGTTTCGAAACACATGCATATGGTCCACGTATTGCAGTCCTTTTTTAAAGGACAGCAACTTGTATAAGAAATATATAAATACATGTAACGTCAAGCGCCTGTGATGAAAACATGGAAGAAAGTGACATGCTCCGTAAAGAATACAGAATATAACTTGTGCTTATTTAATGCAAACTTCAAACTTCAGTGTGAAATTAATGTAGACTTCTACATATCTATTGAAAGCTACAATGTATATTTAATTTTACGTAAGCTGCAAACATTTTTTGTCTAACATACCTTTATAGATGTGATTGTGCCAACTATTGAGTGTCCGTTGTCTGACTTTTTTACGACTCGTAATCCAACACTTGCATTATCTGTTAATATGCAATATGGAATCTTTTCAATCCTGATTAAGGATAAAGCATTTATTGTAACAATGAAAATAGTTTGCCTGCTTGAAGAACATAGGTAAAGGAAAAAATATTTCGAAATGTGTATTGTATCTTCAATAGATGACTACCGGCAACTTTTCCTCACACTGGAGTCTTAAAAAGGAGACTGGGCCTATGGATTTTGTAAGAGTCCTAGTGTTTCTTATAATCATGGAAATAGTTTTCCAACTGTATATTCATGAAAAGAGAAGATGAAATGTATTTTACATACATTGAAAATTAGCACAACCAAGGACCTTAGCCATAGAAGGTGGTGGGGCATGAATTTAATAACCGCCTTTTAATGGATAAGTACTTTTTATAAACATGCAGATAATTAGCCTGCGTATCACGTATGTTAAGGAGGATTCTAGGATACAAAACATTTACAATTTATGACCAATTCCATGGAACCAAGGTCTATTAATTTTAAAATTTTGGGTTAAGGGGTCATTTTTTTATCATTCTACGTACAGTTGACTATTTGATATTCTTTGAGTAAGAAGAAAGGCGTTGGATTAATTGATTGTATGTCGTTTAACGTCCCATTCGAGAATTTTTGACTCATGTAGAGACGTCACCGTATACCGGGCTTCAAAATTAGACCTATACTCGGTACTCAGAGGCATTGAGCAGTGAGGGTTCTTTCACACCCAAACGCCTACCACGACACGGGACCTCGGTTTTTAAGGTCTCATCCTATGTTTACGTCTTAGGTTTGATGCGGCGCTGCGAAGGAGAATTGAACCGGGCCTCCCGATCACGGAAGTTAGGGCCGTACAACTAGGCTACGGCGACCAGTCTGAAAACCTTGAAAATTGATTATTATCAAATGGACGAATCATTCCGTATTCAAATTTAGTATGAAAACAAAGATCTAACAATTCGTATGAAACATATCAGACAATATATGACCCATTGATAGGTTTTTTTTACAAGGTCATTAGAAAGACTATGGAATTTATGAGATGCTGACTTAAAATGGGTTGTTGAAATCCCTGTAACATTAACTGATCTGTCAGAAACCTGCCTCGATTTTGCTCTTGCGTATCAAATATTTTGGGAGAAACACATATGCAGGTGATAAAGGAATATAGCTGTTTCAAAGGAATAACTGATAGTGTTGAATTTTTGTTGTCCCCCGCTTTCACTGAAAGTGGGAGATATTGATTTGGGTCTGTCTGTCCGTCCGTCCGTCTGTATTTCTGTCTGTCTGTAACACTTTCCATTCAGCGCAATATCTCAAGAACCCTTTCAGCTTTCGCAATGAAATTTTGCACAGCAACTCCGTACGGCCTAAAGAAGAACCCTATTGATTTTGAGGTCAAAAGGTCAAGGTCATAAACTCATAAATTCCGTCTGTTTTAACACTTTCGTTTCCGCGCGATATCTCGCGAATTCTTTGAGCTTTTGAAATGAAATTTTACGTAACAACTCCCTGTGGCCTAAGGAAGACTCCTATTGATTTTGAGGTCAAATTTCAAGGTCGTAAATTCATAAATTCCGTCTGTGTGTAACACTTTCCTTTCCGGGCCTTATCCCTTATCTGACGTCTGGCGTGTACAAACTCATAAAATCATTATTACACTGTGATAAATATTATATATAAAAAGAATCTTCTATACACATTTTATAGAATAAGCAATGAAATCTTTTTATCCATATTTGCATTTTTTTGCTTCAATATACATGTATACATTTAATAATTCTACAAATCCGGGGGGGGGGGGGGATCCGACCCACTCCCCTCAGAACTGCGCAGGCTCTTCTTTTTTCCTGAGCGGGGGACACAAATTCCATGAATTCGCATGTTTCAATTTAAATGTCTTGTTCTGCATTTATACATTTATATATTATATGAGTTACTCAGATTATAAGTACCTTTACTGATTTCCTGGAGATGATCTTCAATGTATGGCATTTCTGTCGGCACTACAAATTTTAGGTCCACTTTCCCTTCTCTCCCGACCCTGTATCTTTTGGTCAAACTCTCTCCTAGCCAGACAACTTTTGCGTCACAATTATATATCATGACAATATGATCAGCCATATTTGTCACTTCCCCTGTATTTAAACATGTTGCATATGAAAAACCAGAAGTCTCGGATGAGACTGTAGCTCTACTGGTCTGTACATACAGTGATTCCTTTTGATGTGCGTCCTGCGTAAATTACGCACAAATTTTGCTCAGGACGCATTATTTCAATAAATGTGCATCCCAATGGACGCAATAAATTTATAGAAGGACATGTACTATTTTAAATTATATCGGTATAATCTGATTCAAAACTTGACTGATTGCATCATATCCACGTGCTAAGCGATATGCATGAACGATTTTAACAGGTATAAGGTTGCCAACAACAGGTCAGATTTCACAACTGCAGTTAAAAGCAATTATCAGAAAATATTTGAAAGTTAGATAGCATAGTTCGATTATCACTGATATGTCTATACTTTGGAACGTTTCTGAAGCGAATACTATATCTTTGTATTTAAGCTGTAACCTGTATTATTATTTTTTTTTTCTTTTCGTTTTTTCCTTACAAGCTAAGAAGTATAAAATTTAATCATTTTTATTTCTGACTATTTGTCATTTCCTCTTAAACTTTTTTTACTTCATTCTGCTTCTGTGCATTTTTATGACTGATACAATGTGTGAGATCGTATGTACGATCTAAAAATAGAACCAAAGTGCACAGTGGACAATATATTATTTTTATGACACAAAATCATGTACTCTTACTTGGACCACTGATAGTAAAAGTATGAATCATTCACAGCTACAATAAAACATTTGCACTTTCGTGCAATACCCTTTTTCATTTCACCAGAATTTCCTGTGTAACATCTAATATACGGTACCCTTGGATTTGGACGCATTGATTTTGGCACGGGACTCATTGTTGTCATTAAGAAGGGTCCTTTGGACCCATGATAACCATTTTCAAAATGAATCACTGACATATACATGTAACAAAGAAAAAGAAGCATTTGGATTTTAAACTTTGCGACATGCAGCAATAAATATAATTGTGTATCTTAATGTAGTCTACTTGTGTGCCAAGTTTTATTGAAATTGAAATCAAACGAAAACTGTAGGATGAGTAGCGTTATAAAGGAATTTCACAGCAATTTCTATTTTTAGTAACCATGGCAACACCGTTCATCAAAATCAAAAACCGATGCTTTAAATTATTTATCTTAGTGTAGTCTACCTGTGTGTTAAGTTACATTGCTTTCAGGCCAAAACTGTGGGAGGAGTAACGTTTTAAAGGATTTTCACAGAAATTTCTATTTTTAGTAACCATGGCAACACCGTTCATCTAAATCAAAAACGGATGCAATAAATTATGTATCTCAATGTAGTCTACTTGTATGCCAAATCATATTGAAATCAGACCAATACTGTGGGAGGAGTAGCATTTTAAAGGAATTTCACAGAATTTTCTATTTTAGTAACCATTGCAAAACTGTTGAAATCAAAAATCGATGCACTAAATTATGTATCTAGTGTAGTCTACCTGTGTGCCAGGTTATATTGAAATCAAACAACAACTGTAGGAGTAGCATTTTAAAGGAATTTTACAGAAATTTATATTTTTAGTAACAATGGCAACACTGTTCATCAAAATCAAAAAACTGATTCACTGAATTATGTATCTTAGTGTAGTTTACTTGTGTGCCAAGTTATATTGAAATCAGACCAAAACTGTAGGAGGTGTAGCGTTTTAAAGGAATTTCACAGATCTGGCTATTTTTAGTAACCATGGCAACACCGCTCATCGAAATAAAAAACCGATGCACTAAATTATGTATCTTAGTGTAGTCTAGTTGTGAGCCAAGTTATATTGAAATCAGACCAAAATTGTAGGAGGAGTAGCGTTTTGAAAAATTGTTTACAGACAGACGGACGACGGACACCTTACTATCGCATAAGCTAATGAAGTGGCGTTGGTTATAATAAATGCACTAGTGAATCGGTAATTCATTTATATCTGTTAATTAACTATTGTAAGCTAAACAGATTTCTCCGAATTACTTTCGTGGATAACTTCTCAAAATCTGGGATATTTGTGCATGTACTAAATTTAATATAATAAATTATTATACTTTCATGTTAAATACTAAAATCTGATTGGTTTAGACGCATTTAACAATCCGTAATGTTACCCTCAGCGTAAGCAACACACTTGACAACGAGTAACATTATGAAAATGTCACATGCGTTCAAATCATGCGCGTACGGTTCACCGTAGAATTCTCAAAACGTCAGTTGTGCGTTTGAAGGAAGCCGAATAAAAGACGTCAATAAAAGTTTGTGTCCGATGTAGCTTACTTGAAAACAACAAACTACAGACGAAACATCCTTGCGAGTGCAAACTTTAGATGATAAAAGACTTTTTGAGTAGCAAACAAACAATTAAGAGGTTGGTAAATCTTTTCCGAAGTTTTCTTATTGAGGAAAAATAGAAGCGGGGAGTTTGAAATCCAACAATTGTAAGATACATATTAAATGATAAGAAATAAATCGTATAATTTTTATCTTTGATCGATGTATCAAAGAAACTTGGACGGAAAATCATATCAATGCGCTACGCGCATTGATGAAGTTTTCAGTCCAAGGTTCTTTGACACATCCATCAGGGAAAATTTATAAGATTCATAACTTATTTCAAGGAATGTCAATTATATTATGAGTTTATGAAGTTGGTGACCAAACTCAAGATTTGTTAGCACCTCATAAACACAACAAAAAATCTCATTTTTGGCAATTTTCTAAAGACTTACCGGTAAATAAATTCAGGATTTTTTTGATCACGTACAATTGCCCAAACTATTATAGTTTTATCAATCTTTGAAAAATGCACGAAAATATCATAAGAATTTCTTGAACTTAAAAACAGTTGTAATAAAGTATCTAGAGCTGTATTAGTAAAAAGCATAATTATTTTTGCATGATGTCTGTGCGTAGATAAAGAAAAAATACAAATCCTAGGAGGAAAAGAATCCTTCTTGCATTTCCTTTTCATAATTTGAAAATGATTTTTGAATTTGGCATCTGGTTCACGGTAGAATTCTCAAAACGTCAGTTGTGCGTTTGAAAGAAGCCGAATAAACGACGTCAATAAGAGTTTGTGTCCGATGTAGTTTACTTGAAAACAACAAACTACAGACGAAACATCCTTGCGAGTGCAAACTTTAGATGATAAAAGACTTTTTGAGTAGCAAACAAACAATTAAGAGGTTGGTAAATCTTTTCCGAAGTTTTCTTATTGAGGAAAAATAGAAGCGGGGAGTTTGAAAGCTTTCTTAAGCGTGAACTTAACGACGATCTCCGAATTTTTTAATGACATCCGAAATCAATAAGACATTCAGTATACTAAAATAAATAGTGCACGTTGACGCGTCGGTTGACAATGGTTTTCCTTGGGGGTGTCAATTTCAACTGTTACCCTCAAAAACGTGTACTATTTATATAATAACGTTTATTACGCAGAGGAGTGCAGTAAGCTCTTCTATATTATTGGAGTTTACAGGCAAGACTAATATTTAAAACAGATCTCTGTATTCGGAGAAACAGGAATATATTTGAAGGGACAATAAATAGGTTCTTTTAAAACAAAATCATTTAATATTTATTAGAGGAATGAAAAATCGGCGTTTCTTTGATATCTGCATCAATAATACTTTCACAAACTAGCCGGAAATACATTTTTTGATGTACATAATCATCCATAATGCCTGGCTTTACATATTTCGCCTTCCAGAATATTTTATGAAATAAAAATTTAAAATTTTTCACGTGTTTTTCCCTAAATTACAAAATTATTCGACATTTTATTTTTATTTTTTTTACTTTCGTTTCTTTTCGATTTATCCCTCTTTGGTAAAACAATCAGGTCGTATGCAAAACAACGACGCAGAAAGAAAGAAAATCATTCTACACATGTAAAATGCTTGCGTTTGAGAAAATCGGTTTAAAAAATAAAATTGTAAAGAAGTGGTTTATGCTGCCAAAGTGCCATTAATCTGTTAATTCTCCGGAAATGCATGCATGAGAAAAACCACACTAAACGAGGACGGAAACCTTTCAGTGTTGATCAATCGGTACGAGACTTTATCAGATCTTATAACCAGGTTTTATGCATGGACAGGATGTTATCGGCTACATATATACATTCAGTTTGAAATTAAGATGAAGAGATGCGCAAATGAAATCCAGAACTTCAGTGACCTGTGAAAGAGTTCTATGTTGTATTTTGTGTTTGTTTTTTTGTTGTTTGTTTATTTTTTTTTTTTTTTTTTTTTTTTGTTGTTGTTGTTGTTGTTGTTGTTTTATATTGTTTTTTTTTTGTTTTTTTGTTTTTTTGTTTTTTTGGAGAAGCTTCCCTTTACATTTCCAAACCTTAAATGTCAGCTTACTGTTGAAAATTCAAAGCGTATTTAGATATAGCAAACATTAATATGACACAACATTGTATTTTTTCGTCTTCAAATACTGTTAAAGTTAAGCTGTATGTTGATCAGTCATTTGCTCTCATATTGAATCCAACAATTGTAAGATACATATTAAATGATAAGAAATAAATCGTATAATTCTTATCTTTAATCGATGTATCAAAGAAACTTGGACGGAAAATCATATCAATGCGCTACGCGCATTGATGAAGTTTTCAGTCCAAGGTTCTTTGACACATCCATCAGGGAAAATTTATAAGATTCATAACTTATTTCAAGGAATGTGTCAATTATATTATGAGTTTATGAAGTTGGTGACCAAACTCAAGATTTGTTAGCACCTCATAAACACAACAAAAAATCTCATTTTTGGCAATTTTCTAAAGATTTACCGGTAAATAAATTCAGGATCTTTTTGATCACGTACAATTGCCCAAACTATTATAGTTTTATCAATCTTTGAAAAATGCACGAAAATATCATAAGAATTTCTTGAACTTAAAACAGTTGTAATAAAGTATCTAGAGCTGTATTACTTATTTTAATTATTTTTGCATGATGTCTGTGTGTAGACAAAGAAAAAATGTAAATCCTAGGAGGAACAGAATCCTTCTTGCATTTCCTTTTCATAATTTGAAAATGATTTTTGAATTTGGCATCTCATTATTGAATTATATACCTTTAATTTCTGGATCTTTTCTCGATATCACATTCGTATTGCAAAAAATTCCACTTGCCACCTCAAAATCTAAATCGACCCTCATTCCCACATTGACACTGCAAAATAAATTTTAAACTCATGTGACTTTAATTTGCTTGGCTATAAATCGATATTGTAGTTTCCATTAAAAATATTTTGACATCACAAATTCTGATACAACAATTCCATATTGAGATTCTATAATGACAATAGACAATAATAGCCAACTATTAACCAAACTGTATGACGAACTGGAATGACTAAGTTTTCCATTGTCAACTTCCTTATTTATGTACATTCCACTTTACCTGTATATTTTGGTTTTGTGTCGCAACTGATCATGCTATGATTATAATCGGTTTTTCAATCGAGGCAGGATGCATCATGCTGACAATTTAGTTGATGTTTCAACAATCTTGTTTAAATAAGCATATCGCAAATTCTGTGGTCGGTATAGACCTTGTTTGCGAATACAACCTATCTCTTGGTCGTATAATTTGTCAATTTTATGCCCCCGTATCGAAGATTCGGGGGTATATAGTTTTTGCCCTGTCCGTCTGTCTGTCTCTTTGTTTGTCTGCAAAAACTTTAAGTTGCCCATAACTTTTGATTGGTTAGAGCTATGGCTTTCATATTTCACATGTGTATTCCTTGTGAAAAGTCCTTTCTTTGGGTACCATCATTTTTGACCTTGACCTTGGAGTTTGACCCAGTTTTACAAAATTTTACCCAACTTTAACATTGGCCATAACTTTTGAAAAGTTGATGCTAGGGCTTTCATCCTTCACGTGTGCGATCCTTTTGACAAGACCTTTCTTCAGATACCAACAACTTTGGAGTCTGACCTTGACCTAGGAATTTGACCTACATTTGAAAAACTTTAATCTTGGCCATAACTTTTGAACGGTTGGTGCTAGGTCTATCATATTTCACATAGGTAATCCTTGTGATATGACCTTACTTTGGATTCCAACAACTTTGACCTTTTGACCTTAGAGTTTGACCTACTTTTGATAAACTTTAAACTTGGCCATATATTTTGAACGTTTGGTGCTAGGGCTTTCCTATTTCAAATGTGTACTTCTTGTGAGAAGGCCTTTCCTTGGGCACCATTAATTTGACCTTGATGTTTGACTTACCTTTAAATTTTTTTTATCCTTTTCCATATCTTTTTAATGGTTGCTGCTAGGGGTTTCATATTTCAGAGGTATATTCCTCGGGACAAGGAGAAAGTTTAACCTTCGCCATAAGTTGCCATACTGGGGCATCAGTGTTTCACAAACACATCTTGTTCATTCAATAATTTATCCTTGTGTGTAAGTTTTCAAGATTTAAAAAGCGGTCGAGGTAGTCAAAGGGGCGGGGCTTTCATTTAGTGAACGAGAGTTCCCCCCTTTTTTTGTCTTTCGGATATGACATTAACAAGAGTCCCAAGGGCCTTAACGGTCACTTGATTATAATTCAACAATATAGAGGATCCATGGAGTATAAAATGAACTGAAAGGTGAAGCTTTTTTGCCCAAAGCAAGAAAATTGGGTGTTCAGGATCAACAAAATAATTAGTCTAGTGTTCACTAAGAGTTCATAAATTAGGTTCTAATCTGTTCCCCATTTAACACTCTCACCATACAGTATATAAACAAACTATCAGTGCTTCTGTACTATTTTAGTTCCTCGTTGAAATCTCTTCTGTGGCCTCTTTTGGTCTTTGATGAACATTTAATAAGACAAGTTATTTTTGTCTCATTTTTTATTTATCTATTACTTACAGGTCTACCTGATCATTAAAACTTTGAAAGTACTTTTTGTATTATACAATAAAAAATTATTGCATAATTCTCTTATTCTATAAACCTTTCAAGTACATTATTTACAGTGATTATTTTAAAATTATCAAAAATGGCAAAGGGGAATAACTCCTCTCAGTAGAGTACAAATTAATCGAGCCATGACCTGGACAAGAACACTTGACCAAATGATCCAGATGTTCAAGAATCTGGTAAAATACACTTCATTATTAAAACTTTTACTCTTTTTGCCTCTGATATGCCCAGGTGCAGAGAAAAGTTTTAAAGAAATTATGCATTTTTATTACAGATTCACTATATTATCAATAGACCCCCCCCCCCTCCCCATCGAGAAACACCAGAGTCTCTCACTCTGGGACCAGAGGTTGGTTCATCGTAAGTAATCACTTTGTTTATCAACTTAACACTAAGGAGCAGACAGGATTATTTAATAGAATTAATGCATTTTCACTATATTATCAAGAGCCCCACCCTTATACCAGGACATCTGAACCAGGGGTCATGCAATTCACTACGCTGGAAGAAGCATTCTTGCGCTTCATAACTATACACTTAGCTTCTTTGCTTTGAAACCAGAAGCAGAAAAGAATATTTTCAAAGAAATTTGCTTTTTCACTATATAATCAATAGAGCCCCCTCCCCCCCCCCCTTTCACCAGAACTCTTGACCCTGGGGCTATGAAATTCACAACTTTGGAAGAAGCATCCTTGCCTATCATAACAATGTACTTAATTTGTTTAAATAATACCCAGGGACAGAGAAGATTTTCAAAGAAATAATTCACCTTCATTATAGGATCTAGACAGCCCCGCCCTAGCACCAGAACCCCTGACCCTGGGACCATGAATTTCCCAATTTTGGTAGAGTCACCCGTGCTTATCATAACTATGTATTCAATTTGTTTAAATAATACCCAGGAGTAGAGAAGAAGATGTTCAAAGAAATAATATACTTTCACTATATGACCTATCTAGCCCCACCCTAGCACCACAACCCCTGACCCTGGGGCCATGAATTTCAGAATTTTGGTAGAGGGCTCAATGCTTATTACAATCATGCCAACAGTTTGACTGCTTGATGTCCAGGAGTAAAGAAGATTTTTAAAGACTGCATTAATTTTGGTGGTTTTAGCTCCACCCCTCAGGCCCCAGGGGGGCAGGGACCATGAAATTCACAAATTTTGTCCCCCTTCAAACTAGATGCCATATGCTAAAATTGGCTGAAATTGGTTCAGCGGTTTCAGAGAAGAAGCTGAAAATGTTCAAATGTTAACACACGACGGACGAAAACAGATAGCAATAGGTCACCTGAGTGACTCAGGTGACCTAAAAATGGAGGTCCCGTGTTACGGTTGCTGTTGGTACGATAAAAATTCCTCACTGCTCAATGGCCGTAAGTTCCGAGTATAGGTCAAGATTTAAAGCCTTTCACTGGCATACGGTGTCGTCCCTATAAGAGGGAAAAAATTCTCGAATGTGATGTTAAACAACAATCATTCATGTTTAAAAACTTTGGGGGGGGGGGGGGGGTACAGAATTTTTACATGTAGTAATCCCCTGTATTGGTCACATCTTTGAATGTAAACAAAGCGTGATATGTATAACACTTTGGAGGTATATGTGACAAAGAAGTATCAATGACAAAAATTCATGCATTTCCTATTATTTAAAATTAATAATCAAGCAACAAAAACTTGGAAAGTTCCATTGCTATGTAGATGGGGAGTACAAAATTCTAAATAGATATTGACTTGTGTTAATTCTAAATGTACCCTTGTTTGTTATGATTTTAAAACAAACTTATATTAATATAATCAAGCCAGGAAATGAAAATCATTTATCACCTTGTAAAGAACAAGTTGAAATTTTGAAAAAGATTGAGAATGTCACTGATGAATTAAAAGAAATGTAAAATTTCCTATTAAAACATTTTCCATATTAAAACATATATAAATGTGCATTATTTGAAAATTGAAATTACTCCGTAATTAATCAAATTACAGTTATAAACAAATGAAAACAATGGTCATTCACGCATTATTTTCAATTATAACTTCGAAAATTGTGATAAATTACAATCCATTACAATAACCTCTTTCAAATACTCAATTCTTCCTGCCTCTCTATAACTTTACATAATTTCAACTTTTTCTCTAGAGCGGCTAGGACTATTTCAACCAAATATGGCAGGAAGAATCTTTGGCTACAGGAGATGATGCAAAAGTTTTCGAAAGAAGAGTCATATTTCCTATCATGTATTAGAATTCAAGCATACTCAAGTAATGCACATGCAAATTTGTTCACCTTTTAACAGCCCGGGGTAAGGGTGGGACAAGAAAAGGAGACTTAAGTTTTTCTATGTTGGACTGAATAGGGAAAACATTAAACAGATCCAGTTTTATGACAAGTTATATTAATATGCAAATACCTTCAGATATGACTTACTCTGGTTTGTTCCAGTTATCGTTCCCAGAGATACCGTTGGGTCACAAATTCACACAAATAAATTGCAATTTAAAGGTGTGTATAAATTGTCTATGAAGTACTGAATCATATTAACGTGTTTGAACAAGTGATAAGTCCGAATATGACTATTTCTTTTTATTTTTACGCTTCAAAAAATCACTATGTTTTTTTATCATACATTGAATTAAGTTTTGACGAGATTGCTCTTAAAATAATACAAATTTGTAAACTATACACAGGATCAACAACCTTCACTTCAGTACGCATTGACAGACTTTCTATCACAATCAGAACTTATACATATTCTTTGATTGCAGTATTCTTTACACATACATAGTTTTTTCACTATAATTATTTGAAGATTATTTTTCATAATTTCAAAGGCGGAACAATTAACGTAAACGTGAGAACAAATAAGCAGATTAAATTTATATGCCTTGGAAAATCAAGACAAAATCCTCTGGTTATAGATTTAATATTATATAATTATTGCTGTTTACGAGTCAATACGATGATTTAGACACCTGAAGAGTATAATATTATACTCGGAAGGTTGCTAAATTATCGTACATGTAATGATTCAATTATTAATGAAACAAATTCATGCCATCTTACTTGTTTTAAAACATTTGCTGAGGTCCTAGCCAAATGCAATGAAGGGAGCGGTAAATTTCATGATCATCTGAATTTTATTTTCATCTGAATGGAAATCGGGTGCAAGTCAAATAACGTTCAAGAACTATTTGTATGAATTTGGAATCTCCCGGTCTATTTTTAGTTTAATGTAGAAATAGAAATCCTGTTCACCTGGAAGGTCTCGTGAAGATGAACATAACGTTTTTTTTTTGTATAAAGTTGGATCTCAGCTGTTCAGAAAGATAGGAATTATTCAATCATAAAATAACACATAATAATTGTCCTCTTACGGATACCTTTAAGGCTAAATAACCACGAATTTTGAGAGCTGGCCTTTTGTATAGGTCAGAAAAGTGCGAGGAGGCACCCCTTACAAAATATTACAACAGTAAACAATACTTTACTGTTGTTAACTATAGTGATAACTTTGACACTATGGAAACTATATTTAAAAAAAGTGATAACTTTGACACTTTGGTTTTTAAAAGTGATAACTTTAAAAACTTTAAATTACTATAATGATCACTATGAAGCTATAGTGATAACTATGGAAACTTTGAAATACTATAGTGATCACTATGAGAACTTTGATTTACTTTGTTTAAAACTTTGAATTACTATAGTGACAACTATGACACTATAGTTATCACTTTGAAAACTTTGAATTACTATAGTGATAACTTTGACACTATTTGATCACTTTCAAATCTTTGATTTACTATCATAATAACTTTGAAAATTTAATCTACTGCTATACGTGTATCTACATGTACTACTATTATTTCGTTAAGGAGACGCCCTCAATTATTTGTTCCTGTTTGCGATAATAAAAATATACAGAAAGCTGAATAACAATCTTTACCTTTTTGTTTTCATTCCTTGATGTCTTTCAAATGCATGATCTAAATCATGTTCATCCCACATGTAACAGTCTGTACACAAGTCATAGTCTTCGCAGTACAAGCATCGCCATCTCATTCCTTTTATTGGGCTTTCATTACAACCATCACAGGCGAAGTACTTATGATATACACCTATAAAAAGAAGAAAACATTATAAAATTGTCATTTAATGAGGGATTCTTATCTGATTACAAACTAATTAAGATATTCAAGGTATATTTGCTTAAATGTCTTTTATAGTTTGGTGTTAAAGATTTTAGAAACCCTATTTTTCTATCCTTTTCATAATTGTACAATTTTAGATATAAATGGTAAACTGACTTAAATTTAGCAAAGACTATTTTTGGCGGAAGGGCGGCATTATCAGTTATGTAGACACTTAGGGGACCATGAAAATATGCATATTCGGCGAGGCGTAAGCCGAGCCCAGTATGCATTTTAGTATGCAGTTATGCAGTGTCTACATAGAGAAAATGATCTTAGGATAAATTCGTTGAGTTAAGCAAACCGTTTCGTAACAATTAGCCCTTTCACGATTACTGGTACTATTCTTTTGCAGGGCAAATTAATAACGTTTGGCGAAGGTTTTGGTGACAGATAATTAAATGACGTTTATTCAACAATTATTTTTACGTCATATTTCACCAAAATATATCATTTTGCCATGCAAAGAACAGTACCCGAAGTTATCGTGAAACAATCTTTTGTTTAAATTCTGACGTCGTTTAATGCTTATGTGACATCAGTTATTAGGCTCCTTGCGTGTTCAAATGAAGACATCATATTGGATATGATCCACTATTTTTTTTTTTTGTTATTTAGATATGGTTTTCATTATGTACGGCTATATCAAGGTGTAGGTGATAATGTATTATTTTTAAGAGTTTGTACAAAGAGTACAGGATAACTGATAACTATATCCTCATTGAGCTCCTTTAGTAAATTAGATTTTTATTGTAAATTCAAAATTCTTTTTGAACCGGAAAGGTACATAGATGTTATAAACAATTCGTCTTTTAGAGAATCACTTTGTAAATGAAGAACTTCTAGTCACTGTTTGGAAATTGAACATGGTCGATTTAAGGGTATTCCTAGAGAAAACAGGTAGTACTGTCTTTTTTGTCAAATAGCAGATAAAACATGTATTGAGGATGAAGAGCACTTTGTAGAAAATTGTGAATTATATATGGATATTAGAGTAAAATGTTATATTTTGAAACACTTGAGATTTTATAAAAAAAACACTGTGAATATGTTTATATATGGAAATGATGTAGTGTTAAATGATATTGCAAAATTTTCCTTTTTTTGCTTTCAAAGAGAGGAAAAAGTTTATTGAGAATCTAATATGTGACAATTGATAAGTATAATTCATATGTCCCCACATTGTATATGTTTAAATATGTGAGCCTGATCTGTAATTGTAAATCTAGCATTTTAATATATGATTGTACTTTGGGTCGGTGGCCTGTAATACTCAATAAATATATTGAATTGGATATGATCCGGACAGTATGGCACATGGAGGGGGCATATTGATTTAATGTGTAGTGGGTAGGTCACGTCGAGGGGGCACATTAAGAATATAAGACCATTCCAAGTTTTATCTATGTTATTATCGTCCACGTGCGCCTAGGTTTTTGACAGCCAATATCAGAAAAAAAACAAAAATCAGTAGTCCTGAAACTGATTATTCTGGTCAAAATCTTTTAATTCTGTCAAATATTTATAAATATTTGTCTATAATATGTCATGTCAAGCATGAAATATATGGAGATAACGAACAATATTCAAGCTCAAAAGTCCATTAAACAATACAAAATAGGAGCAGAGCAAACACGGACCTCCAAAACATCAGAGGTGGGATCAGGTGCCATGGAAGAGTGAGCATCCCCTGCCGACCGGTCACACCCGCGTTTGCTCCTTGTAATTTAAAATCCTCATTTTGCGAAAGAATATATCCTTTCTATCAGAATAATAGATTAGCGACACCCTTTGATTTGCCTCATTTTTATGATTATAAACTCTGTGTTTTATTTTTTGGTTTGTGTGTTTTTTGCGAATAGGTAGGTAGGTTTTTGAAAGATGGGTGGACGCTAAACAAAGAAAAAACTTGGAATAGTATAATTTCGGTAGGCGGTTCAATACAATATTCATCTCGACCAATGGAATTTGAAGATTTTTATCAGAGGCAGGATAAATGAAAATAAACAGAACATAAGCTAGAGATCAATGCATTTAGTTGGCAGTTTTTAACTATCAAAGGCTTAAAACATTTTTTGAAGTAACTGAAATTAATAATAAAGTTTAAATAATATCAAATTAATATGATTTCCCTTACAAATGACAATTTCTTAGCTTCGAAAACTTCCGAGCTTAGAACAGATTGGAGCCAAAATTCTTTTCTCCCTTATAAAACACCTACAAGTTTTTGTTTTCATATCATTTCATATCTTAACATGACCACTTCACCACAAGGAAAAATTAAACAAAAGGCCCATGGGTCTGAACGGTCGCCAGAGTATAGTACAACACTGTAAAGGATCCATAGAAGTATAAGTAGGTAATTGATGAATGAAGTTATGATGACCAAGAATTTCAAAAATCTGGTGAAAATACCCTTATTGTAATGTGCGAGACCCGAGCGATCTCCTTGGGATCGTTCTCTCTTTGCCCAAGTCTTACAGGGATGATAATGAATGTAAAATATACAAATACAATGGACATTTGCCTACTGTGTAATGTATTCAATGTATACAAAGATATTTTTGTCTATTGCCTAGTGCTACAATAAAGTAAACAAAGACAAATCTCTAATGCTTGTATTTTCACTCGAAGTGATGCTTCTTGGTTACAAAAATGTAAAATAACTTAGCTTATTGCCTCTTTGCTATTCAAAGAACTTTGTAACTGTGGAAATAATGGAAAAGTCGACTTACACCATGAAATTATATGTCCTAACCCCGGACAGAGAGCAAATTTAAAAACGAATGGGTTTAAAATTCTATTCCAGTGTTTAAATATTGCAGTAAATAAACATAATTTGTTTACGTTTCGTTTTCCATAAAACGATTACAATATTTTTCCGATGTAATTTTAGAAACATATTTTTAGCCAATCAAAATCTAGAAACATTCCGCCAGAGTTAAGCACATACCATTCCATAGTGTAAGTCGACTTTTCCACTCGGCGAGCAGGGTTTTGATGCTATTTACGGAGATGAAAGAATATAAAAACAAGCATAACATATATGGTTGTGTAAATAAATTATCGTAGAAGACAATGGTAATAAACAGTTGTCAGTGCATTTCCTCTGAAAGCGTAAAAGAGCGATTATGGGGAGGGGGTACTCCTTGTACTTCAGAGCTGGATACCTTGTGTTATTATTACACTATGGGCTAAAATAATTATCACCGAAACAAGTGTCTGTGACCCCTGACCCAGGGGCCATGAAATTCATTATTTTCGAAGAGGCACCCAAGCTCAGCATAACTATGCATTTAGCTTGTTTGCTTAATACCTAGGAGCAGAGGAGAAATTTTATTAATAAATAATAAATTTTCACTATATATTCAAGAGAAACCCGACCTAACACCAGAACCCTTGACCCTGGGTCCATGGATTTCGAAATGATGGTAGAGGGCTCAATGCTTGTTACAATCATTGAAACAGTTTGACTGCTGATGTCCAGAAGTAGACAAATTTTTTAAAGATTTCATTAATTTTGATAGTTTTAGATCCACCCTTCAGGCCCCAGGGGGGCAGGGGCCATGAACTTCACATATTTTTCCCCTTTACCCATGGATATTATTTGCTCGAATTGGTTGAAATTGGTCCAGCGGTCCCAGAGAAGAAGATAAAAATGTTCAAAAGTTTACGACCAACGGACGACGAACGATTAAAAAAACAGATACCAATAGGTCAACTGAGTGATTCAGATGACCTTAAAATAAAAATAAAAAAATTTACAAAGCATATAAAAATAAACTCACCCCCCCCCCCTTAAAAGGAAAAATCGGGTTAGCCATTCTATTTATCCCAATTTTGGTAGTATCATATGAAAGATTCTCTGTGGTGTCATTTTTTTATGCAAAAAGAAAAAAAAATAATCTTTGGAAATAGAAGTTGGCCTCAAATGGTTGATAATTGTATTTTTATCGAGATGTCAAGGGAAAGATGGTAAATTTTAACAGACCCTACTCCTAAAATAAAACGGTCAATCTTAATATAATTGATACCATCAGTTTGTGATATCGTCTTCTTGAATCTGTGAAAATTTCATCAATTTTCAAATGCAATAGATATGAGAAGAATCCCTCCTTGATTTTTTAAATTTCGAGGAGCGTTCTGTCGCTTCATTTAAAACTCGTACCCGGTCACATAAGTTAAGTAACTGCATTGTGTTTTAGAAATCTTTTGTTTTTGCCTGTTCTTTTAATATTTTTCGGAGCTGGGACAGTGCTTAATAAAAAATGCACATCGCTTTCTAGTAAATACTTAAGAAACACACGTCGTTATACACGTTTTAGTATCTCCATTAGAGTATAAGAATTTTTTTTAAAACTCAATGCTGTTTAGAAACTTCCATGACTTAATAGTATATAATATACAGGTGAAATATATACCTGTTTGCGCATTATCAAAAAGTCGAAGATCGTATTTTCTGTCGAGTCCTGTTCTGTACTTAAACTTATCTTCGTCATGGTGAGCATCCTCCTGTGAGTCCCACTGCACTCGCACCTCTTTGGCGTTGTTTAGGATTTCCACTACAGTTCCTACGTTACCATTCCCTCCGTCGTCATCATTGTTTTTCTCCCAATCAATTCCTCTTACTACTCGTTGTCCTGGTTTGATTTTATCTTTAAAAATATCATTTCAAAAATTGTGTAATTGAAGAGTCTCCAGCTTTATGATTACAGTCTAATTCCGCGGTTTCTAAGTTTAGCGCCCATTATCTTAGATTGTTGGTCAGTTTATGGTGCAAATTTTGTCATCGAGAGATGACACATTAAGTTTGAAACCCGGATGTGAAGTCCCAGTGTAAGCTGCCACAGATACGCTGGTGGTCTGGCAATTACGCGATTTCAAGTAATATAGAGATATAAACACTAGAGGCCCATGGGCCACAATGTTCACCTGAGTCAATATGGCCCTGCTGTTCATCATCAGCAGATTTCTTGTCCTATATATTCATATGTAAAGTTTTGATCGCCTGTTCAAGGCATACCCTACCCCCAGGTGCCAGTTTTGAATGAAATTGAATCTAAACTTTCTGAGGATGCTTCTACATTCATATAACTAATCATGCATGGCTTTGCTGTTCTTGAAAACGGAATTATTAAGATGTCTGCCACCCTACCCGGCCGTGGGGAGGGTGGGGGGAGGTTCATGATTTGAACAAACTTGAATCTACACTACTTGAGGATGCTTCTATATCAATATGACTAATCATGGCTTTGTTGTTCTTGAGAATAAGATTTTTAAAGATTTACCTATACACGTATTCACGTATATAGTGTTCATTTGTAAAACTTTGTTCCCCTATTATGGCCCCACCCTACTAGTGGAGGACGCCTTGAACAAACTTGAATCTACACTTGAGTAATTGTGGCTTTGTTGTTCTTGAGAATAAGATTTTTAAAGATTTTTTTTCTATATATTCCTATGTTAAACTTTGATCCCCCATTGTGGCCCCTCTTTACCCCCTGGGGGTCATGATTTGTACAAACTTGAATCTACACTACCTGAGGATGATTCATTATCAATATGACTAATTGTGGCTCTGTTGTTTCAAGAAGATTTTCAAAGATTTTTTTCATGATTTGAACAAATTTGAATCTACACTACCCTAGGATGATTCATTATCAATGTGACTAATTGTGGCTTTGTTGTTCTTGTGAAGAATATTTTTAAAGATTTTTTACTATACATTCCTATGTAAAACTTTGATCCCCCATTGTGGCCCCACTCTACCCCCCGGGGGTCATGATTTGTACAAACTTGAATCTACACTACCTGAGGATGATTCATTATCAATATGACTAATTGTGGCTTTGTTGTTCTTGAGAATAAGATTTTTAAATATTTTTTCCTATATATTCCTATGTTAAACTTTGATCCCCCATTGTGGCCCCTCCCTACCCCCCGGGGGTCATGATTTGTACAAACTTGAATCTACACTTCCCGAGGATGATTCATTATCAGTATGACTAATTGTGTCTTTGTTGTTTCAAGAAGATTTTCAAAGATTTTTTTCATGATTTGAACAAATTTGAATCTACACTACCCTAGGATGATTCATTAATGTGACTAATTGTGGCTTTGTTGTTCTTGTGAAGAAGATTTTTAAAGATTTTTTACTATACATTCCTATGTAAAACTTTGATCCCCCATTGTGGCCCCACTCTACCCCCTGGGGGTCATGATTTGTACAAACTTGAATCTACACTACCTGAGGATGATTCATTATCAATATGACTAATTGTGGCTTTGTTCTTGAGAAGAAGATATTTAAAGATTTTTCCTATATATTCCTATGTAAAACTTTGATCCCCCATTGTGGCCCCACCCTACCCCCGGGGGTCATGATTTGATCAAACTTGTATCTACACTATGTAATAAAGGTTTCACTCAAGTTTCAACCTTTTTAGCCCAGTGGTTCTTGAGAAGATTTTTAAAAGATACCACTAAATTTTCACGAATTCTTAATTACCTCCTATTGAAAGAGGGCATGGCCCTTCATTTGAACAAACTTGAATCCCCTTTACCCAAGGATGCTTTGTGGCAGGTTTGGTTGAAATTGGCCCAGTGGTTCTGGAGAAGAAGTCGAAAATGTGAAAAGTTTACAGACGGACGGAGAGACAGACGGACGACGGACAAAATGTGATCAGAAAAGCTCACTTGAGCTTTCAGCTCAGGTGAGCTAAAAACTGCTCAAAGAATAAGCAATCTGTCTTATTATCAAACAAAACAGCCATCCTAAAGAAAAAACTACACAGGGATCATACTTCAAGATTCAAAGAGACAGGATCGTTTTGGTGAAGGTGGGTCTTCAAAATACATGTAGCCCCTAGTCATCTAGGCTATTGCATTAAAGAAATAATGGTCAGCGCGCCTGTGTATCAAAATGCACTAAACATGGCATCGAATAGATCAGCAAAGGCGTGGAACCAATAAGTTACAGAAACGCGAAATCACAGTGAAAACATTTACATAGATACTCGCATTAAATGCATAAATACAATTGGTATGAATTGATGGCGAAAACTTTACTTTTATGACTTCAGTCTTCCGATAACAAATCTTATTCAGCGAACAAGTTAAGACATTTATTATTTATTATATGGCCAAGTTGCTTGAAAGAAAAAGATTAAGGAAAATCTTTTGAAATCATTGAGGGCCAGACTTATTCAAGTTAGCTCTTTAAACTTTCTTGGCTGCTGTCAGAGTAAGCTGCTGTGAAAGAAAGGCAAAAGGAACGCTAAGATTTTACCCATCAGGGACGTACCATCGATATTGAAAGGGGAGCCGGAAAAAAGTCCAACTTACCTAGAAAAATTTGAAAAGCAAAAAAAAAAAAAAAAAAAAAAAAAAAAAAAAAAAAGAATATTGTACAAACAGGGAAATCCTTTTTCGGGGGAGGAGGGGAGGGGGTTCAAACTTCTTTCAGTTCCAAATTTTATTCTTACACTACTACATACTACAATAACCATTTTCAATAGTAAAAAGTTATGTTTGAAATAAAATAGGTGGGGGAGGGCAGCCCTACCCCACCCCCTGATGCTATGTGCCTATCATCTTCTTGTATAACAATTGTTTACAAATTTTCGAATACTGCAATAAAATAAATACATTGTACAAAGAAAATATTTGAAATGAATAAAATATATTTTCACACCGGTTGAATATTACTTAACCCCTCCCGATTTATTTAAACGGTACCTTTTACTGTTGCAAATGTTTACTGAAAGGCCGCTGCAAGCCTCCATCCCCCTTCCCTACACCTTTTTGTTGCAGTATAGCCATATCTACCCAATTAAATGTGTTTTTCAAAAGAGTCAAAAAGTTCAAATCTTCCTTCCCCATCCACGAAAAATGATTTTCGAGTTTGGATACCTCCTTTTTTATCTAGTCAAAAACTGTTCAGGTAAGTTGTATTTTTTTCTGACTACCCTCACTCCCTTCCCTTATAAACGATTCTTCTGCCTGTAATAGCTGAGAAAAAATGTTACATTTAAGCCAAAGAGATGACATTTTAAGCTTTCTGGAAAGTCAAACTTGTTTTAATTTTACGTTTCCTCAAATCTCTCTGCAGTTCCTCATTAAAATGTTCAACGTCGAGTCCGCATGTTTTTTGCCAGATATTCGCCTAATACAAAACGACTAGCAACTGCCATTGAAATAAAATGTGAACAAGTTGATCTTTTCTAAATGTTTTCTAAATATGTCTTATTGCTTGGCGGAAAAAGCGAATATCTGTTTCAAAATCCAAGTCTTACTCCTGCAGAAACCGCCAAGAATATGAGTACTATTTGTATATTTCTTTGGTCAACTTTGAGCAGTTTATTTCGTCTATTCAATTAGCATTCAATTTCAACAGCTTGCCAAGACCTTTAAGAACACAATATTAATTCTGCTGTTATTTAAGGGAAAAAAAATAGAAAAAAAAATTGTTATGAAGCTTAAATTTGAGGGTTACAATAGACATTTAAGGAAAGTGTCTAGAACATTTAAAGAGAAGTGTCTGGAAGAGTTTAATAAATTGAAAGATTTAACCATGGCTGACCAATGAATTGTCAAACGATTGAAAGAAAAACAATGATACTAGACAAAACACATAAGAATCGCATTTGGGTCACTGTCCAGGAAACCAATTCAACGACGTTACTGAAAATTCGACGATAAAAAAGGAATCAGATGTGCGGAAAACAGGGTCCTTATGCAGAATAAACCAGGACAGAAATCTAGAATCAGCCTTATTCTAAACCAACTTAAGCTGCAGCGACTGATTCCCTTGCTCAGCTGCCTTTTTGCTTTGTTTTCAACAGCAGAATAGTCCCTTGCAATCAAGAAACCCATTTCTTCACCCTTTTCCTTCGGGTAGCACACGCATCAGTTCAATGACGTCTGCTTTACAAATTTTCAAACCAGACACTGGAAAACAAGATGCCTTATTTAAGTACATCAACGACATCCACCTCCAACGAAGTTAATGGATTTTAAGATATATTTTCGGTCGGGATATGGACGACTGAAAACGCTGCGAACAAATGGCATATTTCCTACTATCGTACTGTTTTCAAGAGGGATATGAAAAGACAATAAAAAATACAGGTATACTTTTGACAGATTCACTAAATAGTGGAAGACCTTTGATCTAGGTGTCACAAATATACCAACAAAAGATGTCAATGTATCTTTTTGTATTATATAACCATTGCTCAAAGTAATAAAAAAAATCTGCTTCTAAAATCTAAGACGTTACGTTATTATCCCATTTTCTTTTCGTTTCAAAGGAGGATTGTTATGTGACACTCCGTCATTTCCTGACAAAGAAGGATCCTATAACACCAGAAATTATCTCGTCTGCTAATTCAAAATTTGTATGTGATTAGGCTTACTTTTGGGCTTTTTTGTTTTTTGGCTTTTTTCCCCTCCTTTTTTTGGGGGGGGGGGGGTATTGCAAAGGATTTTTGCAATTTGCATTGTTAACATCAATAGCTAACATGGCAGATTTAAAGAATATATCTGAAACTGTTGAAAAAGCAGAACGGACATTTATCACGGAGGAAATTACTTTAACATTTCTCGAACGGATCCACCTACACGTAACTGCCCAGCAAATTTACTTGTGAATGTTGGGCATAGAAGGAAATTCAACCGATATTTTAAGGCAACTGTCATTCTGTAAGAAATCTAATATTTATCTAGATGATTTATTTGTCGATACTTCACTTTTAAGAGCGCTTCTGTGCGTACAAGATCAAACGAGATGTAAAGCGGCAAGTTTGATCCGGTGATCCGCGCCTGTCAACGAGGCTTGATACAGCTCATCGGATCAAGTTACTGTTATTATATTAATTTTTTACATACTCTTCTCTAATTAGTATTCTATAATTAGAAAAATATGGTAAAAGATTTTTTGGATTAATTATACAACTTTTTTCTGAAACAAAATATTCTTGAATTACAAGATAAAAAAGCATATATTCTGTGTACTGCGTGATCAGTTTTAGAGATAGATAAAAGGGATTCAGGAAACCACAGTGTGGTGATTCGGAAATCGGATCATCCGTAACGCGATTGCATGAAATCAACAGTAAAAATAAAACAATATCATTTAGTGATAAAGAGTTGGGTATGTTATTAAAAATATATTCATATTATCGTTTGATTACATTTGATAATCCGTACCAGTGTGATGCGAAGTGATATAGCTCTTCGGACCCGGTAACTATTTTAATGATAAATTTATAATATACGTCTCTTTAATCAGCAAAATATAATTTCAAAAACATATATGCAACTTCTATCCATTAAACAAAACAGGAAAGAATGTTTTTATATGCAATTAAAAAAACATAATGAATACTGTATATTTTGTCGTCAGTTTCAGAGAGTATTGTTCCAAATCCAGAAAGTCGGATTTCCCGTCACGTGATTGCCAGAAATCAACTGTAAGGTTTAGTGTTACATAATATTTAGTATTCATGATGTAGTTTGAAAAGTGTGAAAATGTGATTCCATAATTTAAAAGACTACCTATCAAATGTGATAAAGGTTTTCCCTTTATTCCTTACTTAATACAAGTTTGATTTTATCTGAATATATACGACTTGTACGAGCATTTACCTCCTTCAAAGCAACCAGTGATTTCCATTCCTGCAAATGTGCTGCATTTTGCGACAATGTCATGCACAGATGGATGGTCTTGAATATCCTAAAAAAAAAAAAAAACAATACAAAGATATATAAAAGAAAATACAGTGTCATTCTTCCATTATGAAGAATTGTGCTATTTATGAAATGTTTTCCTTTGATACACGCGAAGGTATGTAATAAGGTGATATTGTGTAGCGTTTGGAGCTCACAAACCACATTTCAAAATAAAATATTGATGATGCATTGATAAATATTTTTATGAGAGACACCCTTTTAGTTGTTTTATTCTAAACATGAAAGAATTCATTCTTCTGTTAATTCATCACACTACACATCCTAAGTGTACCCCTGCGTCCTTTTCTTCGTAATCATCGTCACTGTCATCAGAAGAATCTGATGTGCTGTTACATCCATGTAAAGTAAATCTCTGAAATAAACCATAAGAAAGTTTACAATGAAGGCCAATTACCTACTCATTGAAATATGGGAAGATAACGAAATAATATCAAGACCGACCTTGTAATGCAATATGATGTTTTGAGGTATACCGTAAATCTGGAAATTTTTACGTCGATTTATTTTTGCGAATCTTGGTTAAAAAGGTGTTGATTTATTTTTATGTTTTAAAATTTTGGGAATTGTCATTGGCGCTAAAAGTAAGCGCTTAAAATTTTCATAACAGTTTATAAGTTACCTATGTGCACACAATGAATTACGCATGTACGTACAATTTTTCTCTCGTCGGAGTTACATTATACACAAGAGTAATTTCTTCATTAACAATCTGTCGTGCTAGGAATTCGTTGTTAGATAAAACAACTGGCTTTGTTTCTTGGAGAAATAATTTAAAAGAGACCTACTGCCTGTCAAACCATCGGACTATATTGAATGTAGTTAAAGTCAGACGATACGTTCCTCCAAAATCTGTTTTGTATCTCTTTGTAATGTATAAAAATATGATAAAATTTTAATTACCTTCGGATTTCTAAATTGGTTTCTGATAGTCTTTAAAAAATCAAAAGGCTAAAAATTTTGATATTGGCAAAGTTATTTTCAAAAGGATCATATAGGAAACACCATCCATTTGTATCTTGCACAAATGCCTGGTAAGGCACCTCGATTTTTTGTGAGGAAGCATGTTAAAGTAGCAATACTTCAATGACAAAATCTTGGAAAATAATTATATATATTATTGAGGAACGTATCGTCTGTCCTTAAGGCACGGATTATCACGGGTAATTAGCTTGTAGTATAAACAGATTTCTTAAAATGACCACTGCTTAGGACCACCTGTTCACCGGGTTAAAATTAGACACCAACTGTCACCTAGTTTTTGTTTACATTTTTTGTTGATTAATTTTTGAGAAAAATATATTTGCGAATGCAATGCACGCGCAAATTTGCTAAAAATTTATCTACAGTAAAAATTTCCAGATTTACGGTATCACTCCTGACACAAGTTATATCATGGAATTTTTTAGAAGAGTTTTTTTGATACCTACTCAAAATGTCACAGAAAAAACATGTCCAAGAACGAATTCGACGTCGATATAATGTCGATATCGTATCGATCAAAATCAGTACTATGAAATTAGAACTACTGGATACAATATACATGTACAAGACTAAGTGCTATGTCGATATCGTCAATATTGACAATATCATATCAACATATACCACAAGAACGGTACCAACCAAGGGTTGAACAAACATGATTTGATATCGAAGTGATATCGTTGATATCGACACTATAAGGAAAACTTCATAATCCATTGAACAATTATAAATCGATACGATATCGTGACAGAAAGGACAACTTCGTAAACAGAAAGTATAATATACACATAAGTTTAAAGAAATGATGAAGCAAACTATAAAAATGTAATTTGTCGGTATCGTAACTACATCGTGTCTTGGACATAACTCAGAAAATTGGGTTAACTTTGCATCTGATGGTGCAACGGTTACAATTAATTTGACCTTTTTGCACTTAAATTGTAACAAAAAGGTAAGTCGTTTTAACCTTTATCATATTTTACTACATGTAATCAAGGCAATAAATATTATATATTTTTTTATTCCTAATAGTTATTATTGAAATGATCCTGCAAATAGGCAAGTTTCGAGGTTATCTTCCTTAGTGCGCTCTTTCACATCGGGAGTTTTGGTTCCGCGAAAACAGGCAGGTGGGAAATTATTGAATACGCTACAACATTGATATGCCTTTCCATTACAACAGGCCCCAAGACCATAAACTGAGAACAGACTTAAGTCAAAATTTCAAATCGATATAACTTTCGAAAGAATTTTGATAATAAAATTTTCATCAAATGTTTGAATTGAAGGGTTTTGCACATTTGCAAATTTCAAAGTTTGTACATTGAATGAAACTCAAAATATTAAAAATTAAAATTTTGACTTAAGTCTGTTCTCAGTTTTTGGTCTTGGGGCCTGATTTTAAAGATGCACTCCTTATATAGAAGTTCCCTTAGGTAGTGAGGATTATAAATTGTTCAGATAATGGTTCCCGGGGTAGGGTGGGCCACAATAAGGAATCAAAGTTTTAAATTGAAATATATAAAAAAAATCTTTTCATATCTTCTTTTCAAGAACCCCGGGGCCAGAAAATTTGAAACTTGGGTATCTTACTGTGCTAGTTTAGGTTGTCAATTGTTCAGTTAATTTATCTCAGGGGTACTGTAGGTAGGGGCCACGATTTGGTTTACATAGGGAAAAATCTTTAAAACTTCTCTTCCTAAGAACAACAAAGCCATCATGAATCATGTGACAATGGGAACATCCCTGGAATAGTAGAGATGTTCAAATCAAGACCTTGTGTTTAGGGTTGTGTCACAATACGCTATCATTTTTTTTTATATGCGAATGCATGTATATTGGAAAAAAATCTTATGCAAGACAGGAGGGTCAAAGTGTCTCTTAGTCTACAAATATTTGAATTCTTTATCCAATGATTTTCAAAAATGAATACAGTAAGGTAAAACACGATTTAAAAACATCAGAGATTTAATAAAAATGTTAAATGATTATCTTTTAACTTTAGACAGTAACACATCACTGTTAAAACACCCCCCACCACGGCCATTCAATTACAGCATGCAAGACTGCCATACACAACAAATGCAGCTCATATCCAAGATTGACGAAGAGGTGAGTACTGAAAATATAGTCACGAGTTAAGGTATCATATGTCACTCATGAAATTAGTTATATCAAGAATTTTTTTTTGAGAGGTATATTTTAGAAAAATGGGGTCAGTGTGCAACGGTACAATCAACTTTACCTTTTTGCACTTACATGTAAATTGTAACTCTTAGGTTTATCAGTTATCACTTTAATCTTTATCATATTTTATCAGATATAATCATGGCAATAATCTTATTTTATGTAAAATAGCTTGAATAATATGTATCATTGAACAAATCATGTAAATTAATGCGCATAAATTATTGTGACCTTTTTGCACTAAATAAGTATCAAATTTTTGCAATAATTTTTTTTTTCAAAGAGATGATAAATAATTTCCTGTATCAAACTTTTTTGACTTTAGTGCTGATCGGTTGGAAGTACCGTGTAATTTAAAATAATGACAGAAAAAGTTGGGGTCAGTGATGTAAATTTTGATATGTTTTTCAAAAAATGCGATTCTCGGGCAAAAAAGAACTTGACTTCTTTAATATATTTTTTATTCTTGGCAGAGACTGTTGGGTGAATGTGTAAAATTTACTCTAAAAATAAACGTTGAAACCTATATTTAATATTCCTAGCATACAATGACGAAAAATATTCTCCAAGTAAAAATATGTGGGGCTAAAGTTTGAAAATATTAAATGTAACAAATAAGATTTGAAGAATTTTCTAACATCCTTCCATCACAATAAATAGTCCCCCATAAATTTTGCTTCTTTATGCCTCGTGAGCAATTTGTACATTGAATTGCTATGAAAATTGAAGTTTTTAAGGGAGCCGACTGGGGTTTCATTGTTTGAAAACTAATATAGAGAAACTCTTTAATTTTATACCATATGTACTTTACATTGACTTCGGTATACATGCCAAGTTTAGTGAAAATCTACAGTCTGGTTATTTTTTTTGGGACCATCTCAAAATACAGGTATATTTACTATAGGATTATATAGGAAAATACCATTTTTTCGCACTTCGGAGCAAATTATACAAATGCTACTACAGACTTTTTGCTCAAATTATATTATTTGATGGGTAATACTATATTGCACATTTTGTGAAAAAAACACAAAATTTTACCGTCTGGCTTCCAGAGTGGGCGTCTCAAAATGTCAAAATTCATTATATTTTCCTGTTTTTATAGCGTACAACAAAACATGACAGACACCACAGATTTACATAAAAAATAATAAAAATGGTTGTTAAATTCTCAATTTCATATGTTTAAAATTTCGAGAGCGTGTATTTTATACTTTTTATTTTATGGCATAATTAATGACCCCGCTTAAAGAACTTCGGTTATTCATAACGTCAGAAACACACTATTACGACGTCTATCTACCCATCAGTTGAAAAATCGTTGAAAAAATCAGTTATTTAAAAACATAATTAGATTTTTAACCTGAAATTTCCTAAAATTGTGAATTTTTATTTATAAATTATGTAAAAATAGTTGCTTTAAAAGAGTAAATACGCTTTATTTTACTATGCTACGCGAAGTATTGCGCAATGAAAACCCCAGTCGACCCCTTAAGTTAAAGGTTCTGACGGAACTTTTCTGAAAAGCTGATGAGTGACATACCTTAACTATTCATTCTTAGCGTGGCTGTCAAATTGCTACCTTGTAGATGTTGACAAGTATATAGGTGTGTAATATACTGGCAATGTAAATCTACTCAATGTCGGATAAAGGAATATTTCGAATGAAATCTATACCCACTCTAAATTCAAAGAATTATGGTCCCAAGCTTTCGGTGTCTTAGTGAATAGGATGCCATTATTTATGTCATATTGTAACTGTCATGTTTGTGTGTCCTGTCTTGTCAAACGAGACATAAATTATTGAATCAATAACAGTTATGGCCAAGATTATAGCTTCTCATAACTACAAACTTCAAGATCAAGGTCATGAGGTCAAATATCATAATACAATCCAAAAGGCCTTGTCACAAGTAATGCACATGTGGAAAAAAAATATCACAAACCAGAGTATACAATCGGAAAGGTCTTGAAACAGGTAATCCACATATTTTTGTATGTAAATGCCATCCGCCCAAAGCAGAAGTGCATAAAGAGTATCCTTGTATGTCTGGGCGAGATTCTGACTGGTAAACTTTACGGACTCGGATTACGTATAATTCTTCTCCCAATCAAAAATTATCAGCAATGTTAAAATTTTTAAAGAATTACGTCTAACTTCAAGGTCAAGGTCATTGGATTAAAAAACGAAGTACATTTGGAAATGCTTGTCACAGGTAATGCACGTGTAAAGTATGGATGCCTTATCTTCGCTCCTTCAAAAGTAAGCAACACTGATAAAATGTTTAAAATTTAGATCAAACTTGAAAAACAAGGAGTCAAATATCATAGTACATTCGGAAACATTTTGACACAAGTAATACACATGTCAGATATGAATGCTCTATCCATTGTCATAGAAAAGCAATCACCGAAGTTTTTCTCTTTTTTTTTTTTGAAAATTAGGTCTTACATAAAGGTCAAGGGGTTAAAAATCATAGCATGCTTGGGAAACATCTTGTCACAGGTAATGAATGCACAAGTCAAACATGAAAGCACTATCGCTTCTCTATCAGTGGTTATAATCAAAGATAATATTTTTGAAAGTAGGTCAAACTTCAATGTCACGGGCTCAAAACTATAGTATATTTGGAAAGGTCTTGTCAAAATTAATGTACATATATAGTATTAAAGCACTATCTTTTCTCTTTCAAATGAAATATGAGATAACGAACAGCATTCGAGGTCAATAGTCCATTAAACATTACAAAATAGGAGTAGAGCAAACACGGACCTCTAAGACATCAGAGATGGGATCAGGTGCCATAGAAGAGTGAGCATCCCCTGCCGACCGGTCACACCCGCCGTGTGCTCCTTGTTATAATCAGGAAAAAACGGAAAAATCCGTCGACAAATCAATGAGTAAATAATGGCCTAACAATTAGTATTTATGATCAATTTAAAGTAAAATTAAAATTTATGAAAAGTAGGTGAAACTTGAATGTCAAGGTATCGTGGTAAAAAATTGTAAAATATCAAAGGTCTTCCCAAAGGTAATGCACATGTCAAACATGAAATCCCTATCTCCTCTCAATGAAAAGTTATAAGCCAAGATTTTTTTTTTTTGTTAAATAGGTCAAACTTCAAGGTGAAGGTCACGGGATCAAAATTCATAATGACCTGAAATGTTTGGGAAAGATTAGCCAATAAATTCAAACATCAGGATTTTCAATTGACGTACTCCATGGACCAAAGATGAATCATCTGACAAATTGATGATCATAGGCATTGAAGTCCCCAAAATATGCATCGTAATCAATTTGAAAACGAATGTCCGCAAAATTCTAAAAGTAATCAACGTTACCTACTTTCGAGTCAACGTGATATGAGGTCACAAGATGCATGAACTGACAAGATTTGATTACCCTAGTCCTTATAGTAAGCAAAATATCAGTTTTAACAAAACAATTTTGGGTCAATTTTGACCTTCAGTCCACGCCCTTTGCTCCAGGGTGATGCCTTGAACAATTTTTAATCTAAAAATATCTTCATCCTTATGTGAATGTTTAGTGATAATCAGCCCAGTGTTCTTGAGAAGAAGATTTTTTAGCAACCAGTTTTTTTGTTTTTAATTTTTCTAATTATTTCTTCTTGTTTATGGATCACGCCCTTTGTTTTGGTATAAATGAGAGCCCTTGGGCCAAGGATACTCTGTGACAAATTTGATAAAAATCAGCCAAAGGGCTCTTGAGATATTGCCCATATTCTAAAGAGTTTACGCACACCGCACAAATGGCCATAGCATAAGCTCTTTGAGCCACAGCTATAGCTTAAAAAGGGGTCGAACCCTCCTCCTCCTCCTTTAGATTTGCACATGGTGTGTTTATATGTTCACTTTCAACTCTTTGTTTACTTAAGTATTAATTGGATTCATTACCATTATTTCTTGTTTATACATAAAGGAGAAATTATATTGACCATTAAACGAGATCTTTTGTCGCCCTTTGTAGGCAATCATCGGTAAGTAGGTTTTGCAGGGCCGTACGAACCGGGGAAGGGGGCAATGTCGTATACTTCAAAAAACAAAGCTACTGTAGTTTATGCTTGTGCCCCCTCGACATTTTCATTTGACGACCTTTATTTATTATTATTTTTTCTTTTCAAGAAAATTTAGAATCGGAGTGTTTATACCCCCCTCCCGAATTCCTTCCTACAGGCCTGCTTTACCTATGATATCTGTAATATTGGCTCATGATTGGACGGAAATTAAGCATCCCCGAAAACTTTCAAGATACAGTGATTTCGTACGTGATCTAGACGTTTCGGGAGGGTTGGAAGAATTCAAAAATCTACATGTAATGTACATAGATTAAGATGTTTTTTTATATACCTCTGTGAATTTTTTCCTTTATATAAAAGTGTGACGAATAAACCCTGATATTTTTTCCTAACAACCCCTACCGTCAAAAAGAGTTCGTGCTATTTGCCCACGGTGAAATAGTCATCAAAACTATTCATTGGCAGCATTCCGTTTCCCTCGCTTTTCATCTAGGAACTGTTCTGGTTTTATCCGGACCGTGGCGTAACACAAGTACAGTCGGCTTCGGTATATTAAAACATTTATTGACTATTCGGACGATTGCAAGTTTATCGTCCGCCTAAACAGCAATTTTATTTCCCTGGGCTGCACTTCTGGAAAAAGCTGTTGTCTTTGGGAACGATAAACTTACTATTGCCCTCATAGTCAGTAAATAAGTGTATATTATATTCGTTTGACAGACAAAAAACAAGAATAGTTATATGTATAAACATATCTATATAATTATAAGCTGTTGGCAGATCAAAGCATTCAATGTCAATTACCGGTCAACAGGGGATGCTTACTCCTCCTAGGCACCTGATCCCACCTATGGAATTTCCAGGGGTCCGTACTTTATGCCCTGCTCACAAACTATTATTGTTTATAGATTTTTAAGAGATTGATCACTGTTCGTTATCTCTTAAGACAATGCAACCCAACCATAACTTGCCTACCACCGGCACAACATTCAAAAGAGACAACTCGCCTTACCTATTTAACGTTATCAACTTAAACGCAAAATATACATGAGATAACAATAATTCTCCATACCGTAGGTATATATTTCTTAGCGTAATCATACTTGTTCCAAAATTTCCTCTTATGTTCTAGTTTTTCTACTAGAGCATTGTATGAAATATAGTAAAATATAGTAGAAATATTATAATTAAGAAAAAATATTGTACAAGTAACTTACTTCGGATTATGATTAAGGAGGGGTGTGTGTTTTCTTTTAGAAGGAGTAGTTAGAAGGTGTGGAGGAGACGTTAGTTGTGTCGATTCCTGTTGATATTTTCAAAAATGTGCAATATAGGTCAACATGTATTTAATTCATAAAACCACCTTTTGATTCTGAAGGTAATGATAAAGGCTTCATTACAATAATGCATACCTTGATCAATATGTAATGTTGAGGCTGTGCTATTATTAATATTTTATCATAACAACTAAATTTAGAAACAAAACTTCGCGATGAAATTTTGATGTTTCATATCAAATAAAAGAAACATATTAAACTATACATATTTTAAGTACAACTTCGAAAGTTTTCTACTTAACTATGATGGAGACACACGCACGTGATCCACGTATTGTAGTCCCTTTCTAAGGACAGCAAATAATCTTTATATTTCATTTTTACCTGACCATGGTGTAAGGATTGCAATTCAATTGGTACGCCCTCTGAGGCCATGTCCTACAAAGTCAAAACCAGAGAGGACTAAGCAATATAATGTTTAACTGGATTTTTTAAAAAAATCATTGACAATTAAACAAAATATCTTACAAAAAAAAAAATTAAATTTCTTTAAATAGAACTTGAAAAATAGCTTGATACTAACCCTTTTTATTCTGACGACAGCAATAAAACGTAAACCTTGGTTAAGTTATTAAAATATAAGGTTTTTTCAAACAAGGAAGAAAATGTTTCCCTGAGAATATACGTTGTAATAAACTGAAACAATAGGCTACTTCCTGTTTCCATGAAAGATTCGATAACCAGCTGAAAAATCTTAACAATTGAACCTTCTTTGATAGGAATTTTTATTTTAAGTATGAGCATGCTTGTGTATTTTCTCTCTCTTTTTTTTATTTTTCGGATGAAATAAGAGAATTTTACAAACATTGACCGATCTCAATAATCCTACAAAATTCGAATCTGTGTAGAGGGCATAAGGCATGGACCCTTGAAAATCCACAAATGGGATCAGGTGCCTAAGAGATTACGCATCCCCTGTGGACTGATAATAACGCCATGAGTCCTATGTATTGAATAGGTAGAAATGTTCCGTGGTGACATTTAAATGTGTATGAAAACTAAGGCCTACCAACTGGCATTAAAATATGTCTGTCAGAATAAAAGCCAATGAAATGAAAAGGTTGTATTTGCTAACAAAGTCATTAAACGACCATAAAATTTACGAAATGCTAACCTTACATAAGGGAGTTGGAATCCATGAAGCACGAACTTACTTGTCAGTAGCCACCATTCTGTTTAAATGTTGAAGATACTGTAAGCATGTTCATGAGAATCGATTGAGATGGGAGACGTAAACACCATATACAAGTGAAAGTGGAATATTAATATGGTATTTTTAATACATAAATATGGAAAGTTCACGATGAAAAAGCTTAAGACATAACGTCTGACACACAGTTTAGTTTTACGTTTTTCCTTGTCTCCTTTAATTAGTTTAACAGCATAATATAAAACATACGTGGTAGAGTCTTTGATGTCTTTTATTGCGAATTAACTGGGATATATTGAGTCGAGATATGAAAGGAATTAACTCTTATGAACTGATAAGACATTGTAGATATATTTGATTGTAAAGTTTAAGGCCACAACTTGTGTTTTCTTTATCTCAGGTAAGCGTTTCTGAATAAATGCTGCTGCATAAGAATTTAAATACAGGTCATCTAATAAAGGCCGCATTATGTAGTCTTTCAAAAAAAAGCTTTCTGAAAATCTGGCTTTCAATAATTGTAAAAACAAGAGTATTTAACAGGACACAATAACAAAGTCCCACTAACTTTCAAAATCATCATATATACTTCTAATTTTGATTATAGGGATGACAGGTCTGGGGCGAACTTTTAATTTTATGTAGGATTTTTGTTCCTTTATTTTCGGCAACCACCCCAATACCATGTACTAAGACTGCTTAAGAAGATAAGTTTTATATTTCAAAAGATTTTCGAAGAATAACGGAGGAGGTCATACTTTCACATATAGGGATTTTAATCTAGCAACTCAAGCAGCAACTTCTTTCAAGAATTTCCTCTTCTTTTTAGTTATTTTTTTTTTCGAAATGATTAAAACAATGTGACAGGTTTCGTTTATTTTTTTCTTGCAGTTATAGTAGCTAAGCCATATCAACAATATAACGTCAAAGAATAATATACACATGCTGTGTAACACACAGGAGTTTATCAAATGACTCCGACAAGGTGTATGAGTATTTAATGATAATGACTCGTCTTGTATATTTATTGTGTGATTCTATTTATACAAATGATGATTTCCAGTTCCACTACAATGCGCATTTATTTACATGTTTGTAATTATGATAATTTTATACATAAAATATGAAGATTTCTTTTTTTAAATACCAAAGACAAGTGTCCACTAGCAGAGTAATGAATAAAAGAACAGAAGAATTAACATTTGCAGTCAAAATGATTTTGTTATTTTTAATATTCAAGGGAAAATGCATATCGACATTTTTAAGTTCTTGTACTTTGGTACCTATTTCTCGTGTTAAATAGCGTTTCAAGTATCTCGGAGAGTATTTCTGGCACTAACAGGAAAAGGGGGCTTAATAAGTACATGTTTACTATTATATTTATTTTTGTCGTTCGTGGAAAAAAATCAATTTGATTTAATCTTGAACATTGTTGAAGTTCATAACATTGTGCATTCTATACAGTGAAATAAATATGAGGAACTGCTTCTCTGTGTATATCTCATTTAAAACATCTCGTAATTCCATGCTCTGATTCGGGCATTTATTTTAATAGAAACATTTTTTTTAGTTATATACGAGATACGTCCCTTTTATATCATCACAACCAGACACTCTGCATTTATGCATATTTTAATAATGAAGTAATCAATGTTTTTCATAACTTTAATTTTTCATTAGTTGAACATTTTACAAAATTATGTACCAAATGTTTTTTTAAAACGCCTTTTTAAAAAGATTTTTGTTTTTATGAAAGCTGTAGATAACTATTCCTTTCGGGAAATAGAATGTTTTTAGAAAATATCAAGATAGTGACAATGTGTACATTGTGAATAGTAAAGTATGGGATCATATATATAACTTCAAGTGCCTGTGGTGAAAACTTCCTTATGTAATGTTGACTACAATTCTTCAAGTGATTGCTTCTGGGGGTACGGCGGGGCCACAGTAGGGAATCACAGTTTTACATTGAAATATGTTGGAAAAATCTCTGAAAATCTTTTTCTCAAGAACCCCTGGAACAAAAAAGATGAAACGTATGTCAAAGCTTCTTGAGGAAGTGGAAATCATGGCCCCGGCTATAGGATGAAACCACAATAGCGGATTAAATTTTTACTTTGAAATATACTGGAAAAATCTTTTTTCTCAAAAACCATTGACCTAGAAAAGTTGAAACATATGTAAAAGCTTTCTGAAGGTAAATTGTTTAAATCATTTCCTGAGGATAGGGTAGGGTCACAAATGGGAATCAAAATTTAATGTAGAATCCTGAAAAACAGCAAAGCAATGATAAATTATATTTGAAGGCATTCTCAGATGATGTGAATTCAAGTTTGTTGAAATGTTGAACCCCAGAGAAAAGGGTGTGACCACATTAAATGATCATAGTTTTACCGAAGAATTCCTAGAAAAAGTCATGATTAGTCATATTTATATGAAAGCATCCTCTGGTAGTGTACATTCAATTTTGTTCAAATCATTGTCCTTGGGTACTGGATGATGCCGCAAAAGACGATCGAGATTTTACATAGAAACACAAGAACCTGCTGAGGAAGAACAACAGGACCAAAGTGACTAAAGTGCGCATTGTTGCCATGGGGCTACTCTTACTTTTAATTACCATTCAATTTATGGCAAACATTAAAAAACATCTTGAGTATTTATATACATGTATAATGAACATGTGGAAGCTGCTGTATCATGTCCATATTACGAATTTCCAAAATCATTCTATATAACGTACAATGTTGTATTTCAATGCCATAAGTTTGTGTTAAACTTCACAAAGTTCAACCAAAAAGATTATAACAGTATGCTATAATATAAAGAGAAAATAGCTAATTCAGTGTTTCTCTAGTTTAAGTAACTTGTAAAGCACAAATCTGTACTTTTGTCAATGCTCACTCAATGGATCCCCATATATCCCACTAAAAAGCTGAAAATATCATTGATCTTGTCTAAGATAATTGGACTATTTTTTGAAAGTAACTGGTATAATTTGCTTTTGTTAGGTGTACTAAATATATTAAAATATTTTGGATGTTTGTAATTGCGCTATTTTAAAGTGTTGGCCATGTATACAAAGTGCGCTATACCTCCCTTCTCGATTGCTTTACAAACATGCTTCACAAATATTTATCGATTGTGATACTTTGAACTGGGAAAGTGTTGGGGAAAAAGTATTAGCAAGCATTACATAAAACAGAGATACAGGATTATCAGAATGCCATTTCTTAAAGAGGATTGCATCTCTATTTTTTAAAGGCAATTTACAACATGCTAGCTTAACGATTCAATCTTTAAATCATCAGACAGAAAGTTGTAAGTCCTTAATATTTCGGATTATCGACATGCTCAATATTTCTCGCCTATACAAGTGTCAGATGGCTGCGATAATTGACAAACTATTTCTAATGTGAAGAGCGCACTTGAGATTAAGGACTGTCAAAATAAGTCACTGTTGCTCAGACTAATACGATTCAAGTGCCTGTTTGCATGTGAAGAATTCTTTTTTATTTGTATATATTTTTTAACAGTTCTTATTAAACAATAAATTTAATCTTGACTTTATATTGTTAAGATTTTTTTTACCACACCTATAAGAATACATAAAATAAATCACGTGTAGAAATACTAATGACTACTGAAAATATAAATTACTGTATTCAGAAATATGTATAACAGTCAACACCTGATATGGGGACGTTAATATCGTAATTCGTGTAATTTTATATATTAGTCACTATAAGCAGGACCTTACCGAGAAATAATACAAGTAAATACAACAAAGAGAAATATTTATTGTGGCTTAATCATCCTATTGACTAAACAAGAGGCCCATGGGCCACAATGCTCACCTGAGTAACTTTGGCCCTGCTGTTCTTCACCAGATTTCCCCTTGTGATACTCATTGTGGCCCCACACTACACCAGGGTGTCTTGATTTGAACACTTTAGAATCTACACTACCCAGGAAGCTTCTACATAATTCAGTTTTTCTAACTCAGAGGTTCTTGAGAAGACTTTTAAATAATTTTTCCTGTATGTTTCAATGTAAAACTTGGATTCCCTATTGTGGCCCCACCTACCCCCGGAGGCAATGATTTGGACAATTTAAAATATAAACTAACCAAGAACGCTTCCATATAAGTTTCAGCTCTTCTAGCCCATTGGTTCTTGAGAAGAAGATTTTTAAAGAATGTTCCTGTATATTTCACTGTAAAACCTGA